CAGAAATGTTGCCATCAGCCTTTTACTCATTTTACCATATGACCTGAGGAAGCCCCCAACAACTTCCTGTTTTGTATAAAAATGATGCTATAAATTTCCATCCTAATGTAACCCAGGATTATTTATATAACCCTGTGTAATTTGTTGTGTGTTTGATATTTTTACTGTGTCCCAAATGATTGTGGTGTGATTGATTACGTGTTATTGGACGTAGCACATGTTTGGGTGAATGCTCTCATGGAAGAAAAAAAAGAAAAGGATTTTATTGTATTTTTAAACATGCAGCATTGGGCTGCATGTAAAAAAAATCAGCCCTCCTGCTTCTCACCTGTCAATTTACCCGCACACTTCACTCCAGCAATTGCTGTCTCGCCGTTACGCAATGTAGCTACACACCAAGCGAGGAAGTCCTTCAAGTTAATATTTGCCTATTTCCTATACCTCTTTGTCTCACTCACTAGTTTGGTTTTGTGCACACTTTTACTGCCAAACAATGCAGTTGCATGCGATTGATATTTATAAGATGCACGGCTGTTCATGCAGAGGACTTCTCTGATCTCTACAGCTGTTTCCAGGGGTCTAAAAATCACTGTTCACAGACTGGTGTTGAATTAACTGGTAAAATCAGTGGATTTCACATGAGCTCTGCCACTCCTTTTATTTTGGTGAATTGTGTGGCTGAGTATTTTAATCAGTCAGAGTGAATTATCTGCATTGTTACAGAGATGCCCCCCATCATTTGTGTCGGACCTGTTTTCTGACCTCAAAGATGGGTCACGGCTGCTTGACCTGTTGGAGGTGATGAGTGGTCAGTCTATGGTGAGTTACTCCAATGTGCTTCTGATATCAGAGAGTTATGTATTGGCTTGGGAAAAAACATGCTGTACTAATGAATATTATTACCACAATAAGCTGATGTTGTCATTTTAATCTTCATAGAAAAGACAAAGGGGACATGGGGTTTTCCAGCAGAGGGCCAACATTGAGACAGCACTAAGCTTCCTTAAGAGAAAATCTGTAAGATTTCACACATACAAAAATGTATCATCTGAACCTGTGGTGTACTCTGTTGTTAACATTTGTTGTGGTTGGTTGGTGTAGATCAAGTTGGTGAACATAAACATCCCAGATATCATAGATGGACGGCCCTCCATCATCCTCGGCCTTGTATGGACCATCATTCTCCGCTGTCACGTGAGTACCAATAGTTAAAGTAAACTCTACTGCTGCTACTGCGAACAGAAGAGAAACAGAAGAAGAAACGGAAGAAACAGTGTTTTGTTAAGCATCATTAATTCTTAAAAAAAAAATCTTATATGAAGATGTATTGATGAGCAATATGTTGTTTCAGATTGAGGAGCTGGCCAGCGCTCTCTCCTTCAGCTCTCGTCATTCCTCCCTCGACTCTCTGGCCAGCCTGGACTCCTGGTCTGGCAGCCCCGTCCCATCTAGTCCAGTCCCTGCAGGCCGGACATCTCCCCTCCACAGACGCTTCAAAATATCCGCCAAGAGGGCCCTGCTCATGTGGGTCAGGGACCAATGCCAAAGGTGGGTTTTTAAGCATAAACTTAAATTTTAAAAAACAAGGTACAAGTCTCATTTTTTCTCTTTAATGTTCTTATTTTCATCCTCTGTCTGACTTTCTGTCTCCAGGGTTGGTACCTCTATCAGCGTGAAGGATTTTAAGTCGAGCTGGAGAAGTGGAGAGGCCTTCTTGGTCATCCTTTCTTCTCTCAGACCACAGCTGGTTGATCTCTCACTGGCTCAGTCCAGAAGCAACCAGGAGAACCTGGAGGAAGCTTTTCACCTCGCAGAGAGGGAGCTCCACATCCCCCGCCTGCTGGAGCCGCAGGGTGAGGCTGATGAGACTTTACATGCACTTTCTTCTCTTATAATTCTGGCTGAGCAATTATAAGCAATTTACTGAGAGAGAGTAAACAATCGGTGTTTCAGTGTACAGTGTCATATTATCTTGAGCAGCCAAACTAAAACTGGTTTTACTCCATATCATTTGCGACGCCATCTTTCATAATTAGTGGAGGTGAGTCTCTGCCACGCTGAAAGCCTTTTCTTTTACCTCAGACGTTGATGTTAAAGACCCCGAAGAGAAGTCCATTATGACGTATGTGGCCCAGTTTCTACAGTACTCCAATGACATGCCAGCACCTGACGACCATCTGCAGGTTTGTAATCACACCCATATTTGTAATCACAGTGTCACATTCACATCACAAATACTGAGTACAAGAGGGATTCATTTCTTGGATGCTTAGTGTAACGTTTCACACCGCAAAATGTACAGTGTGAATTAAACTGCAAGTGTAGTCTGACTGTTCCAGTTGGATGATTAACTTTTTATTGCTCTTTTGGCCCCTGCTGCCTATATTTCCTGCCTGATCTTTGACCCCACAGTCACCTGCATGAAACTCAGGGGTGTTAACTGCTTCCCTGTTCCTTTGATCTCTCTTTTTTCATGCTCTTTTCTGGTGGCGGTGCTGGTGTAGCTGTTTCCTCTGGATCAGCCCTCCTGCTTCTCACCTGTCAATTTACCTGCACACTTCACTCCAGCAATTGCTGTCTCGCCGTTACGCCAGGTACCTACACACCAAGCGAGGAAGTCCTTCTCAAGTTAATATTTGTCTATTTTTATACCTCTTTGCACACTTTTACTGCCAAACAATGCAGTTGCATGCGATTGATATTTATAAGATGCACGGCTGTTCATGCAGAGGACTTCTCTGATCTCTACACTTGAAAACCAGTTTTCTGCTGCTGTTTCCAGGGGTCTAAAAATCACTGATCTAACAGATCATAGTTGAGGTTAACTGTTAGGTCTGTATATGACACATACTTCATGTATGGTTGTGCAACTCTTAACACTGTCATTCACCCTGGTTAACTCTTATAAGCCCTGAACAACTTCCTGTTTTGTATAAAATGATGCTGCCAATTTCCATCCTAATATGACACCGTGACCCAGGATTATTTATAGAACCCTGTGTAATTTGTTGTCTGTTTGATTACGTGTTATTGGACGAAGCACATTTGACATCATGTTTGGGTGGGTGCTCTAATGGAGAAATAAACAAAAACAAAAAAAACACAGCTTTAATGCTTTTGTAAACTGTGCTACTTCCTGTTTTGAGGTTTTAATTTAAATTAATGAGAACAGATATTTTGCATTTGCCTAGATCTGCTGGGAGAGATGCAGTAGATTTTATTGTATTTTTGTAAAAAAAATATAAGGGTCAGTACTGAGTGACACCTACTATATGCATCTACACACAGACTGGTGTTGAATTAACTGGTAAAATCAGTGGATTTCACATGAGCTTTGAACTCTTACAGCATCAAAATGTAGCTTTTGACACTTTTGATTTGGGAAAATTTAGGTTTCTCCGAGTGAGCGAGCACAAGAGGCGACTTGCTGGCTGCAGCAGGCCTCTGAGGAGCTCTCTGAAGCACGAACGGCAACAGAGAATTCAGGCTACGCAGAAAAATATCGAGTAAGGCAAAGCACAAAAACCAAAGGGAAGAAAATCATTGGTGTGTAGTGTTTTGTAGTGTTGTAGAGCTGATTAGAGCTGTGTTTGGTTCACCAGGTGTTCCAGAGTCTCACTGGCTCCTTCATGGAGCAAAGGAAACCTGTAATGACCCTCCTCGCTACAATTAGACGCTGCCCTGAGCTGAGTCGAGAGCAGCAAGCTCTCAGGGCAGCATGGGATCAACTGGAGGAGGAGGTGAGGAAACACTTGCTCCTAAGAGTGCTTTTAGAAAATGCCTCTTCCTTATTCACTTCCTCTGTCTCTCTCCAGATGAGTGAGAAATGCTTACAGAGCATCATCAGACAACATGACAATGACCAGAATTTGTACTTATACCAGGTTGTTATGGGGGTGTGTGTGTGTGTGTGTGTGTGTGTTTCTTCAGCTGCAGAGATGTAAAGCAGACCTGGACCTGAGTCTTCCTCCTCCTCTGGACTCGGTGGTGGTGTGGCTGCAGCGTGCGGAGGCGGCGCTAACAGAGGAGGGAGGAAGGGTGAAAGATCACGCAGGCGCAGCTAAAGAAGCAAGAGCTCAACAAGACACCCTAAAGGTTATTTTTTCATTTTGAAACCACAGGAGAATTTTTGATCTTTCCTGTTTTCAATAAATAAAAATGTACAATATATAGACTACCAGAATGAGGTAGATGTATTATGAGTAGGCAGCATAACAATATCTTACAACTGCTTGAAACTTTTCATTATCTACTTTATGTTCTTATAATATTGTTTTCTGGTTTTCTTTAGAATATAATTAAGGAGATGAGCCACCATGTCCAAATCCTCGACAACTACGACAACATGGATGACTCTGGAAACGTCGTTGTGCCCCTTGAAACGTTTGAGGAGATAAAAAGACGGTATAAATCTTAAAACATCTCAAAATCACTGATAATAAAATAATCCACAGTAACTTCTTTTGTACCAATAACCTCAATGGACAATGTGTTAATGCTTTCTTTTTTATTATTATTTGACAACAGTGTAATGCATATCAGAGTCACAGCCAAATATCAAGGGATCAAGTTGGAATACCAGGAACATCGTCTCACTGTGCTGGACCTCCTGAACCGCATCAACGCTAAGATCCAGACCTGGAAAAGTCCTTACAGGTCAAAGGAGGCCGTAGATGTGCTACTGCACGACTGGCATGTGAGTGTACATCTGAACAAAGAACAAGATTCACACCAGTTATGAGATACAGAACTGTTTTTCTGAATTTAAGTGAGCCAACAGTGAACTGAGTAAATTGGAGGTAGTATTTAAATAAAAAGACTAACAGCCATTTATCAGCTACTTTTCTATGGATTTAGGGAAAATATTAGACTCTTGGCTTTACTCTAACTGGAATTTGTTAACCCCCCCTACCTCATCTTATAAAATATGCCTCCAGAAATCCAGCTAAAGCGATGACTTTTGTTGGTTTGTTGTCTAGGAGACAGTGGAGCGGCAAAGCATGCTATTGATTCTGATGGACACTCTCCAAAACCTGAAGGAGAAGGCAAACGCTTACACCAGCAAGGCAGCACTAGGTATGAGCTAAATGTCTGTCTATGATAAGCACGAAATCCTAGCTTAATCTTTGCTCGGTCATGAACTCTGTAGATTATGAGTTTCTTGAAGATTTACCTTTTAAAAAAAAGGTAAGAACTGACTTCCACCCACTCTTCACTCCCCAGGTGAAGATTCCCAGCATGTTAATCGTCAGGTGAAGGAAGCGGAAAACGAAGCTGAGTCGGTCTCACAGGCTGTGCCGGCTGCGAAAGGGATGATGGAGAGAGTGGTGTCTGCGTGGGAGACTTACAACAAGTGCCTCACCTCTCTACAGACATGGCTCACACAAAACACACAGTCACAAACACAGGCTCCTGCTGCAGGGACACAGGTAATAATATGTATGACTCTCACTGTAAAGGCCACTGTTTACAATGAAGCTGCCTGGCTGTAAAAAAAAAAAAAAAAACAACACAAAAAAACAACTGTTTTATCTATTGTTTTGGTTACAGCAGGAAATGAGTGAGTGGACGTCATGTCAAGCTAAGTTAAATGAGGTGGGGAATCTGCTTATTGAAGTGACAGAAACTTCAACCAGCCGCACTCTGGCCGAACAACTCAGCAAGGTCAACATGCAGTGGGCTGAATGTGTGAAGAGGACGAAATTTGTAAGTTTGCAAGTTCTCATTCTTCTCTCTACAGAGACTTCAAGAAGGTTACGATTTAATGAATACAAAGGACTTAAACATTTAATACCAAGACCTATTTAAATAGTGTTGTAGTTTTTAATTTGATGAAGGTTACGCACTAAACAGGCAATTGGATAAGAGAACGAACATGCAGACATCAGTAGAGGTTGCCAGACATAAAGCATGTCGTTTCTTAGGAAGTGTCATCGGAGCCCAGTGTCGGTCCCCCAGGTCTTCAAATGGTGCATTCACTGACCCAGGAGGCCAGCTGGCTACTGAGACAACCACTGGACGTGGCTTCTGTCCCACTGAAGGCTAACAGACAGAAACTACAGGTTGGCAAACTTACACATTAACAAATGGATGGGTAGATAAAAATCAGGAAGATTAAAATTATTCTACTTACTACGTGTCCTTTTTTTTTTTTTTTTAATCAGCTGCTGAGTAAAAAGATGGCAGAAGTGGATATGTCATCTCTCAGTTCATCCCCAGACTTTCAAACAAGCCACACAGAGAACCTCCAGCAAACTCTCCCGCAGGTATCCTCCTGTAAAAACTCTGACTCACCGTGATGCAGCTCAACAGGCTTCATTCTTTCTTCCATTTTCTGACTAAACCCGTTCTGAAGCCAAGCTTTATCAAACCAACACCCAGGCAACATTCTGTAAAGACCGGAAAGAAACACTGAGTTTAATACTGACATTATCCTGTGCCCATTGTCCACTCTCCTGAGTTGTAGTATGGCAAAGTGAGGATAGGGGCTTACTTGTGTATATGTGACAGGTGCTGTCTGAAGCAGAGAGGACCTGCGGGGAGCTGCAGCGGGCTGCATCCAGGCTAGAGGGCCGTCTGGCAGAGCTGGACCACTGGAGCACAGATGCGCTGGACTGTTACCAGAACCTAAAGGATAAAGAGCACAGAGGGCGCTCTGCACTGGACTCTACAGCCAAAGTCAGCAAACCAAAACTTCATGCTCCTTCTAATTAGGCTTTTTTGTTGTTGTTTTTGTTGTTGTTGAGTAAATGATCAAATGTCATGTTGCAAATTCCAGCTCGCGTATTGCAAATTTCTTGGAGCAGAGGCAGATTTTAAAATGAATGTTTATGATTCCTATTTTTCCGCTCTCAGTCTCCATGTTCGGTGTTAAGTGCTCATTGTTGTGGTGCTTTTACTTTGTGTTTATCAGTGAGGGGTTAAAGGTGTGGATTCTAAAGAGGTGTGACACCTTTTGCCTTGAAATTTGCCCCTTAAAATACAACAAACAATAAAATACACATAACCCAATACCGGTCTTACAATCCTTTCTAGGTGCTGATCTCTCGGGGCTCGCAGCTGGAGAACCAGGTTATAACTGAGGGACGGGATCTGCAGGACTTTGTCGCACGAGTACAGAAAACCTCTCCTCTGCAGCACCTCAGTACCTCTGGGATGCAGGACAGGATCTCAGAGGCAGTCTCCCACGGCCAGGTGAGTTAAACTAATGTATAGTGACTTTTTTCAGTTCCTCAACAGTTCCTCATATTCATGTGATTTGTATATTTTCCATTTTTAGGAGATTCTTGGACTGTTTAGTTCCCTTGGGTTTAAGGGTAATGTGGGTGAACCAGTCCATCAGACCCAGAGACAGCCAGAGACGGGGTTCCTTGTTGTGGCCAGAACCAAACATGTAGACCAGACTGGGAATGTTAAGCTGCAAACCCAGGACCCAAGTCAGCTCTCACCTCAGATTCCATCTCATACGCCTCAACAAAGGACAAGAGATCTCCAGGATAAAACAACCATTGTTATACCCCATGTCGAAATCCAAATGCTGCCTCAGCCTCTGAAGGAACCAGTACCTCATTTTCACTCTTCTCTTTCTCAAAGTGTAAAAGAAGCTGAACCTCAGTCCATGGTGCAGCCTCAGTCATTTGCTCAAGCTTCAAGTCCCAGTCAAAATGATCAACCTTCACCATCTTCAACTCAAACTGCTGCTGGACCAACATCTCAGAAAAGTCTGGTTCTAGTTCTGTCTAAACACATCACAAGTCCAGTAACAGAGGGACACGGAAGCTCACCTCCCTCACAAACTCACAAATCCAAATCCAGAATAAGAGGCCAACCAAACCCTTTACAGGTTAATAAAACATCTCCACAGCCACCCGTCGTGGTCCGCAGTGAAGTTCATTCTAAAGCCCAGTCAATGGCAAGAAGCAGGCTGGAGAAGGCCAGAGTTCATCTGCACGGACGCATCCAGCAAGCCATCAAGTTATTTGGTGGCAAAGAGATTTCAGAGTCACAGGCCAAGAAGAAGCAGGTACGATTTCAAACATTAAAGGATAGGAGGGGCATCACATCACTAAAACTAACTGAGTTTTACAAACTGTAGATAAAAGTAAAAGCTCTGACAATTCATTCATTGTTCACATCTTCAACACTCAATTCGTATTTTAGTATCTTTACTTTCAGCATCATTCACTAAAAATACATTTTTTCACTTAGTTGATAAGTGTGAGACTTCTCATAGTGACTTTAAAGCCAGCTTTCTACTTATTTGTTGCTTATTAAAACAGAAGCTTGGCTATGTTTAAGACCCGCTTTAAACCGCCAGACCCCACAAATCCCAAATTTAATTTCAGAATTAGGACACATTCTTTTAAAGGTCTGTGGTGTTTCGCTTTGTGTTGCTACCGGTTTTGTTTGGAGCGTGTTTGTCTAGCTGTGTGTTTATCTGTGCAGCGGGCTTTAAAGATTCTGCAGCCTGTCATCCTCGACGAGTTCCTGGATGCAGTGGAAGGTTACGGGGCCTTCTGCTCCGGGCCCCAGCTCCAGGACTTGATGCTCCTCTCTGACTCAGTCAGAAAGCAGTGGGAGGTATGACAGAGACTCTGTAAAAGACTAATGTGCCCACGAGCAAAGGTTTTACTGAGTTTTGAAACCTATTCAAAAAATACACCTAAAGCTTTCTTTGTTCTTACTGATTCTACTAAGTGGAGCTTAATAGAAATTGATTTGGGTTAGCGATGTCTCCCATTGAATATCTGTTATAATGAAGTGATTTTAATTCAGTAGAAAAAATATTTTGATCTTTTTTTTTTTAACACTCCTTTTACTTTTTGTGTTGTTTCAGATTAATCTAATATTTTACAGACTATTAAATCATTACAACTTAACATAACTAATATTTTACCTAAACTAAAGTTTCTGCCTGTTTGTGTCACACTCAGGACGTACGCAGAGAAATGGCTGCCTTTGTTCCCATGTTATGGTCTAAGCTCAGAGAAGGAAAGCAGCCATTTTCTGTTGTGCAAAGTGAAACGCATACTAACGCTCTCAGTGAAGCTTCTGACCAGACTGACCTTGACCCTTTGCAGCAACAACAACAGGTACTTTGCATAACCCTGTAACGTGGCATTAACACCTGACTGCACTGTGTGGCAAACTGTCTGATTCAGGCCAGAGAGCTAGAAATACTAGAGTACTTTTATGGAGCTCAGGTGGTTTCACATTACCTACTCCCACAGGCCGCCATTGACGGAGCTGCGTCTGTTGAGCAGCGGGCTGAATCGCTCCGCGAGCTGTGTGAAACAGTGGCACCAGGTAAATCATCCTGCCTGGAGACAGAGCAGCTGAACAAGTCAGACGAAGCACAGGACAAACAAACCGGTGACACGGTTCTCCCAGCACACAGGTAAGGCAATGCTTTTCACAAAGCTAGCTTAAAATGTCGTGTATTTTTTTTTTTTTTTTGGTCGTGCTAAAGAGGCAGGTAGAACATCAAACTGCAGGAAGAACGTCACAAATTAAAATTTGGACTGAAATAAAACAAATTATTGTTGCATTAGAAAATTTAATTTATTTAATATTCAATGCACAGTATAAACTGCATCATTTAATTGAAGCAGTTGTCACTCTGTAATCCTTCAAATCTATTAATCTTAATGAGATGCCCGTTGCTCTGGTTCAAACTGAATGGGCCTGACCGCCTCCTGTTGAACATTTCTTAACCCAGCAGGGGACGGCAGCCTGGGGGAAACACCCCGCTGAGAGCGACTGGCGTGTCGGACGAAACACACCCGGGCAGCAGTCTGCGACGGACACAGAGCGCGGACAGCCCACAACAAGACCTCTCACCTGTGGCGGGCTCAGTGCCACTTCATGGTGATATCCTGCCACTGCGATCTCAGGATGTCCCGACAGGAAGAGAAGAGCAAGCGGCTCAGCAGAGAGGCTCTGGGTCGGGGAAAATTCAGAAGTCTTCACTTCGAGCCCCAGAACAGCGACTGAAGGCTCGTCTGCTGAACATCACAGAGAGCAACCAGCAAGCCCAAAGTCATATACAGGTATGATCGGATCACATGACTGCTTTTCTCATCTGCAAGTATTTTGGTGCTTTGTGTAATCATGTGATATGAAGTAAAAGTAATTTGAAAGAGCTTCTTAAATGGACAGTATGTGGTCAGGGTGGAGGTGGTGTCAGTGATCACTGACTAGTCCAGTTTTTTTTGTTTCTAACACTCACTGACTGTGATTTAGAAGATGTTTAATTTCATGCTTTAAGGTTTAAATCCTAATTCCTTTTTGTAAACATAACAAGAATGTTTTGTTGTTGTTTTTTTTGTTTTTTTTTAACAGTAGTTTGACATTTCAATCGAACAGTTAATGTATGTGAACCTGCCACACTTTTCTGAGTTGAAACCAAACTATAAAACACTTGACATGAATTATTTGCTTCTCAGAAAGGAGGAGAAAGCTTCACAGTTATAACTTGGATGCAGCCTATTTATTTTAAACCCTTAAATGTATGTTCCTCCACATTCTGAAAAAAAGGAGATGGGAGTTATGAGGTTGTCCAGGTTTCAAGCTCCTGTCTTTGATGTCTACCTGCGAGCCAGAGCTTCATTAGAATAAATGTGTTTTCCATTTTACCTAAAATGTTTGCCTATGCAGCTTTGAATTTTATATGAAGCAGGTTTTCAAAACACTTTATTTGTACCCGAGGGGCAATTTGCAGAGGCATGCTTTTGTGTTACCCTACCAGTAAACCAATAACCTTAAATACTATGTTGTGACTATAAACCAAATTATATTTGAATGTGGTTGCTGCACATGTTAATTAGCTTTAAATGAATCCTATTTACTTTATACATTCAGTTTAAAGTCGCCTTTCCTCTTCAGCAGTTTCATTGGCTGTGAGTGACACTTAGAAGCCACAGCACCAGCTGTAGGGCACTAATCCTCAGTAATTGGGTTGGCCGGCCGCTCCATCTTTTCCTCTGTTCTTCTGTCACTATGTAACTCTCCCATCTCCCAGGCGGTTGTCAGGGGTGACACTGTGGAGGCCAAGCAGGAGCCAGAGTGGACCGTCATCCCAGAGGCGGTCGCCCCACCACAGGAGGAGCACCCTTCTGAACAGGAAGTACTAGAAAGGTAAACTTTACAGAATGTTTCTGTTTTTTTTTTTAAGGAACTGGCAGCATGTGAAATAAAGTTTCAGCTAACAGAGGAACATACTCTAAAATTTAAATATATTTGGTTGCATTAAAGTCCTCTGGATAGGCAGTATCTTCTGACCGTGACGCCTTTATACATGTTTTTTTCATGCATCAATTTATTTTATGTCGCTGCTTGTCTGACCTGTTTTATCTCATTTAAACAGCCTAAACACATAAGTCTGCCACCTGCTTTTCAGTTTAATAAAATAAGAATAAAATTAACTTCGTATCACAGATTTCGCAGCAGGCTCTGTTCCCATGTAGTCTTTCAGTCTCTCGATGTTAACAATGTGTAAATCTTTCACTGTAGGTACAGGAAGGCCTGCTTGGTATTTAAGTCTCAACTCAAGAAGAATGAGCAACATTTGCTGGAGTTTATCCCAGAGCAAGTCACCATCTCTACTCTGCACAACCAAAGGAAGCAACTACAGGCAAGTGGAAGCATCACCTATGTTACTTCATCTCCTTTAGCAGTGCATTTTACAATTTATACCAATCTGACCTCGACACTGAGGAAGGGCTCAGACCAAAAAGCTCATGCGTTAAATAACATTTTACACGTAAGTCACAGTGTGCAGATTTCTCAGTTCATCTTTGTAAATATGTGTCTTCTCAACAGACTTTAAAACAGGTGACAGAGGCACAATGGTTTAAGTTTGAGCTCCAGTATGCCCACCTATCCCATTCCCCCCATCTGATGACCAGAGAAGACCGGAGTGAAGTGGAAAGAGACTGGGAGCAGCTGAGGCAGGAGTGGAGAGGCCAACAGATGTGCCTGCAGAACAGGTACAGTGCAGCTCTCAGATTGAATTAAAGGCGTTGACTAATCTCTTTAAATGACGCACTTTTGCAACACTTCTCCTCGTTGGTGATCTTTCAAAAAAAAAAAAAAAGAAAAAGTTAATTTACCTGTAAAAATCATAGGTGTTTTACCACAACTCACCATAACTAGGATTATTAGTTTCAGTCATGAACCACATCAGATATATTGGCAAACTCTGCAGAATATCATTTCCAAAGGACTGTAAATGTGAGATAAGATTAGTTTAAAGTTCCACCTTGACCTTGAAAACATTTAATTTTCAGGAGCTTTCAATCATATCACATCATCTTCATCAGTGGATGGAGTTTGCTCAGTTGTCATGGAAACATTAAAAAGAAGTTAACATTTCCATTTTCTTTGGGAATTTTCTTTTTTTTTTGTCTTGGAAACAAATATCTCACTTCAAGGTTCATTTAGTAGTTAATCTGGAGCTTTCAATCACATTACACGATCTTCATCAGCAGATACAATAAACATATTTTAGTACTATACCCAATAACAACTTATTCTAACAAGTAAAGTTGCTTTTACTTTGGATTGTGTCAGGATGACGTCTCTTGAGAACACGGCCGACCTGATGGAGTCTGCGGATGAGACGACGGCATTGATCACACAAAACCTTGACGGCATCATCCGACAGTCTATGGACATCTCCTCCTTCAACCTGACCGATCGTAGTCTGCAATCTGACTTAAAGGTACGTCATCTCTGCTTTGTTCAAACAATTAGCACTTTAATTCTGGGAGTGAAATAGGCAAACATTGGTATTAATCCCCGATATGTTACCCAGGAGATGGACGACAGGCTGCAGTCTGAAGTGAGAAAAATAACAAAACAAAGCAGTGAAGAGGAAAGACAACACCCAGAGGCCACATCCCTCCACCAGGCTCTCCACAACAGTGTCAGTCAGCTCAAGCAGCTCAGACAGCAGCTGGAGAAGGTTCAGTCAGCTGCCCAGGCTGTGGATCACTTCCTGGCCACAGTGAGGGAAGTCAAGGCCGAGATCCCAGCCCTGCTGGCAAAGCAGGACGACAGCAGGCAGCAAAATGAGGCGGACTGGGAGCAGGAGAGGCGTTCCTGGCAGGCAGAGATGCAGCAGAGGTTGCAGACGGCTGCGGACCAATGTGAAAGTGTTGACAGCAATTTAAAGGCAGCGGGAATGACTCTTACCATGGATGGTGCAACTGTTACGTGCCAGGATGTGGTGACATCGTTGTCCGAGCACGTTGCGGACGTGGAGAAAAAGCTGATGAGAGCCAGGAAAAGGGAGAGCAAAGATGGGATGAATCTAATGGGAAAGGAGCAAATGCAGAGGAATGAAGAGTTGAATCCCACGGAGATGCGTCAGACGAAGACTGGGGATGATTCACCACAGCTGGGGGGAATACAGGAGCAGGAGCATCCCAGTCCAACTGGGGCAGAAGAGGAGTCAGGGTTGGAGGCCCAAAGGAGGAGGCTGGATGGAGAGAATGACACAAAGGCCCAAAGGGAGGAAGAGCACAAGGCTCAAACATGGAGGTCTGAAGGGGATGGCAAGGTCCAGAGAAGAGGAAGCAGCCAGATTAAGAAAGAGGGAGAGGAGAAGGAGAGCTTGGTCCAGAGGAGAGCTGCCCTGTTAGGAGCACTGAGGGAGATGAGGGGAGCAGCTGAGCATCTGGGGCTGCAGGAGCTCACCCTGCCCGCTCTGCAGCAGAGGTACAGCACTGATCTGGATCAACAAATTACATTTTTTATTCATTGTAACCTCTCTATCGGAATATCAGATTGATGAAGTTTACCACATCAAGATAATGAAGACTGTGTTAAGTAACTAAAATAACTTGAAGATATCTTCCTATGAACAAACATCTAACACATAACAAACATTTGTGCACTGCATGTATCAACATGACACGACATCAAAACACAAAACATTACAGCTCAAGTCATCATTTTTTTCCCTCTCAAGCAGATCGAAAGTAGAAAAAAAATAATGGAGTGCATTAAATATCTGTTGTGCTTATGCTAAGTATGTGCATTGATGACCCAGCACACTAATGATAGTTTCATGCTCTTCAGGACACGAGCCTTGAAAGAGCTGGAAAGTCGTCTTTCTGGTCTCCTTTCTGAGCTGCAGCACATACAAGATGCATCTTCATCAGGATCCTGTGATGTGAGTCAGACCAGCGAGGTGGAGGACGTCCGGGAGGAGACGACAAAGGCTGTAACTGAACGGTAAAGACAAGAGGAGCAGTCACAAGCACAATGTCTGATTATTATTTAAGCCTCTTGTCTGTCATGCAGGTTGTGTTCATTTGCTGAGTTTTGGTTTGTGTACGTGTTGTGTTACGGATCACATGCAGGCTGGAGCAGTGTCGTGTCCTGACTGAGCTGCTGAAGAGGTTTCAGAGCGTTCGTGGTGAGCTGACTGGGACACTGCAGAGAGCAGAAAGCACCATCAGTGAACAAGCCTCCTACATGGGGAAAGACAACTTGCAGAGATTCCACACTAAGGTATAACACAAAGATTTTTGGAGAGACGTCAAATCATCCTTTTGTCTCTATTAGGTTGTTGGATCAGGGTCTTTGTGCTGACACCCAAATACAAGTGTGTGGGTGTGTTTGTGTGTGTTTGTGTGTGTATGTGTACACACTTTCTCAGGTTCAGGAAAGAAAAGCAGAGCTGAACAGCCTTGGGGACGGCATAGAGGAGGTCCGCAGTGTCTGCAGGCAGCTTCACTCTCACCTACGCCAGATACCAGAATGCACCATCGTCCCCTTTGAGAGCGAAGCTGATGCTCTGATGGACAGCTGGCTGGACGTGAGTTTAGTCACTTTATATATCACGGAAGAAACATTCTGTCAAACCTGTCATTGTAATTCAGGTTAAGAGGTTATAATAAACAATATTTTCATGCTAATTTCCTTGAGCTTTTCTTGCAGATTATTGTGTTACGAGTGCATTTCTCCACCATTAAACCCACTGTTATTAAAGCAGAATTTTTACCCTTTTGTTTTATGTGTAGATGATCCCATATATGTAAATGTAAATGATAACCTTGCAGATTTCAGAAAGGACAGATTCCCACCTTGAAAACATGCACCTTGGCCTCACTCTGTGGGATGGAGTCCTCCAGCTGGGAGCAGAGGTGGAGAGCTGGACTGAGAATAAACTAGCACTGTTTGCTCAGTCTCCTTCCTTTCAGTCAGAGGGTGACATCAAGACACTGCAGGTGAAACTGGGATCACTTTTATCGCTCTGTAACATACAGTTTCAGACTTCTCCGGGGTGTCTTATGGGAAGTTAAATGATCTCCAGGTTTCTACAGCTGCTTTGAGTAACGATAACCTCCCTCTCACTGTCTCCAGAAAGAGATTGTGGCCCAAGAGAAGAGTGTGCAGCGTTTCCAGCAGAGAACCACTGAGATTCAGTCCCTGCTTCAAAGCGCAGAGCCCCCGCTGGAGCTGCAGGTACAGCATGTAACTTTCAGTTTAGGGCGTGGGTGTTCCAGGCTGAAATAAAGCTGCTAGGATGGGCAGATGATGACGAACTCATTATTTGAATTGATGTGATGCTGCCATTACACACTTCACACTGCTGTTTGGGATTAAATCTGCATATATTCTTACGTGTTTGTCAGAGACACACGGACATGGAACCACAGTTTCTTGGTTAATTTTGTTTCATCTAGGTGGCGGAGACCCAGATGAGGAAGAAGATAGAGCAGCTGAAGGAGCTCGGCTCTGAAGCTGAGGATGTTTACAGGCAGATGGTGGCCGCTAAGGGACAAATCACTGCCAGGATGGCCGAGTGCTTCAACTCCCTCCAAAAGATTCAGGACTCCCTCCTCACTCTTGCTGGTTCAGATGTTGCAGCAGTCCTTGCAAAACTTAAAGTAAGTTCTGAGGTGAAGTTATTATAAGTATTATATGTGTTTTTATAAATATTTGTAATCATAGGTTTGTGTTTAATACATGTCTTAAGACCTTATCACCTTATCAGTTTAAAGTGGTGTTTGGACACCATGGGAATCTTTTTGCCCAAACACCCGGGAGTAGAGAGCTGAGAGACACAACAGCAAAAATAAGTGACTGAACAAATATAAACAAACATTCAATCACTCAGTCTAATTCAGTTTTTTGTGGTGTGTGTTAAAAAACAGCGAAAACGCTTGGAGAACCAAACTAGTATTTGTTTCAATTTCAGGCCAGGCCTTGACTCACTGTTTACTCAGCAAGTACACCTGTGGTGCCATGTGATACAGTTTCCAATAACAAAGAAGATCTTTGCTAAACAGGAGGTGTGGAATTTGACGTCTAAAATTCATCTTCAAACATTAGTGTGTTCTTGTAGTGATGGGGAACAGAGTCGGTCATCTTTGAGTTCTGGTTCCTGTGGATAGAGAACACTTGCTGATGTTTAGGAAACTGTTAGATTCATTTCAGTTTGTCAGTTTCTGTGGGGAGAGAATTTCCCATAATGACATCGGCTCAGTTTAGGCCAGTGGAGTGAACCTGCTGTATCCAACATGAGACAAGTATTTATTTTAATTATTGCCTAGTGCACTTTAAAGCCACTGTGTGTAGAATTATAAAATGTGTGACTTTGCCGCCCCCTCAGAGGTGTCACTAAAGACTATCCTAGACACAAATGCACATTGGAAACTCATTCATCTCAGACTGGGGTAAAACAAACAGACTACACCAGTTTTCATCATTGCTTCCTGTCTGTACAAATTCTGCAGAATAATTTGAAAGATGCTATAAAATTCAGCACAAAGTGGCTTTAAAGTCTGGACACTGGTAGCAGAGGGTTTAAAATGCTAAAACACTAACAGTAACTTCTTTCCTCTACAGGATCTGTGTCGGCAACTGCAGACCCAGGACGAGCAGGCAGAGAGTTTGCTGGAGGATCTGCGTGTCCTGACCTCCATAACAAGTCCAGATAGCCTAGAGAGTCTGTGTGCGGACGGGATTCAGCTGCAGGAGAAAGTGAGAAACGCCCATGACCTCTTCTCTGACGTGGAAGAACAGACTCAGAGGAATATCCAGGATCTTGACAGGTAAGAGAAGACACGCATAGAAGTTTAAATTTTGTTTTTCTATTCAGCTTCTAATGCAATGTGTACACGTTTACACATCTGAAGTGAAACGTTGTTTTCTGTCCTCTCAAATATTCGGATTGCATACACACATCATTCAACACAACACTTACACATTACCATAAGGGCACCAGAGAGCTGCTCAGCAGGTATTTCTAGTGTTTGTTCAGATGCTTGTGTGTTCAACAGCTGCTTGATCACTTGACTGTGTTCCAGTGGTGCCATCAGAGGATCTGCATAAAGTAACAAACAAACGAGCTGAACCTGAACTGAACATAGAGTAGCTAATGAGTCGGCATCAATCATGTAATCATTTGTCACGTTTGTGATTCTAGTGTTTAACCTCATTCAAACTTCTTTTTCAATAACCTTTTTATTAATTTCCTTTTTCTCTATCTCACCTTGGTTTAAAAGATAAGGTTAGCTGTTTGTTTTTGTCATCGTTAACAAATCCCATGAAAAGAAACCCAAGAATGATTTAGTTGCATTTTGCCTGTCAGTGTTTTCTGACTTCACCAGACTGTCTGTTGCACTCAGACCTAAATCTCTCTGTCCTAATTAAAGACATAAAACACAAATATAGATTTGCATTTGCATTTTAAGGTTGAATTTAATTTCCTCAAACAGCTGGACATTATAGTTTTTAGCAAATGTGACTCAAACAGGAGTGAACTGTGCATCTGTCAGAGATTCTCTTCAGCTGCAGGTTACTGCTCTGTTTAGTGAGCTAGTGAGTATTTACAGCAGCAGCACAGTGACTCAAAATAAACCACTGTGACCATGTTCATTGTAATGAAGGAACATGTCAGCCTGTGCACCAGTGTGGCTCCCTGATGTGTTTTTATAATGGAGGAAAATGACACAGAGGAATAAGATGTATGAAACTTTGGCTGCACAGTCAATACGTGTTAGCTGGATCAATTCATTGACCATAGTCTTGGTCTTTTCATGGGATTTGTGCCTGTGAATATAATTCACACAAACTGAGTACAAAGAGTCTTAGCGATACAGTTCAAACTCTGGAGATTAAAAACCGCGGGACAAGTTTAACTTGTTTTTCGTAAGTGTGTGTTGTGTTCTGTGGGAGAATCATTTCCTCACCTTGATGTCACTTTAATCTACAGTGTTTTGAGCTTGACCGTGTCATGCGCATGCCTGCATTCATGCTGCATGTGTGTGTTGTAGGCTGCAGCGGGAGAGCGAGCATTTGGAACAGTGGCTGCAGGCCGCTGAGGTAAAAGCAAGAAAGGGGGAGGATCTTAGTCTCCTGCAAGAGGAAGCACTTAAACAAAGGTAAAACTCCAGGTGAAGGCATGTTATGCCCTGTATACTATTTTTCAAATCTTGTAGAAATTATACAAATTAAGATTTCATATCCATGGGGCAATATACTTTATACTGTGTGTCTTTAAGTTATGACTTTATTTATTAACAACACAAAAATATAAAATAGTTTTAAGTGAGCAAACACTCCATATACAAGTCTGTCTGCACATGAATTTACACATTGTCTATCTTTTAAGTGGTCGCAGCAGATTTTCTCTCAGAAGATATATTATTAGGATGGTATTCCTGATTGCACCAATAATAATACAGAGGCAGATGTACTCAGTTAGACCCACAAAGCTAGAAAGGGGCAATAAAGTCAGTGCTAAATCTAATCTGATGTGTACACTTCAGTCAGGAATGAGGTAAAGACATGAACAGCAGATCTACGACTGAATAAAACACACGTGAACAACGTGCAGTTGTTCGGTGTTGTGATGTTGACTAATGCTGCCTAGATAAAGGAGGTTGTGTAGCCTGTTTTTCTCCAGAGGTGACTTGCTCATGCTGAACTACATGACTGTTACTTGCCACAGACACACACACTAGATAGACACACACTGTTTGGAGAGATAATGTCTGGAGAACACACTCACAGTAAGTAAGTAAAGACTTTACTAAGGTGCAACACACACACATGGCAGGAGAGGTACAAGCATGCACTTCAGGTTTTGCTGATGCAGAGACTCCCTTCATCTTTAAATATGTTGTTTCAGTTTGAAAGTTTGTTAATTAAATGTGAAGTCATTTTTTTATTTTTCCTATGGACTTTGACGGAGCCGCAAGTTTGTGACAGATTTTTCCTTTCTATTTATCTGTCACTTCAGTACATCCTTGGTAACCTTGTCCTGACAAAGACAAAGCTTCACTTTTGTCCCCTAATCAACATTTGAATGTGTGAATAAACTGTAGCTGAACACCAACTCCCTTTTCATTTCTCTTTTCTGCAGGGTGAGGACTGAGCTCCTCAGTCAGCTTGTGTCATCTTTACAAAGCAGCAGCCTTCAGCAGTCTGCGCTGGTGGAAGAAAGTAGCAAACTGCTGGAACGATCCCGCAACTTCCACACCAACATACTACATGGTGCCCAGGAGAAGCAGTGCTCTCTGAGCGGGGACCTGGAGGTGTTTCAGGTTTTGTTGAAGTCCACACGATCCTGGGTCGGAGATCTGAGACTACGTGTTGACTCCCCACTTGGTGAAAGACACGGTCTGCAGAGTCCTGTAGAGCAGAGACTTCACCATGCTCAAGTAAGGAAACTTCACTCACTCTGACTGAACAGCTCAGTGGGTCTACATACTTGGCAAATCATATCCTGCAACAAATCTGATCATGATTCATTTGATTTAAGACACAGCAAAGGTGTTTTCTAAGAGCGTGTACTTTTCAACTACTTTAGTCTGAATGACATCTGGGTTAAGTACCTGTATTTCATATAATTAATATTTTTATTTTGTTTCATATAGTTGTAAAAGGGAGTGTTTACAATAGTGTGTAAACTATTGTCTACATTTGTTCTTACTTGTTCCAAAATGGGGACAATCAAGCCAGTGTGTAGAACTGACGATATGATGACTGAAATTTTCTGTAACACTTATGTTACAGATTTGTCTGTTATACCGGGAGAATCATGGAGACGTTTTTGTCACTTTTCATGTTGCTGCATTCTGAATAAGTTATGCACAGATCTGTGAAAATATATATTTCAGGCTGTGGTAAGTGCAACCACAGATGGAGCCGCTCGCCTTGAGGAGCTCAGAGTTACTGGAAATAGTCTGAGCCACAGACTGAGTGATGGAGATGATCTGAAACAGGAAATTCAGGAAACCATTCAGAGAGTAGAGGAGCAGTGGAGGGACCTTCAGCAATCAGTTGAGCCTTATCACAGGTGAGTGGCTTTAATCAGTTAGATCATTTTAATCAATAAGAAAAATGCCAGTCCTGGGTTTGGACTTAATTATTTTGTCATTTGTGTGTCCTGGTGCTTTAGGGTTCTGCAGACTGATCCAGAGGTCACCTCCTCCCACCTGTCCAGACGACAGGAGGTCGGCTGCAAGGTGGAAGAGCTGCAGCGCCAAATTGCTCAGCTCCCCACCTTATTCCCCTGGCCTGGCACAGCTGAACGTAGACAAGCCTGCCTTCTAGCCCGTCAACTGTTGGATGAATCTAAATCCCTGCAGTTAACTCTTACCAGCCTGACTGAACAGAGGAGAGATCTGGCTGAGCGAACCAGTGACAACATCTGGGCAGATTCCTCCTGGGTTGAGCTGGACACCTACTGCCTATCACTGATGGCAGAGCTGACGGTAAAACTTTACTCTTCATTTTAAAGTGATGATCGTGGTTTAGCACAGTGATTCCCAACCAGGGGTACCTCAGGGGATACTCAGGTAAATGTAATAAACAGTTTAATTGAGCTAAAATTTAGCTAAAAGCAATGGACATATACAAAAAAATACAGTAGCTAGACAAAAATTATCGATAAACAATAGATAATCAGGCAAAAAAGTCAGGTTAAAGTAACGAATAAATGTTAAAATAATTAGTTCAGTTGTCAGTTCATCAAAAGGTAAAGGTAAGTCTAATAGTAAGTTGAAATGTGTCAGCTAACACAGATAGCTAAATAGCTGAACGGTCCAACTTCTGCCATTCAAAGCGACAGAAGTAGCACTGCAAACTGACTGAACCGACCTAAAAACTAACAATTCATCTGTATGAAACAAGATGTCCATTCTATTTAGCGTTAACATCCACATATGAGGCATTACAGGTTGGTCAGTGAAGGGATACTTGAGCTCATCTGATGGAGATGCAGTTATTATAATCACAGTAAGTATGTGTTCTTAAATATAAGTCCTCTGACTGTTTGTTTGGTTATCACTCAAATGTCTACAGGATGCGTGTTCCCGCCTCGAGGAAGGTGCAAGTAATGAGGAACATTTTGGCCACTTACTGCAGGACTGCCACCATAAATTGACAGCCCTGCAAGAAAGGATGACAGCTTGTCAAGCCCAGAAAGAAAGCTCAGCTGAACTGCCCACTGATGTACCAGCTCTGGAGGTGAGGTCCATTAAGTAAACTGACCTGGTGAATCATGTACAAGCTCTCATTACATTTTTATTTCACATTCCCTCTACATTAAAACCATGAAAAAGACATTTATGTGAAGGGAATGGAGAATTTTCTAATATTTAGCCACCTAGATTGTGTTTCTGTTTACAAGAACAAACAACATGTTCATGATCCAATCCCTCCACTTTTCAGGCTTTGCTACAAGAAGTAACAGACATGGAAAAAGACACTTTGCAACTTGTTACGCTGAAGGACTCTATCACAAACAGCTCCACGGTCGAGGCCCAAGCCAGCCTCTCCCAGCAAGTCAGCATCCTCCAAAACCACAAGAGGGCACTAGACAGCAGCATCAGAGAAAACCTGGCACTGCGCAAAAAAAACAACAACCAGAGAGATCAACAGGTGAAGGAAGAGGTCTCCTGTGTACAGACAGCTGTGAAAGACCTGGCTGCAAATGTTGGCAATCTGTGCGGGAACCTTGAAGTGCTGCCTGATATCAGCCAGCTCAGACAGGAGTGGTGTGCCATACAGGTAACATTAAAAGACCCGAGGTGAATAGGTTCGTGAAGGAATACATGCTGAATGAATACGTCTGTCTGTCCACCCTGTCCAGCATGAAATCTTAGACAGCTTACAGTATTTTTAATCACAGAAGCGTTTGTTTCTCTCCCAGGACTTTGATACCAGACTGACAGAGTTGGCTGCAAGAGTTTACAGGCTGCAGAATACTGGAGAGTCCAGCATCACACAAGACGTGCTTCCTGCAGATGTCACTTTGACTGTTGATGGAGTTGCTAAAGATGTTGACAGGTGCTTCACCTCACTCCTGGTTTCAAAACAGAAATGTTTTTTATCATAATTATTTACTTACAATTATTGTAACTAAATAACAGGTTCTTCAGCTTTATTTATTCTCCCAAATGAGGCTAAAGGTTTCAGCTCATAGAGGGGCTGATGAGGGAGTAAGAGGCTGATAGGAAAGTAATTTCTAATGTGTGGGTTAAAACCTATTCAAAGTTATGCCAGGAAAAGAAGTTGGGCGGACAGCAATGCTCTATTTGCAACAGAAAGTAAATGGAGTTGATGGGAAATGTGGTTTGACCTTTTGAAAAACACCTTCAGTATCAAAACCACTGCATTGAGATAGAGGCTACCTGTTTTTAAAAACAAAGAACCACAGTTTATTTGTAGATGCACTCTTGCCATATATTACTTTTTTCTAATCTTTTAAATATAGTAAGAACTAATTTCCTGCCTGTTTGTTCCCTCTCTTGTGTCCTAATTCTAGCCTCAGGTCCATTTTTCTACAAAGGAAGCAGGAGTGTGCAGAAAACACTGCTAACAGGGTGAGACAGGTCGTCAGGCGGCTGCAGCAGTGGAGCCAAACAGTACAAGCTGAACCATCATCGCCCAGTCAGGTAACACACATGTTTCTGTTTCATATAAAACACAATAATGTAGCCTACAGAGTCTGCTCTGTCACTGCCAATTAGATAAATTAAAAACTGAATTCTGAACAATAATAAGAAAAAGAAAACTCTTAAATTAAAGCATGCTGGGCTTCAACCGGCCCTTCATGTCTGTGGCTTTGAATTCGCAGAACAAGTTCAAGACAATAAGTAGTTCCCATAAATGCAGGACGTTAAAACGTTTAATCCTGTTTGAGCCTGCACTTTGTGTCATTACGAAGACTATTATCTTTTACCGTCTCTGGCTTTGGACAAAAACTTTTTCAACCCAGCAGGGGTTTTATGTCTCTAAAATGCCACAGGTCCGTCCTTTTATAAACTACTAGAATGAGAATACCCTCTGTGTGTCCTCTGTGTGGTACATGGTGAACATAATAGATAGATGAATCCTTCTGACTTTGGAGATCCGCTGACTTTTACTTTATTATCACATTGAGGTTGACATCTATGGTTTTGAGTGAAATGTCTCAATAACTATTAGATGGATTGCCATGAAATCTGATACACACATTCATGTTCCCCACAAGATAAACCATAATAACCTTTCATCTTTTCCAATTCTTTGGTTTATTACTTGCAAAACTAATGACTAATGACCCATCACCTTAACCAGCACTTTGTGTTAAGTGCTAATTACTTTGTGTTAATGCTTACTCACTAAGCTAAGATGCTGAACATGGTAAACCTTATTCCTGGTAAACATCAGCACGTTAGCTGTGTTATTGTGCGCGTGCTAGCCTTTAGTTTCAGTTACCATGCTGTGTCTGAGTGCAGCCTCACAGCCTCTTGAATGGTTGTAAAACTCCACACTGTTGGAGCGCTGGTTCTTGCAACACCACGAGGACAGGGCACTTTGTCGTATTCACCTCCTGTTGTATATGTGTCTGTGCTCTGGTAGGCGGCTCTGGATGAAGGTTTGCAGCTTCAACGATCTCTCCGTGGAGTGCTCTCAGAAAAAGATTTTCTTCTAAATACTTTGGGACCAAAAGTCTCAAAGAAACTGAAGAAAAAAGCTTCATACGCTCTGAATGAAAGCACACCTGCCCTCGAAACCCTTTCTAAATGCCTGGTGAGTTTCTTTTCAGTCGCTGAATCTCACAGCACAAAACAATGATGATGATAATGTTGTTTGTGTGGTTAAAACTTTTTGTCCATTTTCCTGGTTTTCATAGGCGAGTCAAGGTCATAGTGAAGTGGAATTTAACAACAAAGATTTGACATGTGAAACTGTTGAAGAAACTTTTAGAAGTGACGCACCACATTCAGCTTCACCAGAGGAGACTGTGGCCGTGTGTCCTTCAGCGTCTCCTTCCTCTCCTGCAACAGACGAGGAGAAGTCAGAAAGTGATCGGCATGACAGCAAAATCATAACCAAAGGCTTAGAAAAGCATCATCCTTCCACTCAGCTCCTCACGAACACTTTAGGAGCATGTAATGTGGAAGCTGATGCCACAAGAGAGGACGACGAAACATGTATATCTATGGAACAAGCGTGTGCTGCAGATAGCTTTATGCAAACAGCCAAAAAAGATGCCTTAGTACCAAATCAAGCACCAAGTGCAAAAATCCCAGATGTTTTCAAATCAGAAACTCAACAGGAATCACAACAGCTAACATCTTCTCCACCAAAAAACGATGATATTGTCGACATTCACGCAGATAGTATTCCTCAAAGCGAAGGGCACAGGACACTTTCTGGAAATAACACCGAGCCTTTAATGTCAAATACGGTGCAAACTCTCGACAAGAGTTTAATAGCTCAGCAAGAGAACTCTGAACCATTGCAGGAAGACACAACCTCAGTCCTGGACTCAAAACTATCAGCTATAGGCACAGACAACACCAAAAACATCAGTTCACCACATTTTATGACATCCCTGGAAACAAACCCTCACGACTTTCCACTTTCTAACACTGAAAATGTGTCAGAGACATTTAAGGCAATTACTGATGCTCAAGAACAAGAGAAACCCTGTGAGGACGTCAGTGTGACCCCAAAGAAAGCATTAACAGTCGTGCTGGACGTGCAGGAAAATGAAAACATTGGAGCCACCAGGGCAGATGTACCCGCATATTCAGACGGAGCAGAGCTAGAGCGGTGTGATGCAAAATTCACAGAGGCTGCAAACACAGGATTCCCTGAGAAGAAACCTGGACTGCAAACAACATTAATCAGTCCAGAATCAGACAAAACTGACTTGAAAAGCCTTCATTTAGCATCACAATCAAAGACTTTAAAACCAGTTACTGATGCTCAAGAAACAGGGAAATACTGTGAGGATATCAATGCGAGCCCAAAGAAAGTGTTTACAATAGTGTTGGACATGGAGTTTCCTCTGTACCAGCCACAGGACATGCAGCCAAGGGGAAATGTTGGAGCCAGCAGCCCAGATCCCTGTGGCACAAAGATCACAGAAGTTTCAAGGACAGGACTCCCTGAGAAAAAATCAGAATCGTTTTCAACATTAATCAGTCCTAAAGCAGAAGAAACAGACTTGAAAGGCCGTAGTTTTAAATCAAATGTGTCTCAAGTGGCAGACTCACTGTCAGAAAAGCCCTTAGCGTCAAAGATGGTGCAATCTACAAGTGCCAAATTATCATGCAAAGAAAAGTCAGAAACCCATGAATTAATGCACAATGATGTGTTGAATTCCTCCAAATCATGTTGCGCTGTTACTGAGTGTCAGCTCACTGGCACTCATGCAGCAGAAACAACATTTCCCAATGTCAAACAAGGGGAGGTGACAGGTTCCTGTCACACTGAGAAGCAAACAATGAGCTCAGTCTTATGCGCTGTGGAAAGTTCAGCGCAAACTGGAGGTGCCTTAACTACAACTCACATACCTGCCGGTGACAATAAACAGGTAATGGTTGCTGACGCTGCAGAGAGCACAGGTACGGGATATGCAGAGACGGCAGAAGCAGAAAACACAGAAGAAGCAAGTGATCCTGAAGGCCCTGAGTCCATACGTTCGGATGCGCCAGAAAGACAAGAAAACACTTTGCTGCGAAAAGGAGAAAGTGAATCAAAGTTACCTGCAGCGCTGGAGGACAAAGAGGTGACACAGGGACAGGTGGGTTTCATTTTGAAATATTACTCAGTGGATTTTCTACTCTCCTTCTTCTCAGATTCTTCATGTAATGTCTTTTAATGTAATATATTTAATGTAACATGTCATCCTAACCTGAAAATTAAGTTGATTTTCAATTTAACAATCTCCAACTTTATGGATTATTTGGATAAAATCTCCATGTTTTTCAGTGTTTCAGCTTTTATTAGACGGTACATCATAGACAGCTACAGGAAACAGGGAGGCAGAGGGTTGAAGGTTGAAGGTTGAAATATCTTTATTATCCCCGAGGGCCAAATTGTTGTGCAGCCAGCAGTAGCCAAACAGACCACAAACAAACAGCAGCACTCGACCCCAGGGGGTTGACAAAGGGCTAAAAAAGATGTTGAGATTACATGATCGACATCTTAGACCTCAACAAGCCACAAGTACAAATTAATACAATCATTTGGCTGCTTTTCCAGCTTTTAAAATCATTAGAGAAACATAATCTCACAAAGTTAATTAAGCTCTGCAAATTTATCACAGTTTTCACTTGTTAGAGAAATTTGAACAGTGTGAAAAAGTTTCTCATCCCTACAGGCAGAAGTCCCAGATGTCCCAGACAGAATTACAGCTGTCTTAAATTTCACACGTCAAACAGAGTCTTTTTTGACATTTACAAATGATTACCTTTTCCCTATCTGACCTTCATGTCAGTGTGTGTGTGTGTTCAGTGAAACTTGGGTATTTCTGACATTTTGCAATTGTAATTTTATCCTGAATTGTGCCCTACATTTACCTGAATCTTACGTGCTCTCAGTCATTTATTACTCTCACCATTTGGCATTTAAATGTCATAATTTTTTGCCAAAGTGCAGTCATACAGTTTTTGGCAATTATATTTTTTCAAACATTGGTCATCCAGTGGAAAGATATTTATTTTATCTCTTGACTAATGAATGAAATCCATGTCACATATTGCCTTGTGTCTGGCACAGAAGAAATCATTAACTGCCTATCACAAAAAAACGGTGCAATACCCTATGACACAATACGAGAACAATTGTGTGAAACTGTGAAAACAACCATACTCCGATGTAATCTGACAGGAAATCTGTTAAAAATCTTCTTTAAAAAAAAAAAAAAAAAGCAACACATGGAAAACACTTGTTAATTCAGACACGATCCCCCACCAGATTTTTATGGTTTTTCCTGGCACCTGTTGCGTGCGTATTCTCAGCCTGAAGCAGCTCCCAAGACAGATTGCAAATTAAGTATGAAAGGAAAAATAAAGATGCTGAGGCAGAAATATGTGTGCACAGCAGTCAACACTGACAGAAAGTACCCACATTCTCTGGCAGGGGAAAAATACAGCATGAGAACCATTACTACTTTACCATTGCTAATACTTGCCTCCTGCAAATATGGCAACTGCTGATATCTGCAGAGACAATGCGGCACCGTGCCATCACTCCAACCCTCCAAAGTTTCGAGATGTGTTTTGATAGTACAAGCCACAGTGCTCAAAAACATTTTTGGTGTTTGAGGAATTTCTCAAACTAAGACAACCTGCCATTATTGTGAGTAATAACAGCATGCCTTCTCTCTTTTCTCTATAAACTGACTGTCCTAAAATCTTCTGCCAAATACCAGAAGATTTGTATTTAAGAAACAGTCAATTGTCTTTCTGACACTAATTTGACTCTATTTGTTAAAGGATGCTGCACTGAGGAAGGCAGCGGGTTGTGTTTATAAGAGACAGTTGGTTGTTTGATAAAGCTGCTTGGTCTGAGTGATCATGATTAAGGAGACACTTCCAATAAAACTAAAAGGGGAGTCAGAGAGCGTAGACGTCCACCAATATATTGAAATTGAACCATATATAGACATATTAAAGTATGCACTCACATAGTGTTCAGAAGGAAAAGAGTCGGACACTGGTAAGGAATGCTAATTTCAGGCTGTAGATGAAAGAACACTCAGCTCCCAGAAAGAAATGAGTTTTGCCTTTATCAGCTGCCACTTAAAGCTTTGGTCTTCTGCACCTAAATGTTTGAACCACTTATGACAAAAAATATTTGTAAGTCAAACTTGACTCAAACAGTGTAAAATATTCTGTGTTGTACTGTTTTTTCCTACAATAAATGAGCGGTAACTCCTCTTCTCGTTCCAACTACACGCTGCGACAACACACGTCTTGATCATGCCCAACATATTTTAAAAGGCACCTCCCCTGTTTGTAATTAAGTAACCGAGCAGATCATGTCATGTTTTGGCGTTTTCCCTGTCTAACCATGTTATAACAGATCAGTTATTTCTGTGAAGAAGTATGGGAGGAAGCACTTTGGAGATGAATAGATGGAGTCCTCCCTCAGGGCAGGCTGCTCCCTACACAGGCGCATTCTTATGTTAACTGTACTGACTCGCCGGGCCACTGTCAACACAGTAATATTTACCAGTGTAGAGCAGGGAAAAAACTGGAAGCCCTGTTATTATCTGTGGACAAACACAGGGAAGAAGAAGGCTAAAAAGTGACACCACCCCTTGTCTTCTGTGTATGCAGCGTCAGATGCAAGAAGACATGGAGCCTGAGAGGACGACGCTGGGTTTGTCAGCTGATTGGGGTGCCGGAGAGACGACAGGTGGATCACCAGCGTCCTGCAAACACAGATCCACCATGCTGGATATCTTGTCTGAGATACAGAGCTTGGCGGAAAGAAGTAACATAATAAATGTGAGTATCAACTGGATTTAATTAAAAAAAACTTACTGGACCTCTTTCAGAGTTAGATCTACTCTAGGCTATATTGCAAAGCATTTTCTATGAGTTAATATATAACTATAACTAACACACATATATATATATATATATATATATATATATAACTATAAACTGATTTGTGAAAGTGTGAATTTTAGAGTGCGTTTACTAAAGGTTAAAGGGTAAATTCTGATTAGCAGAATTGCAGTGTTTTTTATTCACTGTTTGTGGATGTTTTAAGCATTTTAGTGATATAATTCAAAGTATGAATGCATAGCTCCGTTTGTCCAAAAGGGCAAGAAGCCAATCATAAATGCATGGAACAGTGAATAGATAGGCGAAGCAGTCTTATGATTAATGTGTATTGTGTATTCCCATGATGCTGTCGGCAGGAAGGTCTACAGGAAGGGAGATGCAATGATTTCCTGCTGGGTCGTTAGTGGGTATAATTACACACAGTATACAGTTTGTGACTGGCGCTGTCATAGTTTGAATGCTTTTTGATACCAAGTGTGATTTTTGTTTAATTATGGGGAAAAAAGAAATTCACTATCCTCCATAAAAAAACATTTCCACTCCAACATAATTCAGGTAGCAATTACAACAACAAAGTTTCCCCACACAACATAACTGGATAGACAAATTAGCATGGTATACATAATTATACATCATTTGTCAAGAGACAGGGTTGTCTGTTTTCTGCCTTTTTGTTTTTGTTTGTTTTTTTGTGGCCGGTTTCCTGCCATTTTTTGCATATTATTGTCATTATTATCACCAGCGGAGGTTCAGATCTATAGGGGGCTAAAGCAAACAGTGTTTCCCACCAATTTTGTTTTGTTTGTTGTTATTATGTTGTAGAGGAGACCACACATTGATTTAAATTGGTATCTGAAGTCCTCTCCTGGTGAACCAGAGATTCGCCTGATGCGAACTGTCCAGCAGGTTCTGGCATGTCGATATCAACCAGCACAACTCGATGTGGCTGCTATGGCCAAACAGCTGGAGGAAGCAGAGGTATGTGCACCAACTTCTGTATCACAAGAGCTTCATTTTGCTTCAACAATTTTACTAAATAAAGTAGAATTAGATTTTTATATTACAGAGAAAAAGCAATGATTTATAAAATTGTGTAATCTGCTCTAAAGCCAGTACTGTTTACTGCAGCAATACAGGTGCTGTGTGCAGGAGCGAGTAGCTACTATGAAAAGCATGAGTGCTGCCTGGGAATGTGACCCAATCGCCTTGAAAAGAGCTGAAGGACAATGGAGTGCAGCACTGCTGGATGCCTCTGCCACAGTGCAGGTGAAAGCAGCACAGCTGGACCAGGTCAGACGCTATCACAAACAGATGAAGATGACCAGAGTTTTTCTGGAGGTTTTAGCTGCTGAGAAGGAAAAAATGAGCCTGTGAGTAATCTTTTGATCTGAAATTAAGCTTTTGCTGTAATTGACGTCATTATTTGTTGATAGTGTTTGTTTGTGTGCTTTGATGTATGGTACACTCATGTTTTCCTGGCATGATTTTTGTCAGAAACGCTTTGGGAAGTAGTGCTGTTCAAGCTGACAAACTCCACGCCCTGCTGCAAACCATGGAACAGAAGAAAAGCATCATGGAGGAGCTGCTCCACCTAAGTGGCCAGTTATCAGTCCACTTGAGTGACGCAGAAAGTTCGGGTGCTCTTCTTGCCCAGCTTGGAGACGTCCAAGAGGAATGGAGGCTTTTGGAAGGAGGTATCAAGAGAGCTCTACAACACGCCACAAACTCCAACTCTCAATCCTCTCTTCTTATAAAAGAGGCCGATCAGCTTAAAGCCAAGGTCGAAGCTCTTCAGAAATCCAACTTTCAAAGCAACGACAGTAAAAGTGCTTTAGAATTTGTTTGTCTGAGCACAGACCTAAAACTGTACAACCAGCTTTATCTGCACTTACAATCCCAGTCAGATGCTCTCGTCCATTTCTCTCTGGGTCAGAAGGAGAAGGATGAGATCCAGTGTAATCTTCAGGAATTGGGATCATTGCTTAATGACGCCAAGAGAAAGCTTGATACTTCCACGTATAGCTGTGGAGGCATTTCCTCAACTAAGATCAACAAACAATTACAAGACCTGATCATGTGGGCCAAGCAGGCGGAAAACCACATCTCCATTGGGAAAAAGTTAGCTCTTTTCCCAGAGGAGGCTCGTATTCAGATTGTTGACATGAAGAAATTTCAGACTGATATTTTTTCCCAACGGTCCAAGATGCAAGCACAAGTTGAGGAGATGAAAGATGTAGCCTTTGACATGGGAAAAGAGGAAAGCGACGAAGTATTGAAGACAGTAGAGGACCTCTATGAAGCCATTGTCGACAGCCTGGATCATGTTCTTGTTACCTTGAAGAAACACCTACACGAGCGGGAGAAACTCTTATCCCAGCTTGCTAGCGCGGATGCCTGGCTAGCAGCAACACATGCTACAAGAGACCCCTGTACCCATGTTGAAAATGTGTCCAAAGCTGACATCCAAGAGCTGGAGAGCAAGCTGGAGAGTCACAAATTAGCCACTGTGGAAATACAGAGCCAACTAAATCTGGTGGAGGCGATGGCTGAAAGTTGGAAGGACATGGCAGTAGGGTTGAGTCCAGGAGAGAGCCGCTACCTTGTCAACAGACTGTCAGGCCTCTGGACAGAATTGGATGGACTGCTGGCTCATGAGAGAGCAACCAGCTGGGAACTAGAGGAGCTGATTCATGAGCGAACATCTTCAGATGAGGAGTTATCAACCATCCAGGCTAGTTTAAAGCAAATTTCCGCTGATTTGGAGAAGCAAAAATTCCCTCTAACACAGGAAACCCTTTCGACAGTTGTACATTTGAAGCACATGCTAATGGAGAATCAGTGTCAAGTACAAGAGCTTCAGCACTGCCATGAGGCCAAGCGTAGCACCTTGCTGTACACCATTGGAGAACTGCAAGACAGGTGCAAAGCTCTCAGTCTTAATGCTTTTGAGCAAGACAAATATCTGCACCTGAGGAGACAAATGGAGGAATCTAGGGACATTGCCAAAGAGCAAATCCAGCGTGCCAAAGACAAAACAATCAGTGTGGGTGAGAGATTCAGACTGTGCCAAACACTCCTGGTTGAACTTCCTTTAGTGAAGACACAGTGTCAAGAAGCAGGGGACCAGCTGGAGGCCATAGCTCAGGATCTGTACCCATCTGAACTGAATTCAGAGAGGGAGAGGATTCACTGCACTGTGGAAACTTTGGTCTCCTGGGAGCACTCTGTCACAGATGATATCAAATACCTAGAGGCCAAGCTTCTGTTGGGTCTGCGCTTTTCCTCCGAACTTCCTGCCTTAATTGAGCTTTTCCAAAATACAAGAGTGGAGCTGGAGGGAGCCAGGCCAGTCGATCCAGAGGAGAAAGCAATTGACAGTGCACTACGAAGATACTGGGTCATTTGGAGAAATATGGAGTCTGGGATGAGGGTTTTAGAAGCTCTCGGACGGAAGGAAAAAATTAACCTGAAGAACTTCAAGGAGCTATACTCTCTCAGGGATGCAGCCATGCAAGAGTGTCATTTACAAATGGTAAGATTAAATATTCTGTTAATCCAGCCTACTTTTGAGTTTCTCTAATTTTGCAATTTATTCTTTTGATTGTTGCTTCTCTAAACTCTCTTACTATTTATTCAACAGGAGAGTTTATCTCAGGCTCGAGAATCCTTGAAGGATTACCAGTGGGCCGCTCAAGGAGCAATAGCCTTTCTTCATAATGCTGAAGGCACCTTTTTGTCAGCTCCCGGAGGGTTTCTGGACTGCACCGAGGAACAGAGACAGACCCGGCAGGCTTTAAAAGCTCTAGAAGACGGATTTCAGGCTCATATCTGCCACCTTGTGGAACTGGTCCCCCAGCAACCCTGCCTCTCCCGCCCCAAGGCCGAGCAGCTCCACATCGGTATTCTCACCCAGTTGTTGGTAGGAAGAGCTGTACTGGAGGCCCAGGCCCAGCTCAGGCTGGAGTCCTTGCAGAGGTACCAGGCTGTTCGCAGTCACTAAAACAATTCAACATACCTTTTTGTCTTTTCATCATGTGGTTATTTCTCTGCTTTTCTAATTCAAAAAAGTAAAAATCACCTAAAAGACAAATTTCTTATAGTTGTGCAGCAAGACAACAAAGCCACAGGAGCTGTCATGAAGACGTACGGCAGCGTCTTTCTAGGTCTGAAGCTGGACTTTCAGAATGCGCTGCGGCACAAATCACGTCATATGACAAATGTGTTGCCCAACAAAAGAGAGCTACGGTAAGTTCGGTGCAGAGCTAATTCCCTGTTGTGTTTCAAACACTGGATCTACTTTTTGACACTGAACAATTCGCCACTTGTACGAGTGTTACAGGAATTCATCCGACCTGTTTACATGCAATTTAAATCTTAAACTTTCACCTCCACATGAAGCTACTGATGGAGGATCTCCGCAACCTTGCTGGAAAGATAGAAGAACTGAGGGCTGGATGTCCGATGCAGGGCTGCGGAGTTGGTAAAGACGGTGAGCTGGCTGCCCTCTGGCGCCGTTGGGTATCGTTACGACGTGGCGTTGGCGTTCTGATGGCACACGCAGAACAGAGACAAGAGGAATGGAAGGACATCACTACAAGTGTGAGTTCACCAACCACAAACCCTTCTATGCATCTAAACGTGACCTAATGTGTACGTCCAGCTACACATATAAATGATTGAAAATTGGGTTATTGGATTATAACATACACGACATAAAGAACAGATACAGATCATATACAGATAATATTAAAGATTCAATTCTATTCCTTTTAGATTGAGCAGTGTTGCAGTTTTTTGGCCAGTCTTCAGGCAGAGGTGCCTGACTCCTCCACTGTGAGCTTCACTCAAGAGAAACCCCTGGAGCTTCTTGCCCAGGCTGAGATGCACCAGGCCGGCCTGGAGCAGGAGCAGCAGGCCTTAGCCTCCCTGGAGCATCGACTGGAGCATGCCCTGAGCTTATCCAGTTCACAGGATCCCATGAGTCCCGGACCTGTTGGCAGAACACTGGTGAAGATCCAGGAGAATGTCAGGAGGTGGGATTTGTTTTATATACAGTTATGGAAAGTGATTACTCGTATATATATCAGAGATGCTGAAAAGATACTGTTCCCCGCAGCCTAAAAGAGAGAAACCTGCTGCTGGTAGCTGCAGCCCAAGCAGAGGAGAAAGAGAGACAGCAAGTCCAAGAGGAGATAGGAGAGGTGGAGAAACACATGCTCGCCACTATCCCCACGCTGGAAGCTTGTTCGAACGCAAGCAAACGACAGGTCAGACTCGTTTATCATTTATGCTTCACAAACTTGGAAACTAGAATTTGAGATTTTATAGGAAAGCAGATGAAGTGACATTTTGGAAAGCAAAAGATAATGCGACTCGAAACACTGAAGTGTGTTTCAATGTGCATTACTTTGGTTTTTCATCAATGATGCAATGGTGAAGTTTTGAGTTACAACAAAGTATACCTTTATATTATGCTTAAAACAAGTTTATTTTAATGTCAGGGTAAGTCCAGTGAGGAACTGTGAACTGTTCTCAGCCCGCTTTTTATCACTTTTAGCTACAGACCACATGGATCTTCTGCAATTAGATTATAGACTGTTAGTGGTCTTTTCAATTGGTCATTGGTCTAAACTGTCTTTATCTGTGACAAGCCAGCAGTCCAGTCTATGGTCCACTGCCATTTCCTTCAAGGATAGATCATATTGAACTCATGAGGGGCTGCTGCATTCTTACCATTTACCTTTTCTCTTGCATTTCCACACTGACAGGAGCTCAGAGAGGATCTGTCCTCTCAGAGGTCCAAGCTAAAGTCCATCATGCATGGTGTAGAGAGCCGGTATGAAGAGATTCCTGATGATATCAGCAAACGGTTACAAGAAGTTCAACTGTCCCTACAGAGAGCAGAGGAGAAGGTAACAGCACTGAAATCATCCTCAGTGACATCAGTTATCTCCGAACCAAAATGAACCAAAACCCGCTGACTGTGTGCGATTGTGTGTTTTTACAGCTCATGGAGGGGAGCAGCCCGGGTCGCAAGCTGGCTGGTCGAATGGTGGAGCTTTGTTCTGGCCTCAAGAAAGTGAAAGCGTCACTGGAGCAGAAAAGTCCAACAGTCAGCGATGCTCAAAATATGCTCAAGGTGTTTACAGTAATATATGCTGTTAATAGAGTTAAAGGTTGAGTGATTATTTGTCACATTATTCGTATGATATTTTTATAATGATATATAATAATGTAACTTTTTACATCACATTATGTCATCTCAAACACTGACATACTGTACATCCTGTATTCTCCAGCATGTTTGGGATGAGCTGGATGCGTGGCACAGTCGCTTGATGATCCTGGAGAGCGAGGTGCACGATCTTGCGGAGGAGCAGTCGGACCAAGCTCACCTCCTCATGGACCAACTCACACAACCACTGCAGCTCCATCAAAACGCGTCGCAGATGGCTGAACACCGCACTGCCTTCCTCAGCAAGGTCAGACGGACTATGTTGTACAATATTTATACTGTGTTGTACTTAACTGTGAATGCATGAAAAAGCAGTGATGTGAACAGAAACCATGGTTTAACATAGTTGAAAATGAAACCACATAGATAGATAGATAGATAGATAGATAGATACTATTTAATTTGGTTGGGGGAAATTCATGTGTCCGTTAGCTCATTGTTGATAATAATAATAATAACAGTTAATAATTAATAAACAATAATAACTAATTGAGTCCACTTCCTTTGGCTGGATTGTTATATAGCCTGATGGCAGTGGGAACAACTGAAAATATAAAAATCTGTTCCGTAAAAATACCATTCTGCTTTCATCAGATCCCAGTCTGTCTTCAAGAGTTACAAGACATTTTGTACAGCGCCACCTGCTGGATGGAGGAGGCCCAGTCATGGCTCAACGCTCCTTGCTCATTCACAACAGCCAGAAGCCTCCAGAATCATGCAAGCTCTCTGCAGGTCAGTGACACCAAGTAAACCTCACCTGTGATGGGACCTGTGAAATCCCATATCACATCCTTTTATGTGGGATGTATGTTCTGTTTCCTCTATATTCTCATATATTTGATATATGTGTTAATTTATTTATTTGTAGTTTGGTTGCATTCGGAAATAATCTGTTTTCTATATTAGAATTTAGCCTGTTACATTTTCACATATCTTTCAACGATTCTTCTATTATTGTGGCATAATTAATAAGCATTTTGCACACTCTGCTTACATGCTGTATTTATTATTTATTTATACATCCATTGTTTCCATGCAAGTTTTTAATGCCCACATGATAGTATGGTGCTTCTTTATTGTGTCTTGTCACTCTTTCCTATTACACCTGCCAGGCACTTTAATAGACATGATTAGATAATTAATATCAACGTTAATGATGAATTTTATTTTAAATCCTGAACTACTACAGCTGGTCCTGGACGACTCAGAGAGGATTAGGGACACCTTGCAGGGCTTCAGGCCGGTGCTGGCTGAGATCTCTGCTGTGTGTGACATCAGCACGCAGGAGAAGCAGCTGGACCAGAATGACCAACAAGTCCACAAAATGCAACGCAACCTCCTGGAGCCACTGGAGCAACTCCTGCAGGCTGCCGTGGTGAGAAGTTCAAGCTGAGGATGTAAACAAATTTATTGTAGACTTACAGGTTTTTAGTGACCCCAAATGGCAGTGGGAGGAAACTACGGGAATGTTTTTTTTTTTTTTTTTTTAATTTGGTTCCTCCCACTTCCTTTGTGCAAAGAAGATTTAACTCTCACACCTGATTCCCATTCGGGCAGATTGGCTGAATCTGTGGAATCTTGGTCACAAATGAACTGATAAACAGACGTATACTGTACATCTACAGACAGCAGGAAGCGAGAGGAAACAATGGCAGATTTATGATGCGCAGCCAGCCAACAAAAATGGGCACTTAAGCAGCATATGAAACACAATTACAAGTCAGATCTCTCGGAAAAAGTTGTTGGCATTCTTCTTTTCAGGTGGTGGAGGTGATGGAAGCTGAGCTTAAGACTATGGAGAAGAATGTTCCCAAGATCAGAACCATTTTATCCTCCATGGACGACTCCAACATAACTCTAACGGAGCATCTTCAAAACCGACAGGTGAAGTTACGCAATTATGATTTCTATTTATCCATTTCATGCACGGCACAGAGAGAGCATGCAAACAGTAGTGCAGGATAATTGTAAAAATATTCAACACTTAAGATTAAGAGCTAAGGAATGCAAGGATTTATTAAAGTTCGATACTAATATTATTTCTTTGTTGTGACTGCTTTATGAACAAAACATACAATTTTCTTCCTTAAACATCACACTTCTTTCTCTACATTTGCTAAAATGTCCAAATGACAATTTCATAAAATGAAATGGAAACATTACAACTGAAAATAAAGTATGTAACTATTTTCAATTCCAGCTACACAGTTAATTTGCTGCAGAAGGAAACAAAATTCCTATGAGAAAACAAAGACGCACCTTTTCTTTTATCACGTGTTTAGGAGAAACAAAGCTGTAAACATAATAAAGTCCTCTTATATTTAATTGAATTCATAAAACATTTTTCACCAAACTGTCCATCAAGCATCAGTAGTTTGTACAGAAGTTTACACACACATTGATTCCATTTCTGGTTTCGCCTGCAGGTGATCCTGGCCAATGTGCAGTCAATGCAGAGGACACTGGAGGAGCTGGAGAAATGCAAAGTGGAGCTTCACCTCCCACAAGGCGCAGAGGAGAGCCTGCTGGCCTTCTCCCGAACCGGACTGCTGCTGCAGCCGCTCGAGGAGCTGGAACAACTCACACAGCAACAAGCCTCTCTGCTGGAGGTACGGCATCAAGTCTGTAATGAATAATGAAGAAGACGTGGGGGTTAGGCAGGAGATGCTTACAATGATCGCAGTTATTCTGCTAGCATAACATCACAGTGAACTGTGATTTGAATAAAGTTTTTTGATAGTTTGTTTCTTTATGTAATCTTTACAAAACACACTCAAGGTTGTTCTGTATCTTTTGTTATTGGAATTAATGTAATGGTCCTCTCATCCCTCAGCCTCCTCCCTCACAGCACAGCGACACAAAGAACCACAATGATACACAACGGAACAACCTTGAATGTTTTTCATCAACTTAAGTCACTTGTCACTTCTTTCTCCAACACAGAACAAGATTAGGGAGGAGGAAGAAACCAGTAAGGATGTTGGCATCACCCCAGTCTCCAGTAATCCTGAAGAGAGACAGCAGCTATACAGATCTCCACGAAGACACTTAGTCCAGGTAATAATAATATTACTAATCCCAGTCATAATGAAGTAGAATTCATCAAACACCAGCTAAAACAGAACCTCTAGTGTCATGTTTGAATTTAACTTGCCATCAGCTTTGAACGAAACCAATTCAACACAACTCCTACAGTAAAACTTTTAGTTTTACGCAGTCAGTGTGCAGGAGTCCAACACTTTATACCCTGTGCTCTCTGGAATTGGTTGAAGCTGCCTGATACAGACCTGTCTCATAAAAACATCACCCTGAAAATGTTCATCCTACTGGGCTGTGAGGCAGGATCAAGCAAAACCTTTGAATCTTACAGTTTGTTTTTTGGGGGATAATTATTATTATTTTTGAATATTTTCCTACTGTGTACACACAGTAACTGGCATACTGCAAATATGATGTAGTTCCGACTGAATTTTAACTCATCTAGGCCCAATTTAAATCAATTTAAATTAGCACAGATTTTGGATCACATTTCAATGACTTTAAGTCTGGATATAACAATAAAAGAAATTGTTGTTTCCTGGGTAAGATATTAAGTTATCTTCCCCCAAAAAATGAACAGTACTTTTAAGCCAATACACGTTCTTAAATTAACATGCATTCCTCCATTAGACTCCATTAGTCCCCAGGAATGTTCAAGCCTTTTTCTTATTATATAGAATAGTTTTAAGCAGTGAAAAGAACTTAAAATCACATTTGTTTAAATATAGAACAAATGAGTGGATGACAGCTAATGGAGTCATGGAGCTATGCATACTGGAAAAACACTCCCTCACTGATGCCACTTGAATGTTACATTAAGAAAAGGAAAGGTTATATCAATGATTAAGCACAGTACAAGTATTCCTCAGAAAGCCACTTCATTGTTACATTTCTATTTAAATCCCAGTTTTGATCATATCATTCACCCTTATCACTAAAAGCAGGAGGCTTTTGAAGTGTCTAATTCAGAGGAAGAGGAGGAAGAGGATGACGAGAGTTGTCACTCGTCGTCCTCTGACACACTAACATGCAGTATCCCGGAGGTAAATCTGAAACATAATTACAGCTTGGGAATGCTTGTTTCTGGGTGCCTCTTTCTTTGTGTTTCGTTCCAAAATGTCACAGTCAACAGAGTAAAAACTGCTGTCACAAAATCACTGAATTTAAATGATGCAAAACCTCACAAACAGATACGTTTTAGACTTTTTGAATAAATACATTTACTAATTCTATATATTTTGGAATGAAACTCTAAATTTCTTCCTCCTTTTATTAATATTTTTTTTCCTCTTTTATTAATGTTTTGATTTAATGAATTCCACCTTTAATATTCCTCCTTCTTCTTCTTCCTGTGGTTCTAAGGCCTGGAGCAGGTTTTGCATGTTGATAATGAAGCTGTGTGAGGCAGGCTCTTCTGTTCACTGATAAATCCACTCCAGCACTGTCGGATACAGCTGCTTGAAATGTGTTGCTCCTTAGGAACCTTTCCTTTCTTTCCATATGTGTGTGTGTATATGTGTGTGTGTGTGTGTGTGTGTGTGTGTGTGTGTGTATGGATTTCTTCTGCATTTATATATTTGTTCGACACATATTAGGACCCAGAGGAGACACTCAACGTTTCAGATGTGACAAGTGAGGATATTGCTGAAATGAAGCCACTGTCAAAGGTTAAGGTAAATGAGGCTTTCATTTTGGAGATATTTGTTTCATGAACATTTAGTACATTTCTTTAACTAAACTAAATTAAACAATTATTAGCTTTTTTCTAAAAGGTTTTTGTTATCAGTGTAGTTAGAGGAAAGGTACATTTGTCTTTCAGGAACTGGGGAGTTTGGTTCATCAGTTTTCATCTGAAGTGGAGACGAGCTCCAGAGGAGCTGAATCTGGGCTTTTATCTGTGAAGCCTCGCTGTGATACCAACGACTCTGGATCTAAAAATGTCGGAGCTGGATTCATAACAATGGATTCTAAAGCTGATGTTGGCGATTCGTCTCGTCCCGAAACTCTGACAGCTGAGCCCCTGATCTCTGCAGCCATTCCAGCAGCTAAAGACCAGTTTACCGCTGCTACAAAGCCCCCTCAGGCTGCAGCAGCGATTGAAGACACAAGACTGATTCCTGCAAGACCTATAGCTCCATTCACGCCCACGAGAGAATCAGTGCTCATAGAGGATGGAGACAGGGCAGGACATGAGGAAGATGAGAAGGAGCAGCAAAGGTGGAGTCGACTTTATACCCAGATCTATCAAAAACTGACCACTTTGAAAAAAGTTCAGCAGGAGCATCAAACCTTGATTAGCAGCTCAGAAGATGGAGGGACCCATGAAAAGGTAGGAAAACAGAGAAATAATGAGACTGTATCCGATCATTAGGACGTTCGAGACGGGTTGAGTCAGATTTTTTAAAAACAGATGAGCAATGGGAAGAGACACTATGTAGATGAGAGGTGAGATGGGACCACAGTGGATGGAAACGCATCTGTTACCAGGGCAACAGCGGGCTTAACCTTCTGGTTTTGTCCCTTGTGCTGTCGCTTTCAGAGCTTGTTACATATAATGAGAGGCACCAATAGCAGAAACCTTTAAACTATATGATAATATAACTGGTGTGCATGCTCTCTTTAAAATATTATAAATATTGTAATTTTTAAAGGTTTTACTGTCAAAACACAAGAAAAAAATGTCTTTGCCTTGAAATGAAAATGAATGAATGTAGTAATAGTTTTAATTTCTTGCGTCCCGTCCAATTATTCTCTCCATGCCTCTTTATTCAGTCCTCCCATCCTTTCCTCTTCCCTTCTCCCGCTGTGAAACTTGAACTACAATTATCTGGTTTTGTTTAGGTCCCAGAAAAGGAGCCGATATCAAGCAGAGCTGCTTCTGCTGTTCTCCAGTGGACACACGAGTCCATCACCATGCTGAGACAAATAGTATGTGAAATAGAAATAGAGGTATAATTAAAATGACACAGAGTCTGTTAACTCTTAAGTGAAATAGTTTCTGATAAATTATCCCACTAATGATCAACTAACATGGATGTCTGTGGTTTAACGAGCTAATCAAAGGGGCTTAATTTGAACAAATACTTTAAAGTTTAGTGTTGACATGTAAAGGTACATGGACCAAAGCTTAGACACCGTACTAAACCAGAATTATTGGCTCATTTAGATGATTATGTAAGTAGAAAACTAGCTTTACACATGTAGCACTGGGCAGCGATACACTGCTCCTCTGCAAGCGTTGTTTCCTGCAAGATCCGAGATGTTACTAAAATCAGACCAGCAGAGAAAAAGGTTTCTTTTACTTTGGACAATCCTCCACTGAGTGACAGTGATGATCACGTATTTGATATTTCCCAGGTGACGCCTGCAGACAGCTCTCATCCAGGTGTGAAGGAGGAGTTGTACGAGGCTGCACGGAGGGTCCTCTTCTGCCTGGACTCTTGGACTGACCTCCTCTCGACTCCTGGTGGCGCTGATGAAGATGACCTCCACCTGAGGCTGCTGCAGCAGGAGGTTACTGACTATAAAAGCACATATATAGCACATATATTGTATAACTATATCTACTGCATAAAAGAAAAAATGGTGCTGACTTTGGATTTAGATCTTCTGTTCATTCTAAACTCTCCTGTTTTTGCATTTCTGTCTAAATTCCTGTGTAGTGTGTGTCAAGTGAACTGGTGATTCTCACTGAGCTGTTAAATAAAGTGGAGTCAGAAACCGGGCCTGCACTTTCCAAAGAGCAACCAGACGCTTACCACTGTTTGACCTGCCTTCAGGACTGTCTCTCTACAGTCCAGCTGGTCTTCACCTCATCCAGAAATCAGGTCATTGAACATCTGGGCCTCAAAAACCAACATCAGGTTTGAAATTGAGCTCGATTGATTCTCACACTGACTACCATTACTTTTGTTACTTAAAATTATATTTTGGCTATAATACGTTTTACTTACGTAAAATTAGAATTCAAGTATACAATTTGTAATGGAGCATATTTACACGGTGGCATTTCTACTTTGAATTAAGGGGATCTGAATACTTTCTTCATCACTGTTCTGAACCAACGCTCATTACTTTTTCTCACATAGTTCTTCTTCAAACAGCTGTGTATTTTGGACGAGTTTGAACTGGGACAGAGTGAGACCTTCCCAAATCTAAAGGATGCTCCTGGTTTGGAGGTAACCACTGCTACGCAGCTTTGTACAAGTGTGCGTTCATGCATGTTTAAAATAAAGCTCATCAAGCAAATTCACTCTAGTTCTAATTACAGACTTGTATCAATATGTGGTTTAAAAATATCAGCTATTCAACTCCATTATCGTTAGAATGGAAGCATGACTGGAAGTATCTGTGTTTCCAAACTTAATGGTATTCTCTGTGCTCCTCGTGTATCTCTCAGCAGTGTCTCCTGGGCAGACATCTGAGGGAGAGTCCGGGGGAAAAAGCCAAGGTACAGCAAGCATCTGGCTCCTTGCTTCAGGGGATAACTCACCTCCTGGAACTGGGAGAAGTAGGCATAAAAGAAAGGCAGATGAGCCAGGTTCACAACCGCAGCCAACTTCAAGCCGTTCTCTGCAGACCCAAGGTATCTCACTATGCTTTCAGCAACTTCTTCAGCAAGCACGAAAGCCCCGGTTTAGGGTCGGTCACTTTCCCAAGAGTGTGTACAAGCCTCTTGATGGGTTTTCAAAGAGACAGCCATTGCTGAAACAACCTCAAACAACTAATGATAAGACTTATCACTGATATTTTTAGACCTTAATCACATCCTCTGCCTCATTCATCTCTTCACTCTTGTTGCTCTTTTGCAATGAATTCACTTCACTTCTGTCCTAAATCTGGTCTCTCTGTGATGCAGAGGCTCCTGCAGGTCCTCAGGTCTCAGTTGGCTTTTGTGCAGCATCTATTTCAACGTGAGCCAGAGGTTTTCAAGTGTCAAGAGGATGAGCGCTTACAGCTGGAGGTCAGGGCTAAAGCTTTGCAGCAACAGGCTCTGGAGCAGGAAGTGGTTTCTTACAGGAGGCTGCAGGTTTGTCCTGTATTTTTGCTGAAGGCCACAAGAATTCACAACCACACAAATAAGAAGTTTCTTGTGGAATACTTGAAAAAAAATGTCCTGCATTGAAAATAGATGTGTGGGTGTCTGTTAGGAATGGACCATTTGGGAGGATAATTGCGGTCAGCTGGGCAGGGTGCTGGATGAGTCTGAAGCCCTCATCAGCAGCGGGGAACCAGAGGGAGACGACGAGGAGTCGTCTGTCGTACAGCACAGACTAGACGCCTGCCAGGTAAACCTGATCACACTGTTATTTTCTCACTTGCTCTTCTCACTTCCCCTCCTTTCATCTCCTGCATCTATGTAACTTCTTCCCTCTCCCATAGACATTCTTTATTTCTCAGGATTGTGTTTCATTTGTTCTTTCAACCTGCTGTCATTTAGTTTTGCAAATGTGTGGAAATTGAGAGAACCATTTTGTGAAGTGCTGTAAACATCAATCTGCTTCTTCTCCTTCCTACATTTCCCTACATGCCTCTCAGCAGCCCTCAGAGATCATACCTGCTGCTGTATATATAGTATGTTTAGTTTCATCTGAACATTTCTCCAGCTGAGAAAAAGCGATGAGTCAAACTTTTTCAAAAGTCAACATGTTGCTATCAAGTCGTTTGTGTGGAAATAGATCTGCCTCAGCTATGATGAGCTTATTTTGAAGGTTTGTGCCCTAAAAAAACAAGCCCCTTGCATTTTTTTTTAATTTTGAGGGACTGACAAATTTAAAAGTTCACTGACATACTGCACCTAAAAAAAAAACTATTAAACCTATTGTAGTAGCACTAGAAACATCTGTCATTGGTTTTGGATGGTGAGCTCGATCAAATACCAACATGGCATCAGAATTAAATTGTACAATACCAGGAACCAGTTTTACTGTGAAACAAATTGGTGTTGATTTCTTCTTGGAAAGAATAAAAAGAACAGCTGAAGGCCACGCCGAGGACAATGCTGCTGAGTGTCTCGGTTCATCTGTCAGGTGTTGGCAGATTAATAGAGGCCCGGTCCTCCCTGTCACCTCCAGACACAATATAGGAGCAGCTTTTCTTCTTTTAGACCACTTCGCCTGTTTTTAAAGTCTTATTTTTGATAGTATCAATAGACAGTCTGATGGTGTGGATTGGATTTGATGGGGCAAGTATGTATGTAGAGAGATGAAGGGGACCTGTTGCCACAGCAGTAGATGGGTTAGATGGCACAATTCATTGATACAGAGGCAGGGTGATAATGTTGTTGTGTACTTTATTACTTTGCAGCCATTGTCTGAGTCTTCTTTTCATTTTATACCTTTCTTTATTGTATATATGTTTCTCTCTCCTCTTTAACACCTCATCTTCCCCACAGTACATCACATTTGCTCCATGCTCTCTTCAAATGTTGGTGTGGTAGATGCTTATTAACTTGTAGTTTGATGTAAGCTTCACATAAGCACCATTTCCCCCTGTCACTCAGCAAACACTGGTCCAGCTGGATGAGAGCAGAGCAGCTTTAGGACTGCTCCTGGATCAGTGTAAGGTGCTGCAGACAGAGCCGGTGTTTGCTGCCTCAGTCGGCCTGGCAGGAGGTGCTCTGGAGCTGCGATGGAGGAGTGCCTTCAGGCGGACAGAGCAAGAGATCCGACGCTGCAGAGACATCCAGGACGTCCGTGCCAGGTGGGACAGGCTCAGAAATACTGACGTGTAACTTCTGCTAAAAACAAAACCAGATTATTGTGCTCTAGAAGTCTTTATTATCTATGAGTGGAAGCCAGGCATGTTTAATTATTGCCTGACCAGACTGATAAATGTTCTCGTCTGGAACAACCACATCAGCGATTTTTCATGGATCCAAAATAAAAATACCACGCCAAAGTCTTTCTTTATTCCAGCGGCAAAGCTATTGGACATCCAGCACTAGCTGATATTCCACAATGTCTCAGGTCCTACAATGTGTCTTATTTGAGGTGTGACATATTGAGTCTTGTATTCATTAATATGAATGGTAACATACAATATAGTCATACTTGTATGACTACAGTGTTACCTGGAGGTCGCATGTCGTGTGTAATGACTGCACAGGTCATCAGTGTTAATTTGTTTTGTTTTTTAATTCCTTGAGGATGTGAAGTGTGTAGAGTATATTTTGACAAAAAGATGAATCTTATCTTATCTTATTAGCCTTATCTTACTACAGGCTATTAGGTTTTAATCTTGTCCAGATTTATCCCACCTGAAAAACAGATGTGAGTTAAATTCCTAAATTCATCCTTCATGAGATTCCTGTTTACAGCAGCCTTTCAACACTCTGTTGTTCACATAAAACTGCTTCAAATGCGCAAACAAAAAATATGAACGTGTTCATTGAACGCGTTAATGCACAACACTGCCAATATGGTTATATGTGGTTACAACCATGGCATCAGAGCAGACGAAAAACACATGCCACTCATCATCTACAGTCTTGTTCGCTAGTATTGGACCTGAACCTCAGTATTTACTTCACTTTGTATGAAGGAGCAGTCACGTTCTGCCCCACTGGATGAGCTATGTTTCTCTAATCCTCCCCACAGATTCCAGACAGACTTCACCTTGGTCAGTAATTGGCTGGTTGGTGCCAATAAACACCTGAAGACTTGGTCAGACCTGGCAGACACCACAGACCTGAACCAGGAGTGTGTTCACAAAAGTCTGTTCAAGCTGCTGGTAAGACTTCTGTATCTCCTCATTACCTTTCCATACAACTAAAACATAAGGTTGTTATAACATAAATAACATCCCAAACAAAAAAGAGGCAGTCTGGTGTTTTCAATGTTGTACCTGTTATTAGCTTTAGTTGTGAACAATGATCAACAAAAGCTCACATCTACACAGCCTCAAACTACGATGAAGTAACACCACAGTACTAAACACTAAAATTAAAACAGTTCATATCACATCCACTGTACTGAACTACGTCCTGACATTGGTTAACCTCCAACCATGACTCTGTCCCCAAGGACTTATCCATGGAGGTGGAGGCCATGTCGGTGCAGAGGGCGTCGGTTTCTAGGGAAGCCACGCAGCTTCTCCACCTGAGGGAAGCTGACTGTCCCGGGCTGAGAGCTCAGATCGCCCAGCTGGAGGTCCGCTGGAGCCAGCTCACCTCAGAAGTGTCCAGGCTACAAGAGCAGCTACACCAGGTGCAGCATTTTGCAAAGAGTTTTTAACACTAAATATGAGAGTTTTAAATATACCGTAACTGCACTGCAGCCGTGAGACAAATAGTTATATTGTTGTATATTTATCTTAAACACACGATGCGATGCTCTTAATGCTCTCAAGTCTGCGTCACCTACCAGTTCTGTGGCATTGTCAGTGCTTCTGTTTCTCCAAATTTCCATCACACGCCCCATAAACTCTGAACATTACAACTTTCCAGTTCTTCATGAATTAACAATCAATGGTCCAAGTGCTGTTGGTTTTCAAAAATAATTAGGTATTGAGAAATACCTTCTGGTAACGGGAGTGCAGACTTCACTACAACCCTGTTTGAAATCATTTTTTCGGGGTGATTGAGGATAGGGAGGAAATTTACAAAGGAGGATTAATTTTTCCTCTCCATTTATCACCAGTGAATGGAACCAGATATTCTAATGATTAAGCTAGTGTTGGTCAGGTTTGGCAGAGGGTTTGTTTTGATGTCATACACTTTGGCAATCACTTCAGGAGAGAATGAAAAGATCTTATCAGAAATATTTCATCATTTGGACAAGCACAAAAGTCAGATGGTAACAAATTGGATGTTTATTGTCTAACTACCGAGGAGGATAAATTAAATTAAATAATTTTTTTAAAACCCATCAAAGTCAGAACTGAAAGGTCTTCTCTGTTGCCTTGTGTCTGTTAGAAGCTGCTGGCTGGATGGCCACCGGTGGAGTTGCTGTGTGACCTGGAGGACTGGCTGAAGAAACTGGAGACTCGACTGAGCCAGGAGAAAGAAACGGTTCTCAAGGCCAAAGATGCTGCTCAGATCACTGAAGTCCTGCTACACTACAAGGTACATGTACCTCCACTATTTACTCTTTCCTTCTGTGCATCTCTCCCTCTCTCTCTTTAATCAGAGATTCTGTTCAAGTGGTTATTTCAACTTCAAGACACTTTTATTCAGATTTATTTATTCCAACAACTCAAGTTGGTTCATGTCAAGATAATTACCTGGGCAATGATGAAAGAAATTTTGCAAATACATATACACTCCCTTACTGACTATCCTTGATGAAAAACATGGGTTTGGAAAAGAAAAATGTGAGTTGTCAGATACTAAGTAAGTATAGACCTCCATCCTTAGCAGAGAGAAAAGTATTTTCTTACTGTTGTCATCTAAAAACTCTACTTTCATATTAATGTCTTCTTTATATATATAATATCCTTTTCCAGGAGTTAAAGGCAGGTATTGCAAGCGGCCAGCTCCTCCTCGATTTCCTGTGCCAGTCTGGGCCTCAGGCGGTGGGAGCAGACATCCAAGCTCTCCGATCTGAACGAACAATGTTTGCAGAGACACTTGGTGCCCTTAGACACCAGTGGCTGCACCTCCAGAGGCAGCTGGAGAGCCAGGTCAGTGTCTCAGCTGCCGTCACACAATAAAACACGACTACCTATAGAATCTAAGATTAAATGAGCCAGGTCTAATATTTTTATTAAACTATATTGAACTAGCAAGGAAGGTGTATACAAACAGATAGGGATTTGTTTTCTACATTGGGGCAATGCTAACTGGCTAATGAGAGAGACATATCTGTGAAATGTAGTGAAAGAGAGCTGATCTCACAAAAAAAAGTTAGGTGGCTCAGATCTGAACCTGAAAGTATTTCCATGCAACCAAGTCAGAGGCTCCAGAGGAAGTCTTTTCTTGTTGATGTATTGTCATCAAATGTTCAAATGTGTTGTATCAGCACAAATGTTGGCTGATGGTTCATATTGTTACTGGAACCCATCAATCAAAGCATCAACATAAATCCATTTATGCCTTGTTTAACTCTCCAAATGGACCAAGAAGAAGTGTAATTTTCCAGTTCTGTCTGTTGTTTTTACACATGAATGAGACACCGTTTGGCTTTGCCCCCCCCCCCCCCCCCCCCCCTCAGATTCAATGGAGCTGAACAGATGCAGCACACTTGTGCAGCCAGAGAAAGGCGGTTACAGCATCTTCATGGGTGGATAGAGCAGCAGAAAAAGCAACTGAGTCAGTGGGAACAACCGACCAGTCAAACTGTCGCTCGTAAGGCCCTGCTAGAGTGGGAGGTACAGTAACAGGAAGCAAGCAAAGGTGTATGTTCGTACTGTTTGTGCTGCTGCTGTCGTCAGATGTGACACTTTGCTCTGTTTCGTCTTCCAGGCTGTTGTAGGCAGAGTGAAGGGGGTGGCTGCAGCTTTGCAGGAGTTGAAAGCCACACGAGCTCATGCTGAAAAGGAAGAGGAGCACCCCTGTGATATCACGTTCTGGAACCAGGCAGAGAGTGTCAGTCATGCCTGTGAGGATCTTAGTCAACAGGTAAAAATAAATCTGCTGCTGCAATCAGAAATGGGGTAAATGAGTTCCCCAGCAAGTGAATTAAAGCATTACTTGTTACAGTAAGTTATTATAAGCTGTAGATCCAGTGCTAAGCAGACGATGAGACATATTGTAGCCACATACTGCACCTGAAACAGCAAATTGTCTGATATATTGTAAATGTGTTTATTAAGAGGTTGTGGCTCCTTGATAGGATTGTGAAAATATAGAACCATCCTGTTGTTGTTCCATGCTTGTACTTGCATACAAGTACATTGCCTTGTGTTATAGCTATACTAATCGGTATCAATGTTTTTATATGAACAATGGCTTAAATGAAGCTTGCAATGTTGAATCCACGGAGAGTTATCTCCTGACTCTGAGAACTGAGAACTTTTCTGGTTCACTGCTCTGGTTCACTGTACCTTGTTTCTAGCCGCTGCAGTCACCCGTTTTCAGTGGAAAAGCTCTGATAAACCCACTGTTAGCTATCTACCCAGCACCAAACAGCACGCGGACAAAGTTGGCCACTAGCTGATGAACATAGCGGAACAACTCCCAAGCTAAAGACCCCTCAGAAGAGAGAGTTTTTGATTTTAAAATCTCCAGGTCTCCAGAAACGTGGCAACTGTTTGCTAACACTTTAGTCATATCAACTTGATAGGGCTGTAATGGTGCTAGTCAACAATGGATGATTGTTTTATTATTGTTTTTATGTCTTTTAAATAAAACCAACAGGAGAATGCTTAATTCCGGCAAATACGAAACCTGTACCTTTTTACAAATATTGAATAGTGCTCCGGAAATCTGCATTAAACATCCTCATCCAGTTTCTCTCTGCTAATTTTTTCAGATGGAAGCTCTGAGACCAGCTCTACAACAGACTGTCACAGAGTGGAGTTGTTTTGACAGAGATCTGAGGGAGGTTACTCTGCACACCAGTAGGGTGCGCTGTGCTCTGCAGCATCAGCAAGCGCCTGTGTTCTCACTGAAGCAGGCAGAAGGACACGCGGAACACCTCCAGGTGAGTAGAAGCATTGACCATCACATCTCGTACATATGCGTACATAAAGCTTTTACAGTTACAAAAATCATATCTAAATAAATAATAAACTCTAAAGGGCTCGGCGGCTTTTAAACTACAAACAGAAGTGTTTTGGTAGAGCCAGCTGTGACTGTGTGAAGTTAAAAGCCCATCCAGCTAGTTGTGACAGATTCAGTGAAGTGGAAGTACATGGATGTCAAGTGCTCAGTTCTTCTCAGTCCCTAAACATAGGTTTTGGGGAAGTAAATGCATCTCTAAAGAGGGAATATGAAAGAACTGTGTTTTCCATCACACAGCAACTCCAGGGGAATGCTGGGAAAGGAGAAGCGCTCTGGGCGACTGTGGAAAAATCATTCCAGAGTCTCATGAAGACTCTTCATCGTGGAGCAGCGCAGGCACTAAGTGACCAAATGGAAGGAGAGCGGAAACGGTCAGTAGCACAAATTACAAGAGTATAGAGTGAATCAAATACAAACGTTACAGACATCATTGCTATCCAGTGAAAACCACTTATCTCCAAATCAGGTGAAAGAAATTCTCCTACTTTTAAGCTTAATTTAACATTTGATTGTCTGAAAACACAACTCTGAAAACGGGGCTGTGTCTCATATATACATGTTCTCACGTAGCCCAAAATAAAATATCTATTACACTGTATATATTACTACCACCTTTGTAAGCTATTTCATGTCCACTTATGGAAACATCAGCATCAGGAAAGTAAAAATAATACAATATATTGTGCGCTGCTTCAGAACAGAAGCCCTTGTTTGTGGTAGGAATCTACAACCCCTGAGTGCTTGTGAATTTAACATACTGTAGGTTTCTGGATTTTTAGACAGACATGTTTACAGATTGCAAACAATTTCAATCAAATCATGTGATACAAGTAGAACTGTAGCCTCACTGTTTCCAGATAAACATTATAGAGTACTAATGTAATATGGCCATGTCAGGTGGAAGGACGTGGTGCAGGAGCTAAAGGACGTGCACGTGAAGACCGGAGAGACACTGTCCCTTTGGCAGGAGTACAGTCGTCTCTCTGATAACTGCTCCCTGCACCTGCAACAGCTGTGGCTTCAGTGGGAGGAGCTGTCGACTTCTTCACCATCACCTGTGCAGGACACGCAGACCATGGTTGACTCAGTGGAGGTGAGTTCAGTAAAGTAAGAACATATTCTACTGGTGATCACTACATTGATGTCATGTGTTTATTCAGGGTTCACAAACATCTAAGAATCTGATGTATGAAGGAGATGAATCAGAACTCACTTCTGGCATTGCTGAAGGTCACTTAGAGAAATTCCCTGCTTGACTCATCCTGTTCCTGGTGCTTTTCTCAGTCACTGGTCTCCCATTCTTTGAAAGCAACAGGCAGCGTGCGCTCATAGGCAGAAATATCAGCAGTGGTCCTTCCTGTGTCTGCACACCTAATGTGTTGTTCTTATGCTCAGTCCAGATGCTCCATTATGTGCTGTTTTTGCTCATTCATGCAACAAAACACAAAGTTTCCATCCATGTCTTTTTTTTTTTTTTTTTTTCCCATTTGTGCCATTTTCAAAAGTACACAAGAAGATCTATTTTGGGATAGCTGAATCAAACCATTTGTTGAAAAGAAGAAAAAAAGCAAAGAGAAAAAGATGCATTGATGAAAACAGTTGGAAAGATGATGATAATGAAAGTCAGTTTATTGTAAACCAGCGGTGCTCACAGTAGAAACAGTAAATAGACCAATTGTTATTGATTATATTATCTAATTTTCTTCACTCCAGAAGATGCAGGTTGTTGCTGAGGGCTTGCAAAGCAGTGTGGGAGATGTACTGGAGGCTTCCAAGCCTCTTATGAGACAGCTAGGACCTCCTTCTGCAAATTTAATCCAATCACAGACCAGACTGCTGTCACGTGACGTCCTGCTCCTCTGCCAGGCAATGTCAGGGAAAAAGAAAAGTCTTCAGGTAAGAAAATTTCAAAATATCAACTGAATTTTTGCAGCAATAAGCTCAGACATGGTGGTTTTAACTGCAAAGACCAGTCTGTCTGATATTTGGTTCAGACATGAACTAACCAGAGATTAGAGATGTCAAATCCATTAAGTCAGTTACATTTCTGTCTGTGTGCAGGATGATGGTGAGGAGCAGAAACGATTTCATACTTGCCTGCAGACCCTTGAAAAGCAGACACAGAACATACAAAACAAACTGAGGGCTGGTGTAAATGACAAAGACTCTGTGAAGGTTGGTCTGAATCCCTGTTACTTCACATGAATGAGCTTCTCTGTACATGTTTTAAATTCAAAGCACCCGGGTCATACAAGACCTTTTGACTGTGGGATCTCAAACTAAAAACGTGCTTCATTTTTAATATTTCTTGGATGTGTAGCAGGTTCTCCTGGAGCTCAGTGATCTGTTTCCGTCACTGGTTGACGTCAGGGAGACGAGCGGCTATTTGACCCTGAACAACCAGGAGAGGGAGAGACTGCACACGCTCAGCAGGGAGTGGATCGAAAGCATGACTCACATATCTGACAGGAACAGGTGACAAAGCTTAGATCTAAAATTAATAAATGTTAGTTCAGAAAGTGTAGAGATGTTTTTGTCACTGAATGCAGAGCTGTAATCGAGATTTATTTTTCTGCAGAATTAAAAAGTGTTTGTAAAAGTAAATGTTTTTAAGGGCTACCACTGAGATTCATATCAACTTTTAAGATAGATGCACTTAAAAGCTTGTAACATCTAATTAAAGTAGTTTGTCTCCACAAAAGACAACATTCATCATGAAAGATGCTTCAAGGCTTTAGTAGTTTACTGTGTATTCTCTGTATGTGAAAGTCGTACGTTGTTTTCCAGAGAGCTGCAGGCTGAGCGTCAGGGTTCCCAGACCTTTCAGGAGAAGTATAAGAACCTGATGCTCATAAAGGAGAAACTTGTTGAGGAATCGATGTCTAAAAAACCTCTAAGTCTCTCCTGCCTCCAAGAGATGCTGACTGCCCATCAGGTACGGTACAATGACCAGGTTCTCTGCATTTCTTTCATTTCAGAGACATTACTGAGATTTGTATGTAACATACAGAAACCAGCCTCTGAATAGCATCAAGACACATCAAGAGCTAGGGCTCTTTGTGGATAATTCTTTGTTGATAAAGCCTTTCCCTCCCCTACATCTACAGATGAACTCTAGATAAACAGTTTATCTGTACACTGCCCATGTGTTAGTGAAATATTTGGCAATTAAGGTTTGGGGAAGCTAAATTAATGACCTCATCAGCACAAATGCTTGTCTCATGTATCAGTGTGGTTATATAGCAGGACATCTGGCAGATCACTGATTCCCATCGTGTTCTCTCCCCCTGCTGTTATCACTTATTGCTACAGAGGCTTCAGGCTGAAATAATTACTGGACACCAGCTTCTGCGGAGTCTCCTCAGTGATGCAGTCAAGTCCATGGAAAAAGAAACAGGAGAGAAAAGGTACATGTGAGTTATGGAATATTTCTGTACAAAAGGGCTGTACAAGAATATTTCAAATGTATAGTAACAGGCTTTATAGAGCTTTTAGATTGTGAATACTCATTAATCCTACATGTGCAGCAATGAGACAACTTCCTCCTTTCAGCCCAGACAAATAGTTTCTTATTGGTTAGACATGATTCACTAAATATATACATTTTGACATGTGACACATCATGGTCATATAGTTCCAGTTGTAGGGGGGTGTCAGTACTCTTGTGTATCCACCATATGTGGATTGATAAAATCTTCGACTCATCAACTCACTTTATTTATGGTAAAACTAGCAGGTATCATATTGGCACCAGTATTTAAAAACGTACTCAGCTCTGTCTGCGCTCCATACTCGAGGGAAATTGTGGTAAGTCTTCAGTGAGTGGGTTTGTAGGCTTGTATTTCTTAAGACTGTACCATCTAATAAAAGTTATCAGAGTTGAGGTTTTCCAGCTGCGTTTTTATTAGTAACACATGGTGAGTGCACACTGACACACAACAATGTGCAGTGTGTGCAGGTGTTTCCTGCCCTGGAACGGCTAGATTTCTCTTTCCTTAATGCAATCTTTAAATCATTATTTTTTACAGTGTTTGGAAAGCTCTTTAAAGTTTTACAGGTTTCCAAATGAAAGTTCCCTCTGCTGAAACTGCTACTGAAGGTTTTAAGAGTGTCTTAAAATTCTGCTGATTTTGTGTCGTCGTAGCAATTGCCTGTGAATGACCTATGACAGATTCATTTATGTTTCTCCTTTTTAGTTTATTACTTCTGCCAGTTTATGTCTGTTACTTTGCAAAGAAAATGTATTATGCTAAATTTAATTATGCAAAACCACCATCATCGCCATCAGTGTTTTTTTTTTTTTTTTTTCCCAACCCCTTTTTATTTTAAATTCTTTACATGTTTTCCGATGGGTGTCAACACGTTTGACGAACGTTTACAGCAATACTGTTTTTCTCCAAAGAGAACACATGATGACATAATGACATATGACCCTCTTGTGTTGCTTCTGTACAGATCTGAGCTCGTGGCACAAGTGGCCAGTGTGAAGGAGAGCTGGTTCAGTGCCGTTGCTCTGGCTTGTCAGCGCAGGTCCTTGGTAAAAGAACAGCTCAGACAACGGAGAATCTACCACCATGGCCTGAAACATCTGTGGAAGCTGCTGACGGACGTTGACCCTCTGCTGCCCCCTGCTGGCCCTGCTCTCTGTACACTGCAGCGATTGGGAAGCTGCGCGGATGAATACCAGGTTAGCATAGATGTCATCAAGTGCTCTTTTTATTATATATATTTATTTGTTGTTTTATTATCAGAACTTTTCTGTGAATACAAATTAAAGCAAAAGAGCAAAAGATAAAATTACAGCACATAAATGGTAGAAACACACACACAAAAACTGAAAGTGCTAAACAGAATGTCTTAAAAATCCAAATTCAGTCACTCACTTCTAACCTCGCGGTTGTTTCTTTGAGCAGGGAATATTTGTTCAGGGAACTGACTCAAAAACTGCAGCTTTTCTATCTAATTGATGGAGAACATTTCAGCCACGCACCTTTGAAACAGCGGACAGGACTATTTCCAGTCCAGTACAATTGACTTGTTGATTGACTGATCGATCCAGGCAGGACCAATTAAAAAGTACCAGTCACCCTTCCAGTGTGTGACAGAATTACAGTGCATGTAATACATGTCTGTAATGGTGTTTGTGACTGATCTCATGTAATCTGGCCTTGAATAGTGTAATCTGTGAACAAATCTGAATGAAAGGTTCTTTTAACTGGAGCTGGTGGTATTGATAGTTTTCAGTCAATACCACATTTCCTACAATATAAATAGAAAAGAAAAACATGGAACTTCATTTGCACTGGAGGAGAAACCCTTGTCCTCTGGTGAAAGTCTCATTTCTTTACAGAAATAGCACTTGTGACAAATTTGTTTTATTAATGTGTAAATGCTACAAATCGCCAATTTAAAGACAAGCCTCTCTCCCCATGTTTGTCCCAGTGTGTCGAAGAGGCTTTGGGTCTGCGGTCCACCGTCTACAACCAGACGCTGGAGGCTGGCAAACATTTGTGTGAAACCATGACGGAGTCTGAGTGTCAGAGTCGACTGCAGTCAGAGCTCCAGGCCGTAGAGGAGGCCTGGAAACAAACCAGCTCACTGCTGGGCAGGAGAAGAGACCTGGTTAATGCAACTCTTCAGGTAACAGAACATATTCATTTTTATTTTTTAATTTTTCATACAATGTAATCAGATGAATACATACAAGCCCAATAAACCTACAATCTTAAGCTTGACATGACCTATATCCAGGACCTGATCTTACCCCAGTACAAACACACACAGGAGCTGGTGTGTTGCCCTGGCACTGAGCTGCTGCCCAGAGGGATCAAAGAGCGGCTCAAATCTATCTATGATCCACATCCAGACACAGCTTGTTATCAGTGTCTATCCCTTTTTCATTCCATCACTGCTACGCTGCAGTGCTGATATATTGTGCAGTATGATAAGGATTAACGCTATAAATTGCCGGGCTGATATTTTGCTTGTATACTAGCTGTGCGTGATCACTGAGGTCTTTCCTGCTTTATGAGCTGTGTTAATTACAGCACAACGTCTGAATGTTTTGGTGTCCGGAGAGGTCAGGGAAAGTTGTGTTAACCCCTTTAAGCTAAACAGGATCTGACCCGGGGGAAAGGAAAACATGGAAAAAATCACACAGAGAGTCGCGTTAAAGCACAAACTACAACTGACAGCGAGAGACTAACTTGGTCATCAAGTATATATATGTATGTGTTTTTAACTCTGCTGTTTATTTTTAGCTGCTTTGATTGCAAAGTGCGACACTGATAAACAGGGAGTGTATTAAAGAGATTTAATAAATAATAATTTTAAAATTTAGCAACCAATTCAATGGTCTTTTTAACATTTGAATGAATTTGTTCCACCAAGCATTTTACTTTTCCTCTGTGTTGATTGAACTTCTGAAAAGTTTTGACTTTTCGTGCTTAAACGAAACGATTGACCGATCACATTGAGTCAGATGTGTGTTAGACTTGGAGATGTCAGAAGTGTGTGTCTGTGTCCTGCTGTGTGTTTAGAAGTGGTCTCAGTGTCAGGACGGGATGACCAACATCATGTCAGAGCTGGATGAGGTGAAGACCAAGATGAATCAGCAGCTGCCTGAAAGACCAGAGAAGCTCATCCAGGTAATTAGAACATGGTTGGTGTGTCTGTGAGTGTATTAAAAAATCTGTTCATGAATAATATGTAGTAATTTTTATTATGTTGATAGATTCATAAAGTTTAAAAATAAGATGTGGTTTGCTGTGTCTCCTACCATCTTCCTACTTCACATCTTATTGAAAAAGTAGATAAAACCACATTGTGCACCTGTAGCAGATATTCTATTAGCTTGCACAAAACTACCAGATCATCACTTTTAAAATGATTCAAGTGGCTAAAAGGGTAGAGGCCATGAGAGATGTGTTCCAGTGTGGGCAAGACAGCAAAACAGCATTCAGACCTTCATGTTAGGGTCAGCTCGCCAGACCTTATCATCTACCTGAAGACCAAAGAAACTCTCCTAAAACTTTTTGTCTTAATAGAGCAGGACTTTAAGTTTCTACAGAAGCCTGATAATTGCTGTCTAAAACACAAAATTACTTCTGGGAATCTAGACTTTTGTGTCTGAAAAACAGGCACAGACGGTGACTGACGGCGTTGGCTGCGTAACCTTTTATAATAACAGATTTGTCATGGTTTTGGATGGAAGCTTGCAAAGGAACGATGAAAAATATTTGTTTTTTCATAAAGTTAATTCAGTGAAAATGTATTATTGTTCAGTGTTTATGACGGTAACACATAAAATTCTCATATTAGACCCAATACCATTCACCAGCATGAATCCGTTGGAGGAGAACCTGACTGGTCAGCCACTCTGAATACTGGCAAAAGTTTCCCCACCCCTCAACTCCATCAGTAGCTACCCCCCATCCCACCAGAGTGCCTCTGAGTTTACCCCCCTTTCCCTTATTTATACACCCCCATGCTTTCACTCCCCTCCCCCTTCCTACCCCTTCTACCCTCCCCCTGTCCCGTCCACAGCCCTTTAATCTGGATGGTCAGAGCGAACGCGAGCAAGGGAGAGAAGTGTGTACTCACAGTTTGTATATGGCCGTCTGACCGCGTGTTTAAGTGTGTGTGTGCGTGTATGTGTGTGTTATGCAGGAGGCAGAACTCTCTCTGCAGCGTTTGGCCAGTGGATTGAGGGAACTGGGCACCATGAAGACAGACCTGTCCCAGTACATCACGGCCGGTGACTCGGCTCTGCTGGAGCAGCAGCTGGAACAACTCCACGGTCAATGGGAAGAGCTGTGTATGAAGGTGAGAACAGACACACGGAAACACACAAATATATATATATATAGAGAGAGAGACAGAGAGAAGGGGAGAGAGAGACAGAGGCAGTAAAAAGAGCCAGAGGAAGTTAGAGATTGAGGATGGTGCAGGTGGAGAGGGAGCTCTGGGAGAGAGGGAGAGAAGGAGGGAAAAATTGCTACCAGTGGTTTCTTGGCAGTGACCAGCAGCACAAAGCCTGTGCACCACTGGGGCTGAACACACACACACACACACACACACACACACACACACACACACACACACACACACATTTGTTTGAGAAAAGAGCCAGCATGTGCGAGTTCATGGAGGGAAAACTACAACATCTTGCCCTCTTGTTAATACTTAAGTAACTTGCCTCACTACAGGTCAAATTAATCTTTTTTTCTTAACATGTCCTCTTAAAAAAAAAAAAAAAAAATGGAGCTTGTTCTGCTTTTATCAGCGACCAGTGTTTTAAGGGTTTTAATTTGCTCCTGACTCAGACTCACTTTTCAAGCTAAGCAATCACATGAAACTCTCCAACAGAACAGGCTGTTAATTCTGTAACTGCATTATTGGTTTAAGTAGCTCCACTCTATACACACACAGGCTCAAATTCCTACAGTTAAGTCTTTTGGCTTAATCATAAATGCACTCTTGTTCTTGAGAGAAACAACAGTAATGACATACTTGGGACATTTTCTTCTATTATTAGGGTTATGGGATCATTTGCACTTGTGCTAATTGGGTCCTCAGTTTGCCTGGCTGCTTCCACCTGCCTCCCATCTTGGCAGGAGTTACTGGGATTCACAGATGCAGACAGGATGCCCAATCATTGGTTTTCTTTTGATGTTTTGGCTCATCCCAACCCCTAAATTCCTCTTATATGTATAGTTAAATGTATAGTTGGGGTTTGAGGGTTCAGAATACTATTGAATATATGCTGGAAAGTAATTACTAGAAATAAGTCAGATCAGTTGAGAAAGCAGAGGCTAATTTCTGCTATTTGATCACACATAAGATTTTTCATCCCCATTCATTCCTGACATGGCCGGGGGCCATGGATCTGCGCCACAGCAGTTTTCCTCTGCATAGTTAACAGGTTGTAGGTGGGGGAAGCCACTGGAATGGGTCCGATGAGCAGATGGCCTGGCTGGTCTAAAGGGATTCAGGGGACAGGCTCTATTGTTCCTGGGGAAGCACAAAGTCCTCACAGGGTGACTGCAGCTCACAATGCTCCCTAAATTCTCCAGAGTCCAAAGGGCCCAGCAGTGTTAGTACATTAAAACCAAAGCAGGGCTCATTTAAATCAAATAAATGCCACTGAGCAGTAAAATATAGCTGGTTCAAACATGCCCTGTGGGCTGGTTAAGTCCTTTTAACCTCAAAAAGATCATCAGCCCCCCCTCAGCTATGTAATGGGGTATTTTCATGGCATTAAGCTGCCATTTGGAAAATGGACTTTGTTAATTTTATCAAATAGCCAGAATCTCTTGGGGATTTTTCTCAATTCAGTCGATTACTGGTTGGGATTAAATGTTCCTGCTGCTTCGGTGTAGTGAGAGAAAACACCACCATGATATTCACCGGGTATATCATACATATTTTTTATACTTATAAAAATAAAGTTCTTTTAAAAATCCTTAAGTGATTTTCTTGCACACGTGGACCGTCGTGTATGAGTTGAGTTGGGTCACTGGGTTTCCTGGACACATACCAGGAATTATCATAACAAATAACCCTCTTCCAGAGTGGACTGACATTTGTCAAAAAGACTGACACAGCTGTTTTGAAGCTTTTGTTTCATGTTAAACAGTTAAACATCTTTTTTGCTTGCAGTTATTCCCAACATGTCTGTAGTAAATTTGGCAAAGAAGCACGATAATTCAATTCAGTTCAATATCTTTATTGTCATTGTACAAGTTACAGGTACAAGAAAATGAATTATTAAAGCTCAGGTTCCAGGTGGGTTTAATTATATTTGATGACGCTGTAAAAAATAATGGTAAATATAGAATGTGCTGTGCATCTATTCAAACCCACAGAAGAGAAATCTACTTCACCTTTCAGGTAACAGAGCCTTTGGACTGATTGGACTCTGCTTTGTGATTGGACTGTCAATGTCCAATCACATTCAGGTGTAAAAACAGGGTCAAAATGTGTACTTGTAACTTCAGTGTAACATAGTGTGGGACGTTTGAGTGCTGATTTTTTACAAGCATTTTCTTCTTTGTATCTGTACACAGATGTTCACTAAATCACTTCTTCTATATAGTTTGGAATTATTTGTGAACATCACTTATTGACCCTAATCTGAGCCCGTAGTTATGTGTTCTGACACTTCACTCATATTTTTAAAATTTGTCTCGAAAGTTACCTAATGCCAGTGTTGCCACCTTGACTCCTGTCCTTTCCAGGTATCCTTGCGCAGGCAGGAAATCGCAGACCGCCTCAACGCCTGGACCATCTTCAACGACAAGAACAAGGAGTTCTGTGATTGGCTGACTCAGATGGAGAACAAGGTGTGCCACAGTGGAGATCTGAGCATCGAGGAAATGGTGGAGAAACTGAAGAAGGTACAAAATCTTGGAAAACTTAATATCTTCTTCATGTGTCTCAAAAACAGATACATGTTATTGACTCCATCTGATATTTTGTCTCACCAAGGATCTTCTGAGAATATTGTTTTTGAGTATTTTTCTATAAACTCATATAGTATGTGAGGACATACTGCTGATTAGAGTGACACTACTTTTTGAAATTCATTTTGGTGAAATTGAACTGAACATTCAAATACTACAGCTGAATTGCAGCTCATGTTGCAGGTCTGATGTCACTTGGATCCTCCAGAATGCACATTATAAAACTTCCCAGTCCCTGATTCAGGGAAATGGATGGCACTCATGTAGGGCATGGTTAAAATCCATACATGAGCAACATGCATTATGCTGTTTATGACAGATGGTGTCCTGGAGTGGAATGGCTGTGTGGCCTTTGTTCGCACACAACAGTTGTCCTTTCAGTGACTGAAAGCCTTTTGTACCTTCCTGTCTCACCATGAAGCTTGCTGATTTGGTAAACAAGATGATAATTGGTTTGACCGTTGCAGGATCACTGTCTGTTTTGGGCCGTTTGATGAGATGAGAAAATTAGAGGCTCGTGGTAGTGTTTTTAAATTATTTAGAGAGCTGAAAATGGCACTTCCTGGTGATAGCTGACTGCTCCAGGACATGGAAACAGGTGTTTGACCTGTTTGTTGAATGAATTGGACATTCAGAAATAGAACTGTGTTTTGAAATGTCCATATGAAACCCATTCATTTTAGTATAAAACAGAAATACATACAAAAATCCATAGAGCCAGATATGATGTATGAAGCAGTACAGTCTTATCATGCCGTGTCTCCACAGGACTGCATGGAGGAAATCAACTTGTTCAGTGAGAATAAAAGCCACCTGAAGCAGTTGGGTGAGCAGCTGCTGTTAGCCAGCGATGAGGCCAAGCAGACCCAGGTCCGCGGCTCAATGCAGGAGGTGAACCAGCGCTGGCACAACCTCTTCCACCACATCGAAGCCAGGTGAGAGCAGCCACAGCTGTCACAGAACCTGCAAAGAAGGATTTGTTGACCCACTAATGTGTATATTTGTGTAGTTGTATCAATTTGCAAAAGACACAAAAGGACAGCAAACAATAATGGCAAATATTGAATGTGTAAACCAAGTGTCTAAGTGTGCACCAGCACCTTTCACAGCAAAGTCACTCGACATTAAAAAAGCATAATTAAGGACTGATGGGCTTTAACAGGGGGCCTGTAATTAAACAATAGCTCTAATGCAGAACCATCCACCTGCTGTTCTGTGGCCCTGCAGCTGTCAGGAATACATGGCTCCTAATGTACAGACTGAAGGGGTTAAACCGTTGTGATGATAAACAGTTGCTGCCCCCGAATCCACCCCCCCGACCCCCCCCGACAGATGGACAGTCCTGTGGAAGAGCAGGAGATACAGACTTCACTCCTAGCCCTGCACACCCGACCTACCCCCACCACCACGAAAAAATAAAAGCCATGCTTGAGTCTCAGACAGAACCATATGTCCCCATGTCCGACAACCCCTCCCTTTTTCTAGTCCGTCAGAGTGGGATGATGCGAGTGAGGGTGGGTGGGGTAGTGTAGAAGGGGAGGTGTCTGTCGGCATGCATTAAACACTGATACTCAAAGTGTGAGGTCTCCTTAGAGACTGCATGAACAGATTTGAGGGGGCTTGATCCCATCCAGGCAAGATGTTGAATAATGTAACCCTGAATTCATGATGGAGTACCATTCCTCCACCTCTCTGAAGTTGCTTGTGTTGCTGTTCGAGGAGAAATTGTAACCCACTTATTACAACCCGGGTCTGCTGTGGCATTTGTTAGGCTGATATATTTCACTCACAAGTGGCGAAGAACGAAGTAGGCTGACACCTTTCTGTGGCTCTGTTACCATGTTTACATTACACAGTGAATCTATTCAATGTTAATATAAAAATAGCGAATCTAGATGTTCTTTTTAAAAATTCAACATTATAAACAAGATTAAAAAAAGTGGACTCTGTTTGCCTGAAAGTAGGGCTGCACAATTAATCCAAATATAATATAAATCCCAATATGGCCAAGTGCAATATCTAAATCGCAGGAGCTGTCATTTTTTTGATAAAGGTAAAATGGGACACAACATTGTTTTGTATTATTAGCATCATAAGCATGGTGGTGTTTGTTTGGTACAAAAACCAACAAAAATCACATCATCATTTTACATTTTTTTTCCTGTGAAAATTAAAGGTAAAAACTGAAATTATGACTCATATCACAATCACAATATCTGCCGAGATAATCGCAATATGATTTATTTTTTTCAGCCCTACTTAAAAGTATGGCAGCTCTTCATTCATGTTGCATTCAATAGATTTTTTGATAGAGATGGAAGCTGCTACAGAAGGATCGGGATACATCCATTACAGTAAAGTAAAATACGTGTTCTGTAATGTATAGCCTTCTTATGACACTGTAACTCTAAGCATGAAACTGAAAAAGCACATGTACAGTAAAGAGCCACATAATTAGAGTGACAAGAGTAAATGTCAGTTGAAGTTTTGTCTGTGAATAACTTTGAGCCCCCCTGTGATCAGCTGCACTTTCCTCTTCATCCTCCAACTATTTTTCCTCACTTCTCCTCCTGCTCTTTTCTGCTCCGTTTTCTCCATCCTTTCTGCTCTTGTCCTTTTTCCTCAGCGAGGACCCCTGACTGGGTTTTGTGTCTTTGTTTGGCCTCTGCATGAAGCTGCTGGCCTTTGTTAGGCTGTCAGAGGTAGAGAGGGAGTGAAAGGGAGACAGAGACAATTTAGCTGACTGGGATGGTTTTATCTACAGAGGGGACGACTATGTGCTGGACAGAATTTACAGTGACTGTATTATGTCTTCATTACACGCCCATAAACATGAGGCCACATAAACTGCACACACAAACTCCCACTGTCTAATACTGTACATTAATCCTGAACTTTGTCAAGGGATCATTTGAATTTTCATACTCTTGGTGTTAACGCACCAACAACAACAACAACAACAACATCAACAGTTTTAATCATTTAATTTTAAGAAGATTTATGTTTTTTTCTACAAATTCCTCATTTTCATTTGATAAAAGACAGTCAGGCACATTTATAACTGAGTCTACATAAATACATACGGACAGAATCTGTCTGAGTAGTCGACACCAAATTTAAATATTTCAGGAGTTTTTGATACTTGTTGCTACAGACCTGAAGCGTTGGAGCCGAGACTAATCTCTAGTGTTTGTTTGAAAATTTTGCGTGATGTCACACAAATACCTGAATTTTGGACCAAAATGTAACTTTTGTGATACCTTACCATGAAGAATAAGAATATCTTCCCACAAAATTCGCTTTAGCCATGCTAATGGTGTGGCTCAGGTTGGTCTGTCGGTAGGTCCACCCCTTTGGTCTATACTAAAGTATCTCAAAAACTATTGGATGGATTGGCATGAAATTTTACACAGACATTCATGGTCTCCACAGGATGAATCCTGCTGACTTTGGTAATCCTCTGACTTTTCCAATAGCACCATCAGAAGGATTAGATTTGAATTTGCCCAATATATTCTGGTTTATCACCAAATACCCGCAAAACTAATGACATTCACATTTGCCTCAGTTGTACTTTGTTAAATTGTCATTAGCAGATGTTATCATGATAACATGCTAAACTGAGATAGTGCACCTGCTAAACCGTGTGCATTGTCATTGTGAGCATGTTTGCGATCTGTTGTTATCAGACATCACAGCCTCACAGAGCCTTCATTTCACAAAAGAAGCCAAAGGTCTCACCTGTTAAATGTAAATAAACACAACCAGCTGTACAAGAACTTTATGTATATAAAGATATAAATTTAGTCTAAAATCAGCAAAAATGTGATTCAGTTGGGAGCTTTTTTATGTAAATGTAGGTAAAGACAAGTATGAATCTGAGCTGTAGAAGCACATGAGGCCTGATGCATTAGGGACACATTCAGGCTGGAAAGAAAAAAAAAACTCATCACTAACCAGTGATTTAACCTTCTTCAAGACTGTACATGAACTCACCAAATCTCTTCCAAATCCAACCATCCAAAATGACAAATATCTCCACCTTTTGAACATATAAAACTTCAGCCGGATCTCATAAGAATAGAACTAAAAAACCTCTCACTCATGCAAACACTCACTTATCTATAGTTGTCCCGATGTCTGGCATCTGTTGGGACCCTTTCATGCCTTCCTCAGCCTGCCACTTACACTCACAGCTGTTTTTAGTGCTTATTATTTTGGTAGAGAGCGTCTCCCTCTCGGCCCTGACAGGCTCTGCTGGACCTCGGCTGGACAGGAAGGATCAACTGGGGAAATTAACTCAAACTCCCAAATGGGGCACACTTTCAGAGGCTTTTAAGCCTCTGAAGAGAGCTTTTATTGTCCCGAGCGTTGCTATGACACCAGTCAGTGTGGCGCGATGTGTGTGTGTGTGTGTGTGTGGGTGTGTGTTCACAAGGGGGTCCGTTGCCATGGAGACTTTGGAAGTTCTAGTGTAGGATACCTGAGAGAGTGAATAGCTAAAGTTTCCTTGTTTGTTTGTTGTTTCTGTCTCTTTTATTTATTTATTTCTGCCTGTTTCTTTGTCTTTTCCATATTTTTTCTTTTTTTCTTCTTTTATCTTTATCTGTTTTTTCCATATTTTTCTTTTTCTCACTTTTGTTACTTTTCTTTATTTGTTTAGATTTTTAATTTTTTCTCCCATATTTTCTTTCTTTCTTTCTTTCTTTTTTTCTTTCTGAGCTGTCATAAGTCAATTAACAATGTAGAAAACCATAAACAATTCTTGCCGCTTTCTTTCATTTGTTCAGATGTTCCTCTGACATTTTTTCTTTTGTTTTCTGGAAAGTTTTGCCTCTTCACGAAAAAATAAATAAAAATTTCCATTTAATCCCTTTTTGGTTGAATTGATCATAACCCATAGACATATGCAAATGTCAGAAGGAAGTATTACTACTTTTAATGGTTCACAAGCCCGAATCGTTGGAAACCACCTGGTTGGATGTTGGTAAATGAGCATAGATGGCTGTCACAGTCCTGAATGCTTATTTGACTGTGGATTACTGAATATATATAAAATTTGAATTCTATAGTTAATACAACAGTCTGTGTGTGTGTGTTTTGCAGGGTGAAGAAGCTGAAGGAGACGCTGGTCACAGTGCAGCAGCTGGATAAAAACATGAGTAATCTCCGCTCGTGGCTTTCGCGAATTGAAGCTGAGCTGTCCCGACCAATCACCTACAGCGTCTGTCACCACCAGGAGATCCAGAGGAGGCTGGCTGAGCAGCAGGTAGACAGACGCACACGAATGCACAGCAGTCGATGACACTGTTCACACTTCAACAAACACTTACATATCGTTCTCACACACATGGACAATTTGAGGTTTCCTCCTTTCTTTTTAATTTGTTTCTGAGTATCTTCTTCTTCTTGTTCGTCACTCTTCCTGCTATTTCTGATTTTTTTTCTTCTTTCATTGGCATTTCTACTTTGTCTTCATTGTTTGTTTTGTTGCATTTTCTTCTCATATTTCTGTTCCCACTTTTTTGTTTTCCTGGTTCTCTGTCACTCCCTCTCTTTGTCTCTGTTTATGTTTAATAATTCATAACCATCTTTTGTTTAATTTTGGGGAGCGGTGGTCTCATGCAGTGGCACACTGTCCTCTGTCTGTGGGCTGATGTTTAACACATAACATCTTTGGTATGGACTGATGTGATGTCTGTCCATGTGTGTGTCCAGGAGCTGCAGAGGGACATTGAGCAGCATACGGAGGGCGTAGCGTCGGTGCTCAACCTGTGCGATGTTTTGCTGCGGGACGAAGACGCTGCCGGCGGCACTGAGGCGGAGAGCGACTCGCTGCAGGAAACCAGCCGCAGCCTGGACCAGCGCTGGAGGGCCATCTGTACCATGGCTCTGGACAGGAGGCTCAGGTAGGAGCTAAAACACACATTCTTGTATCAGTCAAATCAGTGCACACCCTAATCTTTTCATCCAAGTTTCGAAGACAGAAGAGCTTATATTTTATGATGTATGTGATTATTATACAAACTTTAGCCAACCGGTCCATGAACACATTTCAGAACAGGAGTTTGACAAAGCAGTCTCACCATAGTGTCTCCACAAGGTCAGTTGAGCCGCTGTTCTGGAGCCCTGGAATGTGTTGGATCAATACTGCACTCGCATATCCAGATTTTTCTGCAACATATAAATGAAATGGCTTGGAAAAGTCGGGGTTTCCCAGTGCTGGGGCAGATTGCAGGTCTCCTCCTCAAGGCTCCCTGTGCGTCCTCTGTCCTCTGTAGCTGGGCTGAGTTGTTTGTTTGTCCTGCTGCCGTATTAGGGCTCGCAGAGGCGCTGTTTTGATAACATAGTCACAAAGCCACGGACGACTGAACCCCGCCATCCCCAGAAAAGAGAACATTTGTCCCACTGTTTGTGGTTTTGGAGCTTTAGCAATAGCTTCTAACTGTGAGGGAGCAATTAACCTCTTATTTCTACACAGTGTTCTGCCCAAATATTCAACTTCTTTTTGAGAAAATTGAAGTTTCTCTTTGCCGACTTCATGTCCTCGTTTTGCTAGCGCTGTTAGCTCTGCAATAGCGTCCTTTTCACACTGTCGTTTGGTGGGACTACAAATGAATAAATCAACAAATCATCCGTTCCTTGGAACGTCTAAGTGTTGCAGATCTTGATTGATCAGCTTTCTACATAGCCCTCTGCTAGGCGTGTATGTGTGTATTGCTGCCCTTGATAGGTGAATGCAAACAGGTATTGTGAGTGTGGGTGTAGTGGCACACTGAAAAAGGCTGAACATAAATCAGTGACTGTATACCAGTGTGCATCAGGGGGAATGTTTGAGAGCAGCGTATGGGGGTCTGGAACCACAGGTGTCTCAACAACAATGGACTTTGTAGCTCTAAGGTCATGCACTAATCGATAATCATTAGAGCGTGGCTTCTTGATTTGGGAAAGTGTAGTACTGCAGAGGCTTTTTGTTTTTGTTGGCCTACAGTCTTGATGGAGTTTTGAGCCGGTCTTTCCAATGCATGAATATGTGGCTCCTGTGTCAATCATGAAAACGTATTTTTTAATTTAGTGTCGTTACTGTTATGATGGACTCATCCTGTGGTTGTGATGAGACAACTGGTGACATCGATTCCCCCTCAGGCTCCTCTGGGCCCCCTATTGCCTTTCTGCAGCAGGGCCCATCCATGGGTTTGTTGGACAGTCTCTTTTGTGATGACCTGGCTGGTGACATCCCCAAAATATATTATCATTAGCCCGAGCTGGACTTTGCTGTGGGTTAGACTGTCTCTGACACCTCAGCTCTTTCCACACCTTGCTGATACTTTCTTCTATCATCTCTGTCTCCCTCTGACCTTTCTTCTTTGTCTTGGGATGAACCTCCCTCAGACTCATCCTCTTACAGGGTTGGATTTGCTGAGTCAGTTCCCCGTTTTATTTCACTTTTTAAGACACACTTTTCTTTTATTGTGTAATATCTTTTAATTTTTTTTTGCATTTCACTTTGATTCATTGATATTTGTATTTGATTCATGTGACACACTTTATTTGTATTTAAAGGTGCTATACAAATTAACTTTTTATTATTATATCTCTGTCCTGTCTTCTCCTTGGGTTTTAACAACGTATTAGAATCTGCTTGCCTCCCACTTCACTGTCCTGGGAATGACAGTGATAACACAGCCGTGAACTTTTTGCTACCCTGCTCTTCCTGCCAACTCCGTCTAGCACTCCTAGCGTTTGGCCTTGAGAGATACTGTCTACTGCCCCGATCGCCTCACAGCTGCTCTTGCACTCGTGCCAACAGTCACTATGGTCTACCACCTGCTTGTCACCTCCTCCCCGTGCACTCTGGGAAACTCCTTTTGCATCTGAGTTAGATTTAACAAGCTTTGTGATGTTATTTTGTTTTAAAGTAAATTAACACCTTATCTTTATTATTACTATCGCCCTCATTCGTCTTTATTAGTTTCCCTTAGGATATAAACAGTTTACCTGTTCAGACTCCGTCTTCTCTGGAGTGACGCAGCTGCGCCGCTACAGGACGATCGGACGTCAGAGGCTACGCCAGCGTTACTTTTACTCAGTCACTACACTGCTTCTCATCGGTCGGGCTGCAGTCTTTTCTATTCTATGAACAAACCACACTGTTCTCATCTGTGCGTCTGCATGAGGCTGCTATTGACTCGGCTTCACGGCTTATCTCGCTCAGAGGCCTGAGTGATAACCACATCAACCCCCCACAAAACACTAGACGGGTTGTAAGTCAGCATACAGTGCACACATTCAATCAAACTCATTCAGTCTTTCTGCTCCATGATGAGACACAGCACATATATTACATTTAAGACAAACATTCAACTCTGTTCACCAGCGGCTTTTAATCCATTCACTGTTTTAGTAATATTAGTTTGACTGTAATTAAATTTGAACACTTTTCCATACTTAATTTTCAATAATTTTGACGTGGTTCTTTAGAGAGGAGAGATTCTGATTCACCTCAGCCGGGGCAGAGACCTGCACTCAGACACTGTCAGGCTTACCTGCTTACCTGCTTACCTGCTTACCTGCTTACCTGCTTACCTGCTTACCTGCTTACCTGCTTACCTTTTTGTGGCCGCTGATGTTCTGAGGTGCAGGCTGATCCTCCCAGGCAGGGGTCCTCACGCTTCTGTCTCTCCTGGCTGGATCGCCAATTTATGTTGGAGGAAAAAAGGTCCATGTCCGGGCCAGAGACTAAGTCTAGACCCTCTTCACTCAACACTTAACTTTCTACAAAACTGCTCTTTTACTGGAGTCAAAAAAAAGATTTTAAAAAATGATATAAATATCATATATATATATGTCATAGTGGCCCTGTTTGTCAAGACAAAGCAAAACCGGAATGAGAAAGAAATTCACTCATCAATAAGAACAGCATTCGTCAGTGTCACAGTGGAGCTGTAACCCCAGTACGATGTCTCCTTGTAGGATCGAGGAGACGTGGAGACTCTGGTGCAAGTTCCTCGATGACTACTCGCGGTTTGAGGATTGGCTGAAGATGGCTGAGCGCACCGCTGCCAACCCCAACTCTGCAGACGTCCTTTATACTGTCGCCAAAGAGGAGCTCAAGAAGTTCGAGGTCAGTTGTGAGGTCGGCAGAGGGAGCAGGCTGGAAGTAGCTTTGTTTTGTTTGCTTGTTTGTTTCTCAAAGGGAAATATTCTCATTGTTCTGTATCAAATTTTATTTGATGTAATTCTTGAGTCTTGACTTGACAGACAATTACACACCAAAACAATGGAGAAACTCTCCTCACAGTGTTTCCACTGCCAAAATCTAAAAACTGTTATTTTACATTCAGGCTGAGACTAACAATTTTTGTTTGTCACTGATTAATTTGCCAATTATTTTCTAATTTAATCAATTAATCGTTTAGTTCATAAAAGATCTGAAATGAAAAAGTAAAAAAATGCCCATCATAATTACCAGAGTCCAAGTTGACGCATTTAAATTGTTTGTTTTTGTCCTTCAACAATTTTCTATTTTCATAGAAAAGCAGCAAATATTCAAGTTTTTAAAGCAATAAACAGTAAAATTTTGTCACTTTATTACTTAAATAATTTATTGTCAAGTTGTTCCTTAATAATTTAATAAAATATAATTAACTGTCAGCAAACAAATCAATTTACTAATCATTTCAGCTCTATTTGACATTATGAAAATGTCACTGGGTCACACACAACCAGAAAATAAACGTGATGACATAAAGCTGTGTGTGGGAACAATGAGTTGTTAATTAGAGCGATGATTTCTATATTTACCTCAGATCCATGTCTCATCCGTATTGCCCTGCTCTCTTTAGGGTTTCCAAAGGCAGGTTCATGAGCGACTGACCCAGCTGGAGCTAGTCAACAACCAGTACCGCCGTCTGGCCAGGGAGAACCGCACCGACCGGGCCAGCCAGCTCAAAGCCATGGTCCACGAGGGCAACCGGCGCTGGGACACCCTGCACCGCAGAGCGGCCGCCATCCTCCGCAGGCTCAAGGTACAGAACAGAGTAATCTGACTGGCTGAGAGGAGAATGATCCATTACTACACACTCCTGTTAACTTCCTCCTCTAACACTTTTTGCACTTGTGTGTGTGTGTGTGTGTCGACTTTTCTCTCAGTATTTTACGAGCCAGAGGGAGGAATTTGAAGGCACCAGGGAGAGCATGCTGGTGTGGCTGACCGAGCTGGACCTGCAGCTCACCAACGTTGAACACTTTTCAGAGAGCGACGTCCATCACAAGATACAGCAGCTCAACGTGAGGACACGGTTCTCAGACAGACACTTGTTGTAAAGAGTCATGCTCATTGTGTGAGGGGAGAGAAGCTCTCCTTGGTTCATTTTTATTTTTCTGAACAAACACACCTTGTTGTATGTGTTGATTCATTTTTCAGGTGAATTTACCTATTCAGGTTTCCCCTCCAGTCAGTGTTTGGTTTTTCTGAAACTCACTCTCTGTTCATACGACCATCCAACCCTCTTCCCGCAGAGTTTCCAGAAGGAGATCTCACTGAACACTGAGCGCATTGACGGGCTGATAGTGTTTGGAGAGGGTCTGATCCAGAGGAGCTCGCCGCAGGACGCAGCGCTGATAGAGGACGAGCTGCAGGAGCTGCACACCTACTGCCAGGAGGTTTTCAGCAGACTGGTCCGCTTCCACCAGCGACTCAGCCAGCCACCGGTCAGCTGCAGCTCACACACACATTTCTCTTATTCCCGTTTCATAAGTTAATTTATGCAAATTTTTCATATAAGCAAATCTTTCTTTTGCTATTCTTTTATTGATTTCTATATATCATAGGTACACTTCCATTTACTATTCTAACCTTACACTGTAATCCAAAATTAGCCCTTTAAAGTAAGGATAACTGAAATGTCCTCACATTGGGAGACAGTCACAAATCAGTCCATCAACAGAAAATCCAAGAAAAAGAACATCACAGAGTCACAGTGTGCGTACCAGCAAAACAAGCAGATTATACAATGAAATATGATAAAATAATGAATTTAACTATGAAACAATGAGGTTGCAAGCAACGCTTAGATACAGATCATTTCTGAAATCAGAAATCATTTCTTTGCCTTAGATCAAGGAAGAACCTGAGCTCTCTGGTACCACTTTTTCCTTGGAGTCGAGCTTGGAGCTGATTGGCCGGCCGTGGCTTGGGCGGACCCAAGGAAGCCTCCCGGCCACACCCACCCACCTGCTGGCCTCCCCGCTGGAGCGCTCGGGGCGGGAGACACCTGTGAGCGTGGACTCGCTGCCTCTGGAGTGGGACCACACCGGAGATGTAGGAGGTTCATCGACACATGAAGATGATGAGGAGGAGGAAGAACGTGACGAAGAGGGAGCTTACTTCAGTGCACTATCAGGTACATTTACAGGGTCTAATCCCACAGGAAAGCGTATAGATTTATGGAGTCTTTTACGTTTCTTATTTCTTGCTGTAAACAAGTTGCTTCACACCAACTGTTACCTCAATAATCAAACATCCACCGCAGAACTATATGGACCTCTTTATGACCAAATAGTACTAAACTCAACAAAGTCAAACTGTATGGATCAGGCAAATTGGATGGACGGTAGCAGTAACAAATTTTCACACTGGGGAAACGACAACACCGTCTCTCTGTTGTTCTTGTGTTTACTGTGACATGACTGATGTCACCTATGGGTGTAGCAGTGAAACAGTCTCCACCTCACTCCATTTGTTCTGCTTCTTCCCGATCATTCGACCGCCGCTCCTCCTCTCTTGTTTTTGACTGACTGAGATGCAAGTTTAACACATAATGGAACAATAACACAGAGACACAGTGCTGCTCTTTTATTGTCGCATGATTGTGATGTTTGAATGGATGCTGTAAAAGAGGATGTGGATAAGACGAGACTGAGAACATCAAAAAGCCCGGGTCTGTTTGTGACACTGGCCGAGGCTTTAATCTTAGACCTCGGTTCCTGACGCCCTAAAAATGTTCTGAGTTACTGGAAAAGGGTTAATACTTATTTTTACTTCAGCACTGAAATGAAAGAAATAAACATCTGATGTATGTAAGATTATATGTAATGTCATGTAAGATTTTATAGTTAAAAAAACTAAACAATATCAGTATTTAATACTCATTTCACACATGTATGAATACACACACACACACACACCCACCTCTCTGACCCCTCTCTCCTCTCAGAGGTGGAGTTCACTGAGAGCCAGGAGGATTTTATTGAAGCCCCAGAAGCGTTACTATCCTCCTCACTGGGTAGGAACATCATCGTCTTCACTCTGATAATAAATCCTCTCGCTGCTCTTCACGGTGAAACAATTTCCGGCAGATATCTTCCAGCAGCTCATGTATCACTTGCACCTAATTCCTTGTTGTGCTGCTGCATTGAGACTTTTGCTTCCTGTAGCTGTGGGTTGGAAAATCTTTCAGCGCCAAAGCAAACCTGCTCTGTCCTTTTTTTCGTTGACACATTTTTGTTGAACTTATATTCTTCATGTTACACACACTGTGGTTTAACATTCAAAAATGACACCAACTGAGTGACGGTGAGGATATAATTAAAGGTCAAAAACCTCTCGACTAAAAAGCTCTTTTGTTTTTGTTATTAAGCGTTTATTATTTTTATTAGATTGCTTGTATGTCCCCACAAAATAGGAATTTCAAGGCACTGTACATTCCTATGACTCTGCTCTGATGTCGACAAAACGAGGTACTGGCCACCCAAGTTACTGTAATAACAAAAGACACCACAACAGATAAAACCTTTCTGAGGGACATCTGACGTATAGTTTTACTGCACAGAACAACAAAGGTTTTCGCCCTTTTGTAGCCAAGATCTGTTCACTGTAACGTATCACAATATACATCTTTGAAAGTTGTTGTTTTCGTTGTTTAAGGACTTGTTTTGAAGTTTCCTGCTGAAGCTCTGCTCTGCTCTTAGTGCTCTCTCTCTCTCTCTCTCTCTCTCCTGCTGCTTGAACATGTGAAATGTAGCATCCACTAAACACCACTACACAGATAACAAGCTTTTCAATTTCCTGGGGCGGGTGATTTATGCTAAGGTGCATCACTACCTGGCTTGACTTGTGATTAGTTCTGGATGAATTTCAGTCTGCAGTAAAATCAGGTTTCACAACTTGATGAATTATTTCAGCATCTGCATGTTTGCCTCCATGGCATCATTTGAGTGGACAACAGTTGATTATGCCACATGCTGTACAGGTGCATGAGTGATCTTATCCAGATAATTTATCATCCAAATACAGAGCCAGGAATAATTGAGCTGGGTGACTTGCATACACTCCACCCAAATGAAAGGAAAGACTTTTTAGATGTAAGAACTTTGCTGCAGCCGAGGATGTTGTGCAGTAATGTCTGTGGTTTCACTCTGTTTGTTTGTGCCTCAGTTCCAAGCAGGTCTATGGTCGGACATGAGTCTCCGGGATGGGGGTCACCGACAGACACGCAACCTCTCCAGCTGCACTCTGAGGCTGCGCCCACTCTCACCAGCACGCCCATAAAGCAGGGCTATGTAAGTGGTTAGACTCACAACAACCAACTGCAGGAATATGAGAATAAATGTCATAAAAAGTGACAGTCTTTTTGCTGCTCTAACAGTGCGTGTTGTTTGTTCTCCAGCTGGGTCTCATGACTCAGTGCAGCGGCAGCATCAAGGACATTAAAAGAGTCTCGCTGATTCTGGATGACGAGGAGCAGCCGAGGGAGCTCGGTCTGACGGGACTCAGTGCCTCAGACAAACAGTCAGGTGAGATAAACTTGCAAATATAATGTGATATATAACACCACTGCGATGGATCGCACAACTCAAGATCATCAAATTTCAGTAGAGTGCCAATAGATTTGCTGCAATAATTAAACAAAAATGAATAGAAATCAGTGGATGGAAAAATGTAGCTTCAAATGCACACAGATTTCTTTTATTCTGTTATTCCTAATACCGATCAATGACATTTTTACTGGAAAGAAACAAGGTTTTTGTGTTGGCTGTGTGTCTCTCCCCTGGCCTTTATTGATCAGAAGTCAGTTTATTTTTTACTTTTTAAATAGATGTTTGACAACCTCACAAAGGATGCAGCATTATTAGGCAGCAACACTTAAGAACATGCTCCCTGCACATTGAATGAACCCAGCAACAACTGCAAACACACAAGCAAGAACAACAATCGCAAACTCAATCATAAAGTCAATAATAATAATGATGTATTATCAGTGATTAAACTTATAACCCCCCCACCCCTCAGTCTCTGAGTAAGAACAATCCAACAAAACCAAAACACTGTAACTCAGCACCAGATATCTTGTCATCACGGCTGTAGTTTAACAAAGGATTTGGATTTTATATCTTATCTATGGTGTCATGATTATCAGTGGTAGCAATACTTATTCTTTATTTATACAGCCCAAAATAACAAGTCTCAAATGTCTCTCAAAGGGCTTTAATACCAATCCATGAACATTAGCTCAGTCGACAGAGCGTACGGACGAAAAGCAGCTAATGAGGCCTGTCAATGAAAATATTCAAACCCCATCTCAAAAATAGAGTTCATCAGCAGATGTTTGTGCTCGCTCAGGTGTGATTGAACGCTGGGAGTTGCTCCAGGCTCAGTCCAGGAGCGATCAGCAGGCCAGCCCTCAGGAGCCCCAACAGCTCACGTCTGACCTCGACGACATCACCTCCTGGTTAGAAAACGTGATCCCAGAGCTGGACCGCCTCCAGCCGTCCAACCCAGCGGCGAGCATTGAGGACATGGAAGCCAGAGCCAAAGAACTAAAGGTGAACCTTTTTATACCAGATACAAACGGATCTGATGATAAGTATTCAGTTTGTTTATACGTATTCGCGGTTATTCTCTCGTAGGAGATGCAGAGGGTGTTTACTCGCTACAAGTCCATCATGCTGTCTGTCAACCTGAGAGCTCAGGAGGCCCCAGACCTACAGCAAAGACTGGCGAGTATGAACAGAGACTGGAGCAGAGCATGTACCGGCCTCCAGCAGTGGGACACCAGTCTGAGGAACACGCTGATGCGCTGCCAGGTGAGAACACATATCAAGTGTGCTAAGCTTTAGTAGACCAAAATACACGACACAGACATAAGTCTTAGGTGCTTTGAAGACTCTATTGCTCTTACTACGATACCACCATTTTAATTACAGAGGGTAGATTTTCCTTTATCTTAAATGGAGCTACCGTCTGAATTTATTACTTATTTATTATTTATTACACAATTGTTCTTCAATCCGTCTTGTTCAGATGGGCACCAAGAACTGGTCGTGAATTGGTGCTCGTTCCGTACTCAACTAAATCATCACTGGCAGCCATTTTTAAATTACTAATAAACAAACTTTATCTTTTCGTATCTGCAAATAGCCACAAACTGTGAAAAACAATATGCAGCTTCACATGATTTGTTTAGAGTGTGGGCTAAACAAATAAATAAGAAATATAACTACAGCACGAATATCTCATCATTATATCATGATGAAATTTATAGTAAATGTTCATTGGTTGAGTAGTAGCTCTTTAAGAATGACTGAATGCTTCCATTAGTTTGAATTGGTTTCCTCTGGTTTGTATTGTCTGTACTGAATGTCTTCATTTCTTTATGGATTAATAATCTTATCCATCTAAATGACTTTGTGTAATCATGTGCAGAATTTTCAGGATTTCCAAGTAAACTCCCCACAGTAAGAAATGACCTTTTAACCTTTGTCCATACAGGAGTTTCATGAAACCCTCCACTCTCTGTTACTGTGGCTGGCCCACGCAGAGAGCAGACGCTACACAGTGGACATCAGTCACCCAGACACACCTGTCAGAGCCCTGCGACAACAGCGCAACACGCTCACTGTAAGCAACCAGCCTTGTATATCGTTGTGTCAGCACCTGATTGGATGTGAATGCTCGGTGACTCACCGTGTGTACCGTTTGTGGGCTGCAGGATCTGCAGGAGGAGCTGCGGAGCAGGCAGGCTCAGCAGGCCTCGCTCCAGGCTCTGTGGTCTCAGCTCCAGCCCGAGGACGGAGCCGAGGAGATCGACGAGGCCCAGGAGAAGCTTCACGTCACGGGTAACAGGATGAAGTTGCTCCTGAGGGAGGTGAACCAAGACCTGAGCACCCTGCAACAGCGACTGGTAACTGGAAATACTTTTTAAAGTTATTAAAGTTATATTTACTTATATTTACTAGTTATATTATTTTTGGGGCGTAAACAGCTGTTTATGCTTAGTCTTAGTTCACACTAGTTTTTGCTGAGCAGCAGCTCCTGTGTGTTGAAACTGCTGCTTGATAAGCTGAGTGACATTTCTTTATCGTGCCTTGTTTTTACTTCAGGGCTGTGAAACTGAATCAGACGACCAAGGCCGAAGTGCCTCTGCAGATGCTTCTGAGGAGGCGGCACGTTCAAAGAAAGGTTCCTCGACTCAAAGGTATAACGACAGAGATCAATACTTTGCTCTTTTATTAATGCGGAACTGTCCAAGTTGTGTTTGTGATCTTTACGGTCTCTCCTCGCTCAGTTGTCTTATTACCTTTTCACGTGTCCTGTGTGTCGTGCAGAGAGAGGAGGGATTCGTCTCCGCCTCGGTCCTTCTTCTACAGGGTCCTTCGCGCTGCCTTCCCCCTCCACCTCCTCCTGCTGCTCCTCCTGCTGCTCCCCTGTCTGATTCCCATGTCAGAGAGCGACCCCAGCTGCACTGTGGCCAACAATTTTGCCCGGTCTTTCTACCCCATGTTACGTTACACCAACGGCCCCCCACCCACCTGATGATGGAAATTTTGCATATTTTTTTGAGAACGCAGAGAAACACGTGCCACCTTTTTGTCACATGACCAAAACCGTCTAACATAAGTTACCCCAAATTGTATTTTAATCTCTATTTTTAAAGATTTGAATTTAGAACATTGTATTTATTCCGGACCTGCCTGTTTGACTGCATTTCAATCAGAACGAACATCACATGAACAAAAATGTAGATATTCTAGTTTAATATTGCAAAGATCTTGAAACCGTCCAAGAAAATCAATCACTGCAGCCTCTTGCAGAGCGCCCCCGCAAACCACAACTCAAAAATAGAGTTCATCAGCAGATGTTTGTGCTCGCTCAGGTGTGATTGAACGCTGGGATTAAAACTGTTGGAGGCGTGAAGCAGCGGCAGCAAAGACACGTACGTTTATCTTTCAGCTGCTGTGCGATGCTCAGTGGTTAGAAGAAAAAGCCAGTAAATATATTGAGTCAGTTCATTGGAGAGAACAACAAAGAGGAAAGACCCAGTGAGATGATGAAATAACTACATTTGAGCCAGTTGATTAAAAGCTTCAGTCGATGGATAATCAGGTCTAAACATCCCACGCAGGACACAGTGGCAGTAGAAGGCTGCATTAGTGGATTTTCACTGAACAAGCCGTCGCTTTGCTTCTTTCAGAGCTTCCTTTATTCAAAACAATTTACATACAAAAGACACATACACCGAGGTCAGTCCTCTGGTCTTTTACATGTTTATCACGACGATCATGGTCTGAACTGGACATTATTTTATCAACTGTTGACGTTTCATTTTGTCTCACGTTATCCTGCCTGTTACACTGAACTCTACAAAGAGAAATCATTTTTTTAAAATTAAAAGACACTGGCTGAATTTGAATGTATTCTATAAAAGGCCAATAGTACAAAATTAAAGTTGTTTTTATACACATACTTCTATATCCATATTTTTTTAGATGCTGTGTGTGAGCAGACATGTACATGGCTCCTGGTGCACTGTTAGATTTAGCAGGATGATGTTTATGTACAGATTGTAATAATATAATGCATATTTATAACAGCAAAAGGTGGATTTATGCTCCTGATTTTCTGGTAGTAAACACTGATTGTTTTAAATCCATTTTCTCAAAGCATTTTTTTTCTCATTTTGCCTAAAATCCTAATGACAAACAAATGAACATCCAAATATAAACTTTGAAGAGCTTTGACAGAACGTATAATATACTTTTATAAGTCCAACAAAAAACAAGAATTAAAACTAAAAAAGAACCTTTTGTGACAAAAGAAAGATCGTAGCTCAGTTTTAAGGTGAAATGACCTTTTAAAGACTTAATCCAATGCTCAATTTCAAAATCAGATTTAGGATTTAACCTGTTAACAGACACAATTTTTTGTGTACAAGCCTGAAAATATTGTACCCAAAATAAAAAGGTTACCGTTCTTCACCCCTTTTGATTAGTCGTAACCCTGGTCTCCTTGACAGAAGACACTGAGGCACAAACGTCGTAGGAATGTATGTTTTCCTGCCTCGCCTTTTTATTTTTTTATTTTTTTTATTTTTAGGCCTGTAGTCGTACCTTTAGTGTGGAAAACACTTAAACGCCACGCTCAGTATGTAACTAACTAATGTGCTAAAACAGAAACATGCACTTGGAGGTAAGGTCACTTTTGAGGGGTTGAAGTTTGAAAATGATCACTCAAATCACTGATGAAAAAGCTAGTAAGTGGACCTTGAGTCAAGTAACACCGAGTTTACATTTACACAGTTATTCTGAATTCATGCTTATGTCACCTGCAACTAATGATTGTTTTCATTATCGATTAAGATCAACAGTGGTTATAATTCTTCACAGAAAACAAATAAGACGCCTGACAATAAAGCCGGGACTCAACAGTGACAGTGAAATCATGTGGTGTGAACAGGTGTGGTGCAGTGGAGTGCCCTCTAGTGGTCAACTAAAAGTGTGTTGTGACAAAACAGCTGGAAAAACAAACAGGCCTTCTATACAGTTTCTGTATCGCAGGTTTCTGAGTGAAAAACTGATTCAATATTCTGTGAGCTAATGTCAGTTTGTTAGCTACAGTAGCCAGACTAGCTTTGTTTTCCGATCTTACTATGGCCTCACTAAAACATAACACAGGAAGAATTTGTGGCAGGTTGGATGCACTGCATTGTAAAGGTTTACCTAATTAAGTGGCCAGGGCCTGAATATTAAAGAACTAGTTACCTCAACAGAACCCGTTGAGCAATACACCCGTTATCTCTCTGTATATACATCACCCAAAACCTAACCTTGAACTGTGTGCTGACTAACCCCGAGCTGGAAACTGTTCTCCTGTTCTGAAACGGAAAAGTCTGAGTTCATTCACTCCGAGTATGTTCAGTTAACCCTTCAAGGGGAACTCCAGCACTTCTACGCATCAAAGTGTTTCTCTAGGAGTTGGGGAGTTCTGACTAATCCAACTTGAATAATATCTGACAGTCAAGGGAAAAGATCTCTCCGCTGAGGTTACGTTAGTGAAGGTGGAGACAGAGAGAAAACCTGTTCCACCTGCCAACGCACACGTTAAGTTTGGAGCGTTAAATGTCACAATAAGTTAGAATTAAAGTGACCTCGGTTTCTGTAACCGAGTTATTCATTTTCACTTAACCTGCTTTCTGGAACAGACTCCTGGGGGTCGATCGGAGGTTTATAACAACTTTACGCATTTAACCGTAAAAATAAACAATAATTCCTGTCTGGATCTGATGTTATTGTGTAGCTCTAGCTTTATTATCTCTGGTAATAACGGTAATAACGTCTCAAAGCTCTGCTGTCCTGAAACTTACCAGCTTGGCTCAGCACAAGAAGTGGCTCATTATCTGGTATAAAACTCATTACTAAGACCAAGAGAATCGTGGCAGCAACATGTGACTTGTACTTTTAAGCAAGTCGTGGTGCTACTGGTCGTATTATGACAATTGGTTCATCTTCTTGTTCCAGTCTGGCTTTTCAGTATGTGGTAGTAAGGCAACGAATCCTGTCTGTCTACTAAAGCTTCAACTGAAGATCAGAGGAGCTCATTAGAAACAGTGCACAGTGTGTCAAAGCAGTGTTTTGTGCAAAGCAGTGAAAATTCATTGCATGTGAATTCTGACCGGGCTAATGGCGTTCGCGTTCACCTCCACCTCCTCTGCTGCCGGGAGTCCAGGTGTTTGAGGGGCTGTTTCCAGAGCTGAAGCTCCAAGCAGAAACCTTCTGGTCTGCGGACTCCTGCTGGGGAGCCTGGTGAGGCAGACGGGAGCTGTGCATGATGTGGGCGTCCAACATCTCCAGCAACAAGTCGTACAAAGGCACCATGCTCTTCATTTTCATCCAGTGGAGGTGGTCCATGCCTTTGTTACTGCACAATTCAAAAGGAAGGACAATAAGGCTTAAGTGGGGCTTTTTCTGGGGCTATTCTGAAGAACAGCGTGTCATCAGAAAATTCAACACATAATGACCATGAGCATCGCTTGTAAAAGTTTTATAACTGGGATGTCCTGGGTTTGTTTTTACCTGATGTGGCGGATGTGTGAGAGCAGCATGAGCAGGTGTGCGAGGCGGGTGTACTGTTGGCGGAAGGTGAGGCCGGTTTTGGCGATGGCCAACACCAGAGCGTCCGTTACAGCGTCCAGAAGACAAAGCAACTTGGAGCGACTCTGCAGCTCCTTGCTGCCCTCGGAGGAGCTGAGGCACATGTCTGCCAACACACAAACACACTTTAGCTTGTGGCTCATTTATACTTCACTGTTAATGACATTTCTAGTGTGACTCCAGTTTATCCTTCTCACACATTCGCATGTTTTTCATTGGATTAACTTAAATTAACAGAACAGAAATATAAATTCTAAATGTTTCATAAATAATTCAGTAATAATAAAAAAGTGATTCAGATATGGTTTATTCATGAGGTATTTCATTCACTACACGATGAGCTGCTTTAATAAAAAGTAATAGTATAAATCGCCCACCACTAACAGCAGTAGAGCTTTTATGGACCGACAGAATCTTTCAATACTAAGTTTTGATACCTAAAAAGTAAATGAGTAAATCTGAAATTTGTATTGTAATTTACAGAAGCCCTGAGAGGCAAGAGAACTTTTTATTTTTTAGCCAGGATCACTGTTTAACACATTCTAGGGTGAAAAGTTAAACAGCTCTTACTTTTTTTGAATTCAACCTTTCACTTTTGAGATTTAGTTTTTTCATCCTGCTGATACATTAATGTTCAAACAGGGAAGGTCTGGTGCAAAAACATGACCCCTGTTCCACTCTGCTGGTGGAGGCAATTAAAAGGAAACCATTAGTCAGACGTTTCTAACTCCCCGGTATAAATGCTCAGCAGAGAGGCTCTGACCTTGTTCATCATCAAACAGGCACTGCCTGTTACTCATTCAGCAGAACCAATGAGAGCTGAGACTCAACCTATACACCGTGTTCCCATTAGGGTTTTCACTGGTAAGTTATAGGTGGTTCCCTTGCCAACCCTGTGCAGACTCACACAGGAGGGATTACATGCTGTGATACCAATCAAACACTTGACTGTGGTTTCACATACTGGAGCATCTCCCTCCCTCCCTCCCTCTCTCACACACACAAACAGTACATGACACATGGAGTGAGCACAGGCTGAACACAGGAGAATTAAGAGGGTGTATGTACGCACTTGCATGAACGCGCATGCGCACACACACATACACACACACACAAAAAACACGCTCACTCACTGGAGTTCAGGAGGATCATGGCCTTGAGGCAGATGTACTCCTCCCTCTGCAGCTTGAGCTCTCTCACTCTGGACGTGGCAGCTATGAGCATATCAAAGATCTCCGTGAAGCCCTGGACACGGCTCGCTTCTTCTCTACCATACAAGGACACAAACATCAACAGCTGGTTATCATGAACAACTCATCATCATTTTTTTCACCTCAACAAATTGGGCAGATATTAAAAGACATTTTTGCAAAACTGCTGCTCAATTTCAACTGCACCCAAGATCCAAAAGACGACAATGAAGCAGCACTATTTTCACAGTTAGCATCATTACGAAGGACAGGAAATGAGTTCATGTTATGGACAGCTCTGTAACTGGAGGAGCACAGAAAGCACAAGACTCCGTTGGTGAGAGATTACTCAAGTCCTGCACCTAAGTACAACTCTGAGCTTTCATTTAGGGTTCAGTATCTTGCCCAAGGACACCTGGACATGCAGACTGGAGAAGCCAGGGATCGAACCACCTAGCTTTTGATTAGTGGACGTCCCGCTCCACCTCCTGAGCCGCCACATTGTAATGTTGAGTTTCTAACGATTTAAAGATTAAACTACCCAACAGTAGCAACGTGATAAAGTTTGAATTTGCTCCATCTCGACCAACTACATCATTTAACGTGCCGATTACCTGGTAATATATCAATAATAATGATCCAGTAATATAACTCAGACATGGGCCAGGTGCATTATAAATGCTTTTGGTAACACTTTATTTCACAGGTCCATGTTTTCCTGACAAGCTTCCTAGAGAGAACCATGTAACTTCATGCTAATTATAAGGGGAAAATGACAGGGACTTCAATTAGTAAACTACAATCCAATTCATTCCAATTAATTTTAAGCTTAAATGGAATTTCCAGGATCTTCCAGACTCATAAAGTAAAGAGTTCCTCAACTTTTACTTCTGATACTTAAAATACAATCTGCTGATAATACTTCTGTACTGGACGATGTTTATAGTGTGGCATCACTACTACTTTTACTACAGCACATAATCTGAATTCTTTTTCCTGGAAGATTCCTCCTTGCAGAAGTCATGCCCTGCAGCGTGCACCGCGTTATTTCAAAGAGATGATGCGATGACAGGGGCGACCACAAAGGAAATGTCATCTTGCACAAGGAAACCTGAGAGAGCTCAGGACACTTTGTTCCAGCCTCTAAAGCAGCTCATCACTTTTTGTATCCGAATGTGAAAACATCACCAGCAAGATACAAATCAGATCGCGGCGAGCCTGCAACTGAGTGCGTGCTGGAAGGTGATGAGCACAACTGATACTGGATTTTTAAAGGCCAATACTGACATGGATATTGGAGGGTTTAATAACACATAATAATATATGGGTTGATATTCTGTTTTTACATTTTTACATAGACACACAATGTGAACAAGTTTGTTTGAGGATAATTTAAATAAGATTCTTAAAGAATTGAGAATAAGACTTGCACCAAGAATGACATTTAGCAGTTATAAATAAACTTAAATAAATAAACTCTGCAGCACAGACTGTGTCAGGGCAGTTCTGTACAACAATTTCCTGTTACTTATTGACCAGCAAATATGTCTGAGTCAAGCTAATGCCAGCTGATTTATGTATATATGATACAGATGTAAGTCTTTATTGCAAGTCAACAGAGCTAAAAGGTTTGTTGAAATTACACAGGCTTGCATCAGGCTTGTTTGTGGAGTGTATGAGCATGAGACAGACTGGATAGGAAAGTGTTCATAGTAAATACTGGGTGTGATAGGACTGACTGAAGCAAATCATTTTCTATTTTAACCATAAAACAGTATTTTGTATTTGACATATTTTTGCTTCTTTTAAACGTGTAACATTAAAGATTGACCTGACATTCAAAACAATGGCGGGGAATTAAAGTGGGGCTCTTTAAAGTGTAATTCTGGTTTATTACAACTTGGGTCTTGTTTTTGTAAACTAGGCCTTCACTGTTATTGACAATACATTGTGCACTTAGATCTGAAAACATGGCGAACAGGAACAGAAGTTAGACAGGACAAGAAACCCGAGCAACTGTGACTGTTCGCGTTGACCCAGGTCGTACTAAACTTGAATTATCCATCGATCACATTAGTGACATGATGTGAGAGGGTGGTACCTGCTCAGGCTGAAGTCGGGGGAGAAGATGAGTTTCCCTGGATGGTCCACTGACCTCCACATCAGTCCCATCATCAGCACCTCCAGCCAGCAGCACTCCAACAGGTGCACCTGGTCCATGAGACTGAGCTCCACAAACCCTGAGGAGGGGGACACGATGGTACATCACTGGTTGCTGCTGCTAATTCTGAGCACGCTGAGAGTTATTAATATCACAGTAATATGTTCAGTTCAGTCTAATGAAATCCAAAAGGGCAACGAGTCTGCTGCATAAAGGTCATAATACAGAACAAGTAGTAAACAACAACAGCGACACAAAGACACAATCAATCAGAATAATAGAGAAAGATCATTAAACAAAACAAAACCCTAAAATCTCAATTGTCTGACACATCACACAGAGTCCTTCTTTTCACCGTCAGTGCCTTTAAATGTGAGCTCACACTTGATCCTGTGATTTACAAACCAGCAAGTCATGAAAAAGCTATTGCTGAACATTAGAGCACGTCTCTGTATTTCCCTCAGGGCAGTTTGTAATCATCCAGGCGCCTTCGCCTGTTTCTGAAAGTGACAATATCAACCGAATTATTTGTTGATTAATGAATCACTAACGATTCAGAAAATCAATTTATCATTTAAGTTAATTTATAATTTAGAATGTTGGTTCCATCATTTTAAATCGGAGGATTTGCCGATTGTCTCAGTATTACATCATTTTAAATGGATTATCTTTGGGTTTTGAACTGTTGGTCCAACAAAACAATCCATCTAAAGAATTCTCCCTGGGCTGTGGTGAGTTTTAATTGGCAAATTTTCAAACTAAACAATCAACTAGATGAAAAATAGAAAGAATCCACTGATGATGATGTTTGTTGACCCCACAACAAGGTTACAACTGCTAAATTATGAAATCGTAAAAGACCTGCAATATCCTATGTGGATTAGACAGAGACTTTTATTGTGAAGGGTACAGGTTAACATGTCCAGTGTTGTATTTCAAACTATCATAAAAGTGCTGTACGTATATGTAATGTGAGTTTTTTCCATTAAAGGGAATTTTGTTTTGTTGCTTGACTTCCTCTTTTTGTCTGGACTTTTCCACTGACAGATGCAGTGCACATTTCATCAGATCACCTCAGTATCATTGCTTCAGATGTGACACTAAGATGCTTTAAACAAGAGCAGAGTGTAGTGACATTTCTACATAAAGTTTTATATATATTTTCATGTGTATATCTAATAATTAGATAATACTGTGAGGTGGGGCTTGCAAGCAGAGGGCCTCACACAGGCGCAGCAAGTATTTATTCCAGAGAGACCTTTTGAACGCTTTGCTTCTCTACAACTGCAGGAACGTTAAGCAGGTGATTTGCAATTAAACGTCTAAAGTGCGGTACGGCGCGCTCTCTATGAGTCATAATGTTTGTCTGAGCCACGGCTGAAACTGTCGTTCTGAGACGCCGTCTGAACCAGTCCACTTGTCGCCCAAAACAGAGACGCACTCTAATTACAGTAAAGTCACAGCTCATCGTCCACCTCCAGTCTCATAACACCGCTTGTGAGTGTTGCAGGAGTGAGGCCGACGTACTAAATGAAGCAGAGACAATCGCCGCGTCTGGTCCGGACGAAGTCATTAACTGTGCTGCTCAGCAGACTGAGCCGCTCTGCAGGAACGCTCAAAGACAAAAGAATATCCAGGTATGTCATTAAAACATTTCATTAAAAGAAAAATGGAAACTAGCCAAGTTAGCAGCTACAGGAAATTGAGGATTTATGTATTTATTTAATCTATTTTTGAATGCACCGTAACTACTACATTGCATTACTTGATATAAAAAAAAAAAAATGTAGAGGAAAACTCAACGGGTAATGTATAAAAAGGTATCGGAAAACAAATGTCATGAACACCCCGACACGCACCTGGAATCTTCTTGGCCCAGCTGATCATGTGAACCAGCTCCTTATCAGCCAGGTTGGTGAGCGACATCATGACGTTGGCCTCGGTCAGCGGTCTGCTCATGTCCATCATGAGGTAGATCTCCAGCGGCTCTGCCTCCATTATTCGCTCAATCAGCTGCCGGGAGGTCAGTGTGGGCCACTGCGGATTGCCCAACGAACCCTCCGCTGGTCCAGTTACAGCCTTTGGTCCGTTAGTTCTGCTCTGTGAGGACCAACGGGTCAGTCGCCTCGGCTTGGGGTTCCTGTAGCCTCCCTGCTCCTTTCGCATTCCTGAGACAAAAAAATCATCACACGTTTACTACTGGCACCAATGTAAAATTTGCGTAAATTTTTATTTAAAATATTTCTAATATCATTTAATATCACACTTTTGACATCATTTAAAGATGTATGGGAAAATGAATAGCCGGACTATTTACATTAACTCATTTGGATAATTAATTAATTATTCTAACTGTTGCTCAATGCAGGGTTATGCCACTACATCTTGACAATGGGGCAGGAAACTTTTAAGTTAAAAACCGCAAAAAAAAATCGTAAATCAGTAGATGTTTTGTGTAGCTGTGGTGAAACATCACATTATCACAAAACCACACCGACTGAAAATCAGAGCAGAGTGTCAGTGAAAGTTAAGTTGTCTGGTTGGGGGAAGGAAACCTCAGATGGGAGCAGGTGAAACTGACACAAATAAGAGAATAAAAAGACGCTAACCACACTTAGTCATGCCAACTTCGTAACACTTGCGAAGGCGACACGCCTGGCAGCTCTTCCGGCGGTTCTTGTCTATAGTGCATTGATTGGTTGCCGGGCAGATGTAGTCGTTGTGTCCTGAAACAAAGAAGAAGAAGAATAAAGAAAGGCTAAATCCCTGCATTGTGGACACACAGACTTGTAGATTGACAAACACTTAGCGCCATCTCACTGAAACATAAGCACCTGCTAAAGGGCGCCAATCTCAGGTTACAAGCTCGTCTCTCACTGTGTCGCTAACACTGGGCATGAAGGTTTCGGCAGCAAGTAAACAAACCACGGTTCACACTGTGGGATTCAGCTACAGTAAATGTCAGGCAACTTTTTCAGCATTTATTCTTCAATTGTGATTTAACGAGTGTAAAATCCCTGCAGAGTTCAGTGGGTATTTTCCTCTTACAGGAATGTGGATATGTGTTAAAGATTCAGGAACACTGTGTCCCGGGGGTCACAGCCATACTAACAGCTCTATGAGGACGTACTTTCAACTTTGCACAAATTTTCACTGAAATCCATCCAACAGCTGACACAAAGATCACTGAAAACCACAAACATCAACCTTATGATGCTCGAGGAAAAGTCTGGGATTCCCAAATGACACCGTAACTCAGGAACATAACCTACTACCAACTTAAAGGTCCCATATTCTCCACCTTTCCTACACCTGTTTTATTTGAAGTTTTCATATCAATAAGAAGATATATTTGTGCCAAAAACCATCTCAATGTAGTTTTACATCTCCTCTCTCAGGCTTCTCTCTGGAGCTCTAGTACCAACAGGTTGGGGAGCCAATCAGAAGAGAGGAGGCTCTGAGCCTCTCTGGTTTTAAGGCTCAGTTTCTGAATACAGGCTGTGTGTGTTTCTCTGTGGACTGAGCGCTTTGATACTTTCACAGTATTAATATAGAACCTAGACCTGCTTTATAATCAAAGAAGAAACGGAAATCTCCCTTTATACAATATGGGACCTTTAAATGAATGACTTCTGACAGTCCCAACAAACACTGAAAATCACCAACCTGGTGCTTCCATGTTTTTGTGTCTCACCTTGGATGCTTCTCTTGAAGAAGGCCTTACAGCCCTCACACGACCAGACTCCATAGTGGTAGCCCGAGGCATAGTCATGGCACACAGCACAGTAGTGGAGGTCCGACTTCCCGCTCAACGACACCACACCGTCCTCGCTCTCCTGGGAACGCCTCCTCACACTCATACAGATAAGGAGACAGAGACATGTAGGAATAAACAACCTGCCACCAAGGTACAGAAAGCCGTTTGGTCAAGTGTGCAGCAAAGATTCACACTGAGAGAAAGAGAAAAATGATTGTATGTACATAATGAACCACAGTTCCATCTTATTTCTTATTACTGACATGAACTCGTAAGACAGAATTAGGCTTTTAAAAATGCAACTGTGGATAATGACTAAGGCTGGAATGAGTAGGGGATGAATCGGATTAGTCAATTGACAGATGTATGTCAACAAATTTGATAATCAATTAATCATTTATGAGACAAAAATGTCAAACGTTTCCTGTTTCCTCCTTGTCAAACGTAAGATTTGCTGCTTTTCTCAGATTCATATCATTGTAAAGATTTTTTCGGTCGCCTCTGGCGCTGGGAAATAATGATACACACTTTTCACTATTTTCCAATATTTTTTAAACTAAACAATTATTCAATAATCTTTTTTTTCATTAATGTCTTTTTTTTTAATTAAATTAATAATGTGTTAATTAGTTTATCAACAAACAAAAACAAAACTGCAGCACCACCCCACAGCCTGCAAACAAGCAAACAGCTCAACAAAGAGACAAATAAACAACAGCCTTGCAACAGCCCACCAAAGACTGTTATAATAATTCATATCTTTTGCCCAATTTATTTATTGACTTTATTTTAATGGCGCCTACATGTTTCTTTACACTGCTCTCATACACACACTCACACCTAAACATGACTTTCTGCTCTGCCCACAATAACTAATGCTTTGTTTGATGTACTGACTGTCTCACTTCTTGCACCGTATGTCTGTCATGTGTTAAATAACCTGTTTTGTCTCAATAAATTACAAAAAATAAACAAACATCCCAAGAAAACAGTATCAGAGTCAAGAGTAAGGCACCATCCTACCTGGTTGTTAACACTCTGTCCCGTGGCGTCTGCTCCACCCACACGCTCTCGATTGGCTGGCCGTGCTGGGGTTGGACCTGGGAGCTCTGCAGGGGTATGGGTGGCCCCATGTGGTCACGGCTGGACCAGAATAAGGAGGGGCTTCGTGACTCATGGACAGAGGGACAGTCTGAAATGCTGGGACTGGCATAACTGAAGGTGGTTGGACTGTAGAAAGGTATGGTAGTGAAGTCGTGCCCGAGGTCGGTGTAAGGGTAGGGGATGCAGATGGGCTGGCTCGACAGGCCGGGAGAGGAGGTGCCGAAGATCGGGGAGAGGATGCGACTGGAGTCCACCTCCTGGAGCTGCAGGAGGGGCTGGTCCCTCTCTGTAGAGGCGGCGGCCATCGCAACTAAAGACAAGCTCAGTATCACTAGATTTACTACATCATCAGCAAAGAACATGGGACCAAGGACGGAGTCATCTTTTTTCTGCTGGTATGAAGGTCACTGTGGTAATGTCATTATCTACAAGTGCTTGATTGTTGCAGCTCACATGCTGAATTCTCAGACTGATGAATGTGTCTCACCAAACATGTTCTGTACTTTGTTATGAGTCTGCTCAATGGGACTGGGAGAGATCACATGATCAACATGAAGCTGATCCCGGCTCAAAAGTAGAGATTGAGTTAGGTAGTTAACACCGGAAAGGAGTCTGTCTAAGCCGCAGCAGGGAAGGAGTTCAGTGCTCATTCCCAGTCCGGCACATGGACCCAGTAGGAGACCTGTGGCAGGCCTTGGTAGGTGGAAGAGACAAAACACTAATTAAAGCACCGAAATAATGAGCGTGAACTGCAAAGTCACATTTTGACATTATATTAAGTTTGTTCTGGAACTAGAAGCTGCATTCATACACTCTTTCTCTTTTGGAGGCAATATTTCAGGTACTACCACTTCTCGTTTGTTCTCATCTTTGTACTTCTCAAAACATCACAGACATCAGAAACTCTGGAAAAAGCTTAACCATTAAGTTAAGAATATGTTTATCACAAATCTCAGGTTATATTTCAGACAATTCTCCTGTGGCTTGGACAAAATGTAAGACATAATGTATTTCACTAAAGTGAGGGCTCTATGAATGACTGTGAAAATTGTGACAACAAAGCCTGGTCATAAATTAATTTTAAAAAACTGCTGAATCCCTAAAGAGGAAGTAGATGAAACTGTAATCTCTTAAATAATCAAAATTGGATTTTGTTTGTGTTGCTTTTCAATTTACAGATATATTATTTATGTATTAATAAGAGTTTGTAGTATAGACTTTGTTTTTTTTTAAACGTATATCAAAAAAGTTCTACTCCAGACCAACAATACTCAGCAAAAAAACAGAAATGAATCTTTCACATATTTTTTAAATATACACTGACTGGTTGAATAATAATTCTAATGGTTAAAAAAGAAAACAGTATCACAGAATGAACATCCATGATTTGGATTAAAACTGATTGTGGCAATAATTTGAACACACAAGTTTAACACTGTGTGCGTGTGTGTGTGTGTGTGTGTGTGTGTGTGTGTGTGTGTGTGTGTGTTAGAGCTGCTGAAATTCAAATATTTACCACTACAAGGTGGAATTTCCCCCCTTTTTTTTTTTTTTCTTTTTTTTTTTTTAGAGGCACGCTGTGTCTGAACAATGAGCGGAGATGGGAAATACTGTAGGATTTACACTGTATTGGAGAGAGAGACAGCTGGTAGATCAATAAATGCAACAAACACTGAGTCATGCACACACCCCAGAGCTGTCCAAGAACTCGTCCAACAGAATGAATAATTCCTGGGTGGCAGGAGTGTGTCCTCAGTCACAGTCGTACACAGTCTCTCTACCTTTCTGGCATAAAGACCACTTCTGGAAGTCATTACTTACTCAGAAGGAAAAGCAAGGTTCATTAATCTTGCCAAATAGCTGAGGAAAGTTTTGGTTAGGCCGGCCAACAAAACTCAATAATCCATAGGAGTAGCTAGGGTCTTGTGCTGTATAAGCCTAAAATAGGACTTTAGAAAACTGGCAGTAATTAAATTCACAAGGCTGCAATTAGAACTGGTGATCATTATTTTTTTGGATGCTGCTGAAAAGTGCTAGAGTCAATTTCCGTCTTAAGATATTAAGTTAAAGCATGACTGGAAAAATCACTCCTGTAGCTGCGAAAACACTGAGGGAAATGGAGCCATTTAACATCCTAAACATGATTTTTTTTATGATTATATGACAAGTCACAGTTATGACTCTAAACATCACATTTCACATCACATTTCTCCCTCTAAAATATTCTGCAGCCGTTTTGTATTGTTGTACCTTGAATCTTCTGACATTGCACCCAACCCTGATTTTAGTTTCTGACACAAGCTGAGAATAAAGACTGGTGGCCATTTAGATAAAAAAAATCCACAGAGAATTATCCTCAGACTCTCTGTGGAGCAATTTGGCATCTTTAGCTCAACAGTGTCATTTACAGCTGCAGCTAAAGAGCCTGATTTTATTAATACTAAAAAAGAAAAAAGGGAGGATGAAGATTGGATTCAAATTCATCAGGTGGATGAACGAATGCTAATGTTGCTCCATATCTGCTGGAGCAGCTGTCTGGGCTAACCAGTCCACTTTATCAACTGGAAAACATGATAAATGTGCCAGTGTTGTGTTTACAGCTTATGGTGCTGCACCCAAGTGGCCAAAAACACCAGTTAACGCTGTAAATTTCTAGTAGAAGGTCTTTCCACTGGCAGCCATGCGGCATGTGTGCAGTGTAATAATGACGGCAGGATTTCACAAACACAGATTTTAATGTTATTAATGATGACTGCTGCCTCGGTGATGTTTCAGGCCTACACACCCTGAACAGTGTGGTGGTACTTTACTCTCAGCTGTTACCACAGGGCAACGGTTTCAGAATATTTGTTCTTTTTAACAGCATTTCCTTTAACAAACAATCCATATTTGTCTGACAACACAGAGTGTGTGTTGGCAGTGGGAGGATGGCTTCACCTCTGTCATCTATGGAGTTTATTAATCCTTCCCTGGCATCTGCGCTGATAAAACGCCTGGTAAATCAAAGAGTCTTTGCTACTCTCTGTTTGACGTTTAATTACGCTGCTCGCCAGCTCATCTGTTTCAGCTTAAATCATGGTGAATGATGGATGATAAGAAGTAATACACCGGGTAACAGAAACTGCATTTGCAACATATGCAGCCCTGCTAGCAATAATAAAAACATACACAATATCAGGAATTCAAATTTGATTACACTTAAGATATCTATCTATCAGGATATTGTATATAATTTACATGTTATATGCAGCAGAAAGCATAAAGGATTGTGCAGCAAAGAGCGCTGCCTTCTTCAAACAGTTTAATTTCACCAAGTTTTCAATGACCTTGTGTCTGTAGCCAATGAATGAGCTGACTCCTAAAACAGATAAGTCACTTTAAGAAAAGAGATTGTAGTAAGATTTGTTTCTTCAGTTACCATTTTGCAGTAAAAAAGCAGATGTGAGTTTGTGTTTCCTTTGAAGCTTTGACCTTGCCATCAAACCTCCTAGCTGTCACACTCTTCAGGAGCTGGCTGCTCATTGTGGGAGAAAACCTCCCAGATCCTCCACAACTCCGCTCATCCTGTCGCCACTCATTCTATCTCACACGGACAAAACAAACCCAGATAGAAACACAAGTTCTTTTTTAAGGAATAGGAGTTTCAAATGCCAAAGGTTCAGTTCAAAAAGACAACAACACTTGGGAAATGTTACTCGAGGACCCCAATATCCTGTTCCATTACTGCTTTACAGAGCTATCACACAAGTTCCACCATTATTTTCAATGACTGGGCAGCTGCACAAGCCATAGCACCAAGATCTAGGCTGTGCAGCAGAAAAAAGAAATCAATTAAATTGAACCTTATTGCCAAATACAGAGACTTCCACAACAAGTGTATGACTGTAGTCATGAGGGAAGCAGCAGTTATATATCAGCAGTAATTTTACTGTTGAAAATAACATTGGACAATTTGCATTTTTATAGAACAACTCTGATTTCACGAGTAATATTTTAATGTTTTCTACAGCATCCCACTTAGCTATTTTATGATTATATGCTGCTCTTCAAAGACAGAGAACATGTAGCAACTAAAGAAAGGGGTATTGAGAAAGAGGGTTTGAAGTTTTGAAGGCTCTTATTCACCCGTTTAAACAGATACATGAGTTGTAAAACCTTAATTTTATGCCTTTTTATGGTGATTATAATAATCACAGATGTCCTTTAGACACTGCACCCCATTTATCTTTAATTAAATATCTCTAAATGTGATTCAAGGGTAGTTTAACCACATCAACTCACATGACTTCCACTGAAGTCAGAGGCTGAGGCAGCAGTTAGCAGTTAGAGGCAGTGCTATATGCTAAGCTAGGCTAGCTAGCCTTTAGCCTACCATGTGCTACTTGTTTTCTCCATTATGATTGGATTTAGCTATGACCTTATTCATGTATAACAAACTTAATTCAGACAGCATTTAATTAGATTTTTCAATTGCAGAAAACAGGAAAAAGTGGGTAAATTAGCTTTAGCTAAGACACACCAGCTAGCTGTAACAAGCCTGAGTGGAGTAACAGCAGTTTGGATTTTACCTGTTATATTTACATGCTGTTCTTTCCCCCAAAATTATAATATGTACTCTAAAGACTGATGTTGACAAATTTGGTTTTGGCATTATTCAGACGGCTCACAAACATCCATGCACTATACACTTATGCACACTCATGCACACAAACCCTTCCCCGCAAATCCCCCAAATTACACACAAAGCCAAATAAAGCAAAAAAATGAGGTGACAGAAATGTTCCCGGCCATTAGCCAGAACTGCATGCCTTGCACAAAAGCTCAAGGCCGTGTCGTTTTCCCGTCCTAAATTCTCACTGCCTCCCTAAAATCAGGCGGAAACAGATATGAAACCCTCTCCGCAGAGAAGACGCTGTACCTTTCTAAATACAGCAAGGGAGTATGAGTGGGAATGTGGGTTCTGGTTAGTGCCAGAGAATGTGAAAAATGTCATTGAATTGTTTGCCCTGCTGTGAAAAAAAAAAAAAAAAAAAAAAAAGTACAGACAATTTTATACAGAAAGAAGTTCTGCTTTAGATTTTCTTTCAGTTTCTTTTCAACGGCAAATTAAACTCTGCACTCGACAAAAATTGTGTTACTAAACCTCAACTATATTCAACAGATTCACCACAACATGCAGCCATGCAATGAATCCTTCCTTTGTGAAGATGCACTTTTCTTTCATCTCATTTTAGAGACTGTGGTTGGTTGAAAGGTATTTCTAACCCAAATTCCCATACATGAGCTGAGGTACTGGCATGAGTTATTTTTACCTCTCTGACACAGTCACAATGGCGACAAAAATTAACCTAATACAACATGCCAAAACACAATTGTAAGCTAATTCAACCTATAATCAATAGAATTCATAATAGTGGGAGTGTGTGATTTACCTTTTTATTTTTAAAAAATGAAAATGTCTGTAGTTGTTGTCCATAAGTATCACAGCCAGGTCTACACTGTAAAAAAAAAAAAAAAAATCCTAATTTTACAGAAAATAACTCTAAAAACTTTACAGTAATTCCCTGTTTTTTAAAATTCTGTACAAGTCTGTAAAATTACAGAAATTATCTGTGAATTAACAGCCAAACTTTAATTTTAAGCATTATGCCAATTACAATGAATTAAATTTATCTCCCATTTTTGTAAAGAAAAATTACTGATTAAATTACTGACAAATCATATTTTCCTATTGTTGCTATGTTACCACGCTGAAAAAAACTCTCATCCAGAGCATTTGAGCAGGATTAGTTGATCTGACTGTCATCAAGGCAACTGGCCAATGGCAACTGTGCGAGGGAGTGCTGCTGCCGGGTGTCAGCACTCCGCACTGCTACTGTTGTCTGTTACCTGGATTATTTTATATCTGCCAAATTCTTATTTTGAGCGAATTTGAGTTGTAGGGTGTTAATGGAGAAGTGGAATATTGGGCAAATAGGAAAGGTCGGACAGAATCTGGTCACCTAAGAGAAGTTAAGTGAATTTATATCCTGCAAAATATTAATTATTTTAGGTGTATAGATACTAAAAGTCATCTCACTACACTTTGAAAATGCTCCAATGCTTTAGAACAAACAGAGTGTTCTGAAAATGAGCTTCAGATGTTTGATGTTTAGTCCGCTGGAACATTAGAATGCAGTAAAAAAATAATTAAATCATACTTTTTAAGGACTTTACAGTGAATCTTAGTGTCTCCTGTTATTTCTTTTCCTCCCAGATGCTCCAAGGATCCAGCTAATTACTGGCAGTTTGAAGGTGGATTTTTCTTCATCTGCCACGTTGCACCGTCACTTCTGGTAAAGATTCATTGACCTTTGTGGTATGTTTTGATTTTACTTATTAATACGCTGTATAGTTGGGATTCTGACATAAAAAAATAGTATAATGTTTGTCCACATATTTTGTCAGAACTATATTGAGACTTTTGTAGAAAACAAGATAAAACTGAATTGGAAAATACAAGCTAAACCCCCCCCCCCCTTCAGAGGTGACATCCTGAACTCCTCATTATAGGAACCTTAACCAGGCCAGATAGACCAATGGAGAAATGCCAGTTTTAGTTTTTCAAATCATCCCGGGTCTCTGAACAACTGTTTGTGAATAATTGGTTGATATTGTAATTTAAATCTGAATATATTAAATAAAAGTGTTATAAAGTCAATAGTGGTGTGTATGTCATTTCTAATTAAGTTTCCAACCCCACTTCAGTTGAAAGACTACATACAGAGACTTAATTTAATTTGCATGAGAAATGTAAGAGAATTGATCTGAATCTGAATCATTAAATATTGTATTTAGATTGTGCTTCTACAGGTTTTTAACGTTACTTGACACTTAAACATGAAATGTTAACACAAATACTGCAAGTTGAAGTTTGAGATGATTTTAATCTGTTTTACACAGTATTTTTGATTTTGTCTTCCAAAACATTTGTTTACTTTACAATATTAAGAATGTGTTAATATTTCATTGAATGAAGTTTCTCTGCAGAAACTGTAGTGGCATCACTTTATTGATGGTGTTTGATTGTAATAATTTAGGAGAAATCAGTAAAATAACAGATTTTCACTGCAGAAATATTAATGAAACTTTCCATAAATTCATTGTTTTTAATTTTACGGTTTTTGTTTGGCAGCCGCTGCTGCCAGTCATTTAACCGTTTTTTTTTGTTTGTTTTTTTACAGTGTATGTGACGAACACCGACTGTGACTGTGATCCTGAGGAGACGCACTGTCACACACACGATGACAGTCAGCGCCAAAACTCAACTATCTTGAAGGTGACAACTGTGAATGTAAAATCCTCTCTTTGCACTTAAAGGACAGATTACACGCACATCCTCTCTGCCTCTGTGTGAAGACAGGTGTAATGCATTTTAAAGTAGGATACATGTTTTTTTAATCTTTCATTTCTAACCAAAAAAAATTCATGAATAAATAAATTCTGAGAGGATTAAGTCAGGTCGTCTCTCAACCTGGCTCAACTTCTGCAAATGAAAAAGTTGACAAAGAAAGAGCAAGATCTCCCTAAATCAACGCAGAGCTTTTTATTAACACTGGTATAATAACTTCCCTTCATTTCCTAATCTTCAGCACCACACAAACTCTGCAGTTTATACTTAGAGAGAAAATAACCTTTAAACAACTGACAAAAAGCATGAAAATGACTAAACTGCTGCAAGCAATGTTAAAAATATATGTCTTATCTGTTGGGAAATGACCAAAATGATGCCACTTAAATCAGTTATGTGAATAGATCACTCTGCAAAAAACTGAGTCAAAGCCTGAGCAGGGACAGGTAGTACGGTATCATCAGATGCACAGTTCACACAAGGAGCAGAGGAAATCCTTCCTGTGAGCTTGTCTGTAGCAGCTGGCTGATAACAGCTGCTTGTTTACAGTGTTAAGTGCTTTTTGAAGTGAGCTAATATTCACATTAGACTTGTTTAAATTTAAACGCCAGATTCTCAAACCACATTATGATCAGACACAGAATAGAGACATGAGAGCCCATACTGGTCCCGATGATCCATGTATGGTAAAGATCTAGTACAGATCTACTGTGCAGGAGATGTTTAAGGAAACAAACATTAACCTTTCAGTCATATTCCCCGTGATCCTCTGTCTCCTGATGTCTCTTTGCAGAAATCATTTTTCAAGAAGCTGTTAAAAAAGGCTGATTAAGTCCAGATGCTATCCAGAAATGATCACCTCAAAATAATAAACAATAAACTCTCGGTCCGGGTAAAGATTTCTCACTAGAGTTTAATCTGACACCTGTTAACCAGCCTCAACACAAGACGCAAGCCGGATCTGATTCCTGACACATGCAGTCACAGGCCTTCTACTTGTTGCTTCAATATTTGACCTGCAGCCATGGAGTCAGTGGGTCAGGGGGGACTCAAACCGAGTGTCCACGCCGCCTTCTTTACTACAAGCACGGATATATGTTGGAGATGTTCTTACCAGAGACAGCGGATGGTGAGAAAGTTGTCAGTCTGACAGTGACGGTTCCCGCCGCGGTGTCGTGTGGGGAAAGTGCAGGGGTGTGAGCTGCAGAGAGGCCGAGCACCGAGTAACTTCACCCCCACTGTCTGTCTGCATTGATATAAGTCACGGCTACTGCCGCTGCTCTCAGCCCTGGAGGCAAACGACCAGCGGCGTTTAGGGAAATGATGTCAAGACAGACACAATAAGGTGCGCAAAATCCTTCAAAATAAAATCCTTCCTCGTGAACTGGGTTTTTCCAAACTCAACATCATGAATAAAAATAGACTAAAAAACGTATTTTTCTTGTCTTGTGATCAATTTAGTTAATAAATAAAGTAATCACATAGGGGCCAAATAGACTAAGACTGTATAGTGTGCAAGAAGATAATATAAGATAAGATAAGATAAGCCTTTATTGATCATTTGGTGACACTGTGGAGAGTTTTCCTGTGAGTGGTTTTTGTGGTTGTGAGCCTCAGTCTGTGCAGGTGGGAGATACTGGAGATGATTGTGAAGTGAATATCTTCAGTCCGACAAAAAAAAAAAAAAAAAAAAAAAAAAAAGATGTGGGAAATTCTGGCGAGGATTTCTCATTATTTTCTACATTTAATACACAAATCAGTCAATCAAGTAACCAGGAAAAAAATCAGCAGATTGTCAAGTCATATCTAGTCAGTGTTATATGGAGCCAAAATACAACAGAAGTTATCTCAAGACAATTTTCAAACAGAGCAGGTCTAGACCACACGCTTCATAACATTGTGCTTTTACTATGAAGGAAATCGCAATATTTCCGGTTTTGTCTTACTATGTAAGGTTGAAGCTGATCAGAGAAAGTCACCCAAAGAAATCACAATAAACCACACCTCCTTAGTTGGGGTGTTATCACAGTTCAGTACAAGACAAACTGATCCTAACTGAGACCACTCAGTTCATTTTACACTCAGAGAAAGTCAGAGACTGCAGCAGTAATAGCACAACTAAATATATTTTTTATTTCATTATTTGATTAAACAATTGCACTTTGCTAAATTTTGAGGGACATCCACTTGCTGCACATTTTGGAGTTTCCATAAATGCTGCAGACACAAACATTATTAGATAACTGACAAAAAGCATAGCTAACAGCTATTTTCTTTACTGTTTAATCTGCCAGTTTTTTCAAATAATTGATTCATTATTTTGTAAATAAAATGGCAGAAAATAGCGGCAAATGTCTATTATAATTTCCCACAAACCAAGGTGATGTCTTCAAGTGTCTTGTTTTGTCTGACCAATAACCCAAAAACCAAAGTTTGAGTTTACCTTCACTGAAGACAGAGAAAAGCATCAAGTCCTCACGTCTGAGAACCTGGAAACTGCAAATATATATATTTTTAAATATTAAAATAATAAAATAATCAGTAATAGTTGTCAATTAATTTTCTGTTAATCAACTTAATGTTCCTTACTGTATAAACGCTTCATACATGTAAGAAAAAAAAAAAACCTCCACAATCACAAACTCCTCAATGCTCCATCTTTGTGTGGGTATTTCTGTGAATTATTAATTTTGAATCAAGTCTTAAAGCATCTCATCCTCATCAATGCTTAAATATTCAAAGTCGAGGCATGATATTTATTTTAATTGGAACTCCCATAAAAAGATGATCAGACTCTTTATCACTGATAATAAGACAATATGAAAAACATCACGGAAAGATGCTATCATTAAATCTTGAAATATAACAGAGCAGAGTAAAGCGCAGCCTCACACTAAGGGCATGCTTTTCAGAAAATATGTAACGATGAGGAAATATTTACTGTGCGTATTGCAGCTGAGAAATTTGTTAAAGGAAGTGGTATCTCTCCTGACTGTAGAAAGAAGTCCTTTACCTTGGATTCTGCGAGGCGATATCTACTTTTTGGCAGTAATGAACTAATATAAGATAAATAAATTGATAATTAATAGTAAGCACTGTAAAATAATTAACCGTTTGTCTTTCTGTGCACCAGTGACTCTTTTCGTTATCCACCAATACATGTTTGGGCCTCAGAGGCAGAGCGGAAGTTTGACCTCTGCTTTCCTCATTAGCAAAGCCTCCAGGGAGGAAACTGCTAATGAGTCTGCTGCCTGCTGCCGCAGGTTACAAAGAGCAGCAACAAACAAACAACGCCATACATACTTTATCAATTTCTACTGGAATAGTTCTACTGGAGGATAAATCCACCTTAACTCAGGCTCTCTGTCGCCTGCTTCATCCAGAATAATATCATACAAATGGCAGAAATGTAATATGACTTTACTAGTTTTAAGATTTAACCGCTTTCCCTTGATAAATGTTTTTTGTTTTGCTCCTTAGTGGGAGTAAAACATGGACCCACTTGCTCTTTAGCACGACTAGTAAAGCCTGACCAGTACAAGATTTTTGAGACCTATGCTGGCTGCTGATTTAAAAATAATATAATAATGATAATGACATATCAGTCAATTCTAATTTTCTTCACATAACCCATTACATAAAAAAAATACACCCATGGTCATGTACATGCAATGAGCAAATATATCAGAACAGCCTTTTTATCTGATGGTCAGAAACTCCAGGAGCTATCTTTAATTTACATCATCAAAAGGTTGCAAAAAATGTAGTTGAATAATTTACTGTAAAACAACCTATAATTTCAGCACTAACTGCAACAACAAAACTGGTGTGAAATCGTTGGAAAGCCCTTTTATAGGTAACAACTATGGATTTATGTTGCTGTCCTGAAAACAAATCATCTTGTGTTCATGTCTGCTCTCCAAGACAAACACATTACTTTCATTTGGCAGGAGCTTTTGTCCAAAGGGACCGGGGATGCACTGACTGATAATTGTCCACCCCACTGAGATAACCACTTTGTGACAAACTGTCACTGTGCAAAATGTGCCATCTCATTTTACATCATCATGGCAATTTGGTTTTGCTAACTAGCCGCTCTGCTAATTGTATGGCTTAAATTGTTTATGTGTCTGGTCCCTGCTAGCTTTAAGATTACAAGAAAAGCAGGTTGACCAGGTCTGCAATATCACTAAAGACAAAATGATGCTGATGTAAAATAGAACATAATTCAACATTTATTTGTGCCAGTACCTGAAATACTTTCTCCAGTTTCAATTCTTCCTCTACAATTGCTCTCCAAGTGTGTGTGTGTCCAAAAATAGCATTTTGGCCCATGCCAATTTCTCTGAAGTAGGAGAAAAGGGGGGAAAAAAAGCTTTTCCCAGTCATGGCCCACCATCACACCTGCCGAGATAATCAGCCAGAATTACGATGCGCTCATTTCTCGCCTCTCGAAATCCAATTTATGTGATTACAGTTCGTGACTGTGCAGTCTATCAGTGCTTCAGAAGCTCATTTGACATTACCAGGTAATGGACTACAGTCTTTACATTATGACCAAACCTACATAAGTGCACCGCGGGTCGCAAGGTGCAAATTGTACCAGAAGATGTAAGTATGGCCTCTGCCGTCTTTCTGTCATTTGGTTTATGGGGGGTTTGAAGGAGCAATTTGCCCTTAAAATTGAGCTTTTAACCCTCAGTTGTCATGATGGCACATAACTAATGAACACTACTGAGATTCAGTTCCAGTCATTTCATAACCTCCCTACTTTGCTGTCAGTAGCCAGCTACCTGTCAATTTTTTTACTTTGAATTTCTACTGACAGGTAGAAATTTTTTATTTTTTTGTACTTTTGTCCCCAAGGTGTATTATCTTTATTCGGCTCGCTCCATGATGGCACTGCTTGTGCTTTAGAGGGTCTCAGGCCATCAGCTTCTTTTATTTGCCATGGCTTAAGAAAGAAACCTCGCTCTACCTGCTGCTGCAGACCATCAGCTTGTTTTTCCATTAGTGTTCATACACTGAGGTGAATAGATACAAAAGTCAAAAATCCGAGATAAGATCAAATCCTCTTTTTGTAGCCAAAAACAGACAAGAGTCGTTATAGTTTGTGTTTTCCAGTCAAAGCCACTCTCTCTGGGTTTTCTCTCATTGCCAACCCTCAGTCTCCGCGGGTGAAAAAAGAGGAGAATGGCCTCCCGAGAAAAGCAACAGCATCACTGATTTCTGCAAATGTCCCAGAACAATATAAATTTACATTCAAGAGACAATGATGTCTAATAGCTATAGGACGTACTCCTCTTTCATCATCAGGAGCAAAGGGGGAGGGGAAGGAGCCATTGCAGGTATTCTGGGAAACGAGGACTTTGCACAAAACGACATATGTCAGAACAAGATGTTTAATCCATAAAACGCTTTTCTCGGAGTCAGAGCTGAAAGTAAAGACTGTAAAAGTAGTCGCCTGGAAACGGCTAACGTACATCTGGCCTATACTTGGGCCACATAATATACCGACTTCCTTGACCCACTATGATCCGAAGATAAAACTGTTGCAGAGAGAAAAAGCCTGCAAGTTGACCTGGCTGTTGATCCCTATCCCAGACAGCAAAATGAAACTTATGGCCCAGTATACGCACCAGTTCCACGGCCCAAGTCTGGCCCATCCAGCATGACTGTCAGATGCTACTTCCATATTTGGACCAATCTTTTCATGTCTGTCCATAAGTTACCTTCTTGGCCATTCACGCTAAAGAGTAGGTATGTTCTCATGGTATTGTAGAAAGGGTCCAGATCCTAAAAAATTGTAGAGTTATTCATTTGAGTGTGTATCTAATTTTTTCCTATTTCAAGAAACACATTTGTTTCTCTAATTCATCTTCTGAAGCCAAGAGGAACCGGTTGCTTCCAGCAGAGGAGAACAGGCCTTGTTGGTGTTTATTGCTGATTGGTCGCACAACTTGTATTAGTCTGTGTGTTACACCACCTGTCAGTCAGTTTAACAGTGAGCAAGTTCAAGTTGTGCTTTGAATCTTCACGATGGAGACGTTCTGATCAGGGATGGAGACTTTAACTGGCATCTATTGATGTATTTACATCATAAAAATAGTCTGGTGCATTGCTGACATGGACCCTGGTATGATTGACTATGATGGACTATATTATACAAACACTGTGATGGTGTGTATGACACATTTTTTTTTAAGACAGTGTTTTAGTGCGGAAACAGCTGGTACAGAGAA